TATTTATTGACAGAATATGCTTTATTGTAGCGGATTTGAAAAAAAAAACAAAAAAACCCGTTTTTTTTCTAGGTTTTTTCACATCTGAAAAAAAACAGTTTTTTACATTTCTAATTGAAATTAGAATTTGTGAAATATGTAAACATTGTAAAAAATATTACTTTCCTGCAAAAATGGCCTTATTTTTATTCTGAGGCCCTCAGAAGGACATAATTACAGTTACCCCTTAAACTGAGGAGTCTCTGTAATGATGTCCTTCTGGTTAACAACAAGTAGTACAGGGAAATGAGTTTAAACGATTTAAAATTTAGTTTTTGATTAAATCATTAATTAAACTAAGAATGTTAGTTTTTTTTGTTTATTTGATTTGTTCATCCGTGAATCATTTATTGTTTATTTACGATTTTATTTGTAACAATCATGCGATGTATTTGTATGTAAATTTATTAGTCATCAAATTTTTTGTTCTTATAATACAAAATATTATTTGTTATTTTTATCAATTGTTAATGTAAATGTAATAGCAAAATCGAGCATTACATTCATTTTAATTTGTATTTTCAACAATCCTGAGTCCATAATATGGACATATTATGTTACTTTTCATTAATTTTATCGCACGTTCTAAGCATCAAGTCACTTGATTCAAGTGCCGCCGCAAATATAAAATGATCGGCCTCGGTGGTGTAGTGGTCAGAGCTCCTGGGTACGAGCCGAGAGGTCGTGGGTTCGAATCCCACTTGGGTATGGTTGTTTATTTGTGTTTGTCCATTGTGTATAGTCCTTTGGAGGGGACTTTAAGCCGTCGGTCCGTTCCTACCCCTAACCCGCACAAGCCATTCAGTTGGCTTATGGGACATCTTAGTTTGGATGTAAGGGTGGAACTAAAAGAGCACTTTATAACTTTATTATCACAGGGTGTGAAATCCAAATGCTTAATTGCGCATGCGTATACGCTAAAGAAGCATCGCTAGTAGCGCCACCACTCGGCTGTTACCATCGTAACAAAAGTACAACTTTTGATAATCAGCTATCAAACGCTTGTGTTACAAACGAGTGTTTTTGAGAATAAACCCAGAAAATGTAAAAAATATCGAAAAAAAAAACCGTGGCACGATTTGTTTTGTTGTTGGGTGTATTTCGAGAGGAAGTCCCATGAGTTTTTACCGTTGTCGTTTTTTAAAGAACTCAATTTTAAAGTTATGTTTGTGCAACAATTATGTTTAACTAATTTCTTAAAAATGTCTAAACTTAAATATATATTAAAAGTTTGTGCAACAATTATGTTTAACTAATTTCTTAAAAATGTCTAAACGTAAATATAAATTATATTAGGTAAAGTTATTATTAGTTTATTCTGCACCAACAAATGTACTTACCGAATTGGAAAACACGAAAATGCAACGATTTAGTTCTTGAATTTTATTTACAATTAAAAACACAATATTCACCATAATCCCTTAGATAAAATACACACACTAATGTAACTATATAAGCATTTAAGCGTTGAGTTTCTTAATCAATGATATAAAGAATAATCAATCGAAATCGAGTACTAAACCAGTTTTTTTTAGTTTTTTCCTTGCAACGTAAAACACAAATAACGAGCGCGATTTAGCTGTGCAATTGAACAAAATTTGTCTAGTAAGACTTCTGCCTTCCTCTCTTTTGTGAAAAAACTACATATTTATTTAAAAATGATGTACAGTTCGTATGCTTTAAGTGTATAGTTGACAAGAATTATTCTTAAATTCACACAATGCTATCGAAATCCACCAGATGGCGCGCGCGTTAGGAAAACCAGATACTTCTTTAGCGTTTAATGTGGGCGCACTGGTATATTTGAGGTTAAAATTATTATGTCAAATGGACCTTTCTTTTGTAAACGCGCATAATGCTCTGTGCGCATGCCCGCTACACTTTATTTCAAATTAACTCACGAAATGATTTCTTTCCCACTCCATGAGCAAAATGCATGAGAAATCACGGCGTGAGTTAAATCAATTTAATTAATGAATACAGGTTGTTTTGTATAGAGTACCTACAAATTATTAGTGCATTGGCCTTATTTCTTGTTTTTGCGTGGGTCATTCTGGTTAATAAAAATTAAGTTTGTAAAGTATTTGAAGTTCTATAATATTTGTTTTATGCATGTACCCGCATTTGTCAAGGCGTGTGAATATTTCTGGCATACGTATTTTTACACAGGAAACATGAAGCTTGAATGATTTAAAACAGTGCTGCCAGAGCAGATGGTCGGATAATCCGTATATATTCGTGGAAAGGGTGGGGGGAAGCCTCGAAAAATCCGTAAAAATCCGTTTTTGTCTAAATTTCGAAAAATTTCTTCTATAAGGGGGATTTTCGTGACAAAACATACCTTTCGTCAAAGAAAATCCGAAACATCTCAGAATTTTTCGGGGGAGTTTCAGAAGTTTGAACCTCTTCGTCAGTGATATAATTCTCGTCACTTTCCATTTTTCACAAAATAAAGTATTTTATATACAGATTCGGATATATAATAAACATTGACTTTGAGATCAAAATATTGCCACAATGCAGTTCAATGCACTGAACTGGAGTCAGTATTGGTTAGTCGTTACTATTAGTGGCATTGCGCCGCTTAATTATATATTGGCAGCAATAACAACGTGTTATAAAACCTTAACAAATGATATGAAACTATCGTTCTCTTTGTCACACTCAATGAAAAAGCATATGTTTCGCATATATTCGGCGTTTAAGAACCCTATATTAAGAACACATCCTTTTTCAATCCGCTTTCTTTTTCTGTCTAACGTAGTAAAAAGGAAGAGGAATAGAAGCGTGACAAAGATGATCAAAAAACGGGGCAAAAATGATGTTTTTTTAGTATTAGTATGAAGCTATCCTAAAAATCCGTAAAAATCCGTATTTGATGAAAATCCGTTCAAAATCCGTTTCCAATTTCTCTAGACCTGGAAAATCCGTAAAAAACGGATAAATCCGTTCATCTGGCAGCACTGATTTAAAAATCGAATTCCTGATAAAATATTTCAATTAAGAATGTTATAACATTCTTATTTTAATAACGAGTGGTCCCAACTAAAAGGAGATAAATAATGCTACAAATCCTATTTAATGTATGTCTAAAAATGCCAAGGTGTTGAAATGTCTTTAAAAATGTTAATTTTTTATTAAATCTATTAAACCACCGGAGCTATTTATTTCATTTTTTAGACAATAATGTATTAAAGTTATTGACTATTTTATATATTTTAACGTCATTTTTACGTATTCGTTATAGATAAGCCTGTATTTCTATGTAAATGTTTTAATCATTACATATTGTCACTATCAGTAAAAAAAACATTTTTTATTATTATAGAAGGCTTTTTTTCTAATTGTAAACTTAAATGTTACTTGGACTATTTACATTAATAGGAAACAGAAAAACTAACTCGTATTTTTGAATACTCATTAGGAAAATTAAATAAAAATTAAAAAAATACACTTTTGTAGAAATTCGGTAACTATGTTTCGTAGTGTAACTTGACCTTAATGGTATTTTTGACATATCGGTGTTTTGATGTTTAGGTTAAGTTTTCTTACATCGTTTTTCTATGGTTTCTTGGATTATTACTGCCCGGTCATATGTCCGCCCCTGAAATAATCAAACCTTGGAAACGATATAAAATCAATCAATGCTTTGGAATGTAACGCAATTGTGAAATATGTAAATATAGGAAAAAACATGTCTGGAATATTTTTATTCAAAATAATTCCGAGAAAATCAAATTAGGAAACTTTCTCTTCGAAAAATGAATTTAAGCTTCTGTCAAAAATTAAAAGATTAAAAGGATTTTCATAAGGAGTTTATTTCTAAATTAAATTTTTATATAATAATTATTTCGGTTTTTTCCTTAAATATCAGTAACCAATATAACCGCCCTGTCCCAACAACGTGAATAATGAATCATCAACTTTCTCTTCGAAAAATGAATTTAAGCTTCTGTCAAAAATTAAAAGATTAAAAGGATTTTCATAAGGAGTTTATTTCTAAATTAAATTTTTATATAATAATTATTTCGGTTTTTTCCTTAAATATCAGTAACCAATATAACCGCCCTGTCCCAACAACGTGAATAATGAATCATTATTCACGTTGTTGGGATCAGTGATTGGCTAATTTCATTATTTACTGAAGCAATCGGGTTTTAAATTGGTAAAAAGTAAGGTTAACAGCTGTCAGATTTTTTATATATACGAGGGGAAACTATAATGATCTTTAAAATCGAAAGAAAGTGAGGTTATAATACATTTTGTAGAAAAAGCATAGTATTGCACTCGAAATAATGCGCATTTCCTCACATGATTTAAGTATCTCGCCTGACGGCTCGAAATGCAAACCTCATCCTTGTGAATAATAGCCTGCATTATCTCTCGTATAATAATATAGTATATAGTACTACTTAGTATAATTCAGTAAAGTGCCACATTCGCAAAACAAACAAGTATACCTAATACTAAACAATAATATTTTAAAAATAATCAATTATATTGTTAAAAATACAAATTTTATTTAGATAGTTTTGACGCATTTGTAAAATTAAAAAGGTTATATTTTCCAATTGGTTCTCAAAGGCCCTGTAAATTTCAACGTTGGCCTACAACAATACATTATGCATTAGCACCTTTTTTAAACACATACTCATTTGCATCTAATTTTAGAGGCTTAACAGTTTTAAAGACACAATTAAGCCATTCATACAAGTCAAAGTAAATTGATAACCTTAAGAGTAATAATCTCCAGCAAAACACCGACGTTTTGCTGCTGATACATTTATATGGCTTGACGTTTAAAGTATCAAGTTCTTCCAATGGAATTTTATTATTTGAGTGTGCAACTCGTGCTTATAAATAGCTGAATTATTATTCACGATGGTGTTAAATAATAGCGAAGTTGATGTAAGAATTTTGGTGAAATTAATTTTTTCAATGTGTATTTCTTTCTATTTCAGGAAGGACCACACAGCGTCCTTGCGGACGATGAGTTTTACGATGCGGTAGAGTCCGGTCTGGATAAGATGGAGGAGGAGCAAGAACTGAGGGAAAGACTAAAAAGCGGACCAGTTATACCGATCACCCCTCCTCCAATAGCGCCCGGATCGCAACACAGATTATGGCCAGAGGTAGAAATTTACTTATTTAGTTATTAAATTAGAAGTTTAACTTTCACAGGGTGACCTGATAATGAATCTACGCTATTAAAGAGGTTTGTAATATTAATTAACTTTACCTAGGTCGGAAGTTCAATGTGTAATTTTGGTTTAAAAACCATTTAATCAAACGTATTTTCATAAACCAAAAGTCTACATAACCCTGTATAAAAGTTTATACATTTTCATAAACAATAATACGTATAAAACAAGTGCCGGAAATAATAGTTTGTTTATCGAATTTAATAAATAACGTTTGATTTTATTAAACAATTATGTAGATAAAATAATATTAATTTGAATGATATTAATTTATAAACCTACTAATAAAATATCATAATTTTTCTTGTACAAATTAACTCAAATTAATATAAATATTTAAAAAATTCTTCCAATTCAATAATATTTAAATAATTACCTATTTAGATTATAAATTTGATATGGCTTAGTCATTATATTCATTATTTTTGTTGTTAAACCAGAACCAGAACATTTTACCTGACTATTTTTATAGAAATATATTTATAATTTAATAATATTTAAATAGTAAATGTGGATACAACTAGGGTTGGGAAAATTTCACTTTTTGCTTGTACTTGAAATTTCACTTGAAATTTTCACATTTATGAAATTTATTAAAATTTCCTAAATGTCTGAAATTTCATGAAATTTATTAAATTTATTGAAACTTTCAATAAATTTCAATCACTTTAAGTGTAATATATTAATATTGAAATAAGCCCACTTGGTGACCATGGCAAATTGCCTCTCTTACCTTCTACTCCTCTGTGGGCCCCTGCACCAATAATACTCGGACAACAATCGGGATTTCCTGGTGAAGTCATGATGATATCACAACGTGATTTTTTTTATCACGCTGTGATATCCTGAGTGCATACACATGCTTCATTACAGTGATATCATGTAGAACTCACGGTGTAATATTTGCGAATTTTTTCTTGGATTTAAATTAACTATATATAGTTAATTTAAATCCAAGAAAATATTGAATGTTAAACTGTTGATTCAATTGTTAACATACTTTTTCTTTCAATGTACAAATGTTTCGCAAAAATGAATATCCAAACACCGATGGCATAAAAAATCATGTCGTGATTTTTTATGCCATCGGTGTTTGGATATTTATTTTTGCGCCACATTCGTACATTGAGAGAAAAAGTATACCTACATATATTGAATCAACAGTTTTTGTGGTTAAATACATATTTTTTTGGATTTAAATTAATAGTTAATTTAAATCCAAGAAAATATTAAATGGATTTAACTGCAAAAACTGTTAATTCAATTGTTAACATACTTTTTCTTTCAATGTACGAATAGCTGGCCATACACAGACGTTATTGCGCGCGGTTTATCGTGTTATCTGCAAAAACATATGGAAAATCATGTACGTGAGTGAGTATCGCCGCGCGAAATGATAGAACGGGAAGGGATTTCAGACGTGCTTTTCTCTGGAGTGTGGCGTGTCCACACGCCACATTCCGCGTCACGGTTTACCTTTGCTTGGCAAAATTTCACGTTGAAAATTTGTACATGATCACATGCAGTTTCAAACGACTCGATAATGACACTTTTTGCCCACTCACATACGATTTTTCCTTTGAAACTGATATACCACGGGCAATCACTTGCTAAATCATTTGAATACTTTATCAAGTGTATGGAACATGACGCTTTTTTTGCCATGCCGTTCTTTCGTGCATACTAACCGCTACATCCCAACACGCCACGATAAACCGCGCGAAATAACGTCGGTGTATGGCCAGCTAATGTGGCGCAAAAATAAATATCCAAACATGTCGGTGCACCGATAGTATAAAAAATCATGTCGTGAATTTTTATGCCATCGGTGTTTGTATATTTATTTTTGCGCCACATTCGCAGAGAAAAAGTATACCCACATACAGGGCCGGCAGCTTTTCATTTTGACGTGTGGTGCTCATCTACAGTTGTTGGTAGCAGTGGTTAATGGATGGGGGGCAGTGGCTGCTGGTGGATTTTGGGTATAACGATATCTCAATTATTAGATATAGGACCCACACCAAATTTATATGAGTTTATAATGACATTAAATAAACAAGTTCTGCTTAAGCAGAATTTAAGTTGAAGTTTGCGAAAAAAGATAAATTTTTGCTCGGCTGTACCGGCCTCATGGCGCCCCCAATAAATATAATATAAATTTAAAAAATCCAAATTATACCGATTTTATACCATTTTAAATTTTTTGAAAAGAAATAATAAAAATTTAAAATGATATAAAATCTGTATTATTTGGATTTTTTAAATAAAATTTGAAATTTGTCGATAAACTATGGTAAATAATAAATTGCACCAATTAAATTTATATTACCTATATTTATTTGGTGTGGGTCCCATATCTAATAATTGAGATATCGGTATACCCAAAATCCACCAGCCGCCACTGATGGGGGGTGTGGGTGTTCTTTTCCTTGTGGGTTGCGGAAAGGAGAACAAAATAAAATTGGAATAGTTATTTAGTCAATTTATTTATCAAACTCAGTCACATTTTATATACAGGGAGAGCACACTACTAATTTTAGCACTATTAATATATCCCCCCGGAATGATTAAATTTAGTTTATATAGTTTTTTCGACAGTGCTTATTACGCGAGATATTTTAAAGTTTCAAGTTAAAAAACTCACCCTGTAATGGAATCGAATGGGATAGGTACCTATATACGTATATTACTGCCACTTTGGACGTTTAAGGGTTACCACCTGCCATTTCTTGGATTAAGGGTTACCAGCATCAAAAATACGGGTTTAAAATAATCGTTCTAGATTTTGTTACGAGACAATTAAAACAAAGTTACTCTAGGATTCGAACTAACTTACCTTTGTTGATAAAAAGTCGGGTATCTATCCACTAACACAATTGGTGGTAGCAAACAGAAACTCAGAGATAATAAACAAACTGCACGAACTGTAAATAATAATAATAATATAACTTAAAGTTTAGTCGGTATAGTAGAAATACCCTAAATACACGTCGTACACTTATACATACTATACCGAGTCGGTATTACCGACCGACCGACTTTGATACTTTAAATTTTGGATTCCTCAGCTTCAACCGTAAATTTGTAGAGGGCGTTAGTTTGCATCCCTGGCTACAGGATAAAAAATTTAGAGACCGCAAAAGAAATGCAATTTTTCTGCTGAAGATACGTGTGGTGCTGAGCACCACCATTTTCCTTTACGTGTGGTGCTTGAGCCCGCGAGCACCGCTATTGTCGCCGGCCCTGCCCACATATATATTGAATCAACAGTTTTTGTGGTTAAATACATTCAATATTTTCTTGGATTTAAATTAACTATATATAGTTAATTTAAATCCAAGAAAATATTAAATGTATTTAACCTCAAAAACTGTTGATTCAACATAATTTTTCTCTTAGAAAAAACGATTATCCAAACACCGTTGGCATAAAAAATCACGAAATGATTTTTTAGGCCATCGGTCAATCGCAAACAGCGATGGCATAAAAAATCACGATATGATTTTCATTTCTCACGCAGTGACATCCGGATGATGTCCGTATGAATAAAATTTGTGAAAATCACGACGTGACGTTCGTATGATTTTCATTTATCACGTGGTGACTTCCGTATGATATCAGTATGAATAAAATTTGTGAAAATCACGACATGATGTTCGTATGAATATCACGAATGTTGTCCGGGTATAAATAGTAAATACCTATGTTTACCACAAATTTCTTGAGATTTCCTTTTAAAATATTTATAATTATTATAATAATTATTAAAACTAGAATGTGAGGTTAGGTAGATCTGACAGTAGTCGAATTTTTTAATTCTTTCAAACGCATTTTTTACAAACTTTACCCGACTCAATACCCGGTCTAAATAAACAATTATTTTTACAGCCTAGCCGATAATCAATCACTTTGGTAGTGTTGACAATAATAAAGTTTTAATTATAGAACGCTTAAAGATAAAATTGGTTTATTAAATATATAAATATAAATACGAAGTAGTTTTAATTAAAAATTAATTAACATTTCGTAATTTCTTGGGATCTAACAGTTTTATATACGTTTTACGCAACATTTTTTCCTAAAATACATCTAATACCTAACTATAATTATGATTATAATCAGCAACTAATTTGTTTGCCCTATTTTCAAATACAATATGAAAATAAATCTATGATAAAAACGATTAAGTATACTTTTGTTATGCATTTGAACAGCAGACTTCCAAAATGCGACAATCAGACAATTAGCATTTAGAATCCATCTTTTTTTCAGATTTTTAAAATTCTTAAGAGATAAATATTTTTTGGATTGAGTTATTATTAAAGGGCTCCTTTTCCAAATTTACTGACATCTTGAATACTATATCATTTACTTCACATCAGAGTTGTGTTTCCTGATAATTATGCAATTTGGAACATTCTAGTAAAATACATAACCATTTCATTGTCATGATATAAATACACAGGCCCGCTTTTGCCAATATTATGTAAGTAGTTAAGAAGAATGTATTTTTTAAAAAATGTAAGTTATTTTGCGGACTGGGTGAAACAAAATAAAGGAGGTTCACAAATTTAAAAAGTGGCAGGGATTTTGTTGTGGCTTGCACTTTTTTAAGCTTTCAAAACAAAAAAAATATCAGATTAAATATTGATTTCAATGGCCTTAACATTTAAAAACTACAAAATATGTATTAAAGAAAGAACAAAATGCTTAAACAGTATCAGGTCAACTCTACGAATTTAAGTTGGACTTATCTCTTGACACCCACTTGTCATGACTAAAATTTGATTTGTTTTATTGTTTCAGATCGAAAAGACTGTGAAACAACAAGTGGAGATGGCGAAGTTGGGGGTGGGCGAGTGCGGCACTGGGTGGCAGTTGTTCGCCGAAGACGGCGAGATGCGCATGTACCGTCGCGAAGAGGAAGTCGATGGCATGGTGGTGGATCCCCTGAAAGCCGTCCATGTAGTTAAGGGAATCACCGGCCACGAGGTGTGCCATTATTTCTTCAACCCGCAGTACAGATACGACTGGGAAAGTAAGCATACATACTCTAGTTTAAAATAGTTTTTGTAATATATCCAGGTATAATATTCTGAGAAAAAAACACTAGAATTTAATAAGGACATTTAATACTTATTAGACTGGGCCAAAAAAATCAACTATTTTTTTTTAAAGTATATCGAAAATATGCTTTGGGGCGACAAACAAAAATTATTGTGAAAGTTTGAGTCCACAATATTAATATTAAGAGGTCTATCATCGCAATTTTAATTTTTTTTCCCTCATCAAGTTTTTGTCTCGGAACTCCCAAACCATTGAGTTTAACAAAAGTAAGTAAGAAAATTAAATGCTCTACAAAAAAGGTTAAATGAAATTTTTCGTCAGATGAACCGTTTCCTTAAAATCATGCCCTAAACATTGGTATAGTTTTACATTTTGATCTTTTAACTTTGGAAATTTAAAATTCATGTAAAAATCAGTACCCATAAAAAACCAATAAATATTCTTATGTGCAATCAAATGTTTTACAAAAAAAGCTAAATTCACTCCATCAAAAGTTATTCAAGGTTAAATTTGACAAAAATTTCGTTTTGACTTCAACTTTAACCTTGAATAACTTTTGATTGAATGAATTTAGCAAAAAATGTTAAGAGGCTTTTTTGTAGAGCATTTAATTTTCTTAAAATATTTTTAAGTAAATTTTGTTAAACACAATGGTTTGGGAGTTCTGAGACAATAACTTGATGAGGGAAAAAAATTAAAATTGCGATGATAGACCTCTTAATATTAATATTATGGACTCAAACTTTCACAATAATTTTTTTTGTCGCCCCAAACCATATTTTCGATATACTTTTCAAAAAAAATAGTTGATTTTTTGGCCCAGTCTATTATACAGTGTGTCGCACTTAAGATGAAGACACCCCCATATTTTCGATATTTGAAGGAATAAAGGTTTGAATTTTTTCACATTCTTACATGTTGATGGGTCACATTTTTTAAGCTACTCAACTGAAATCTGAACTTTAAACTTGGCCTACTACAAATTCACAAACAGGGCCAGTTCTCGATATTTTGCTTCGCGTTAGAGATATCAAAAAAAGTTATTGGAAAAAGTTGTTCAGAATATTATTCTAAACCAATATACCAATTTTTATAACAAAATTCGCAGTATCTTAAAAAATGTGACCCACCAACATGTATGAATGTGAAAAAATTCAAATCTCTATTCCTTGAAATAGCGAAAATATGGGGGTGTCTTCATCTTAAATGCGACACACTGTATATATTTTTATTTGGTTATTACAATGTAATAGCAAACACAATACAATTGAGGGATAAAGAAGCAATTTGTCAAATTTTTCAGTGCTAATGCGACTAGGGTTTTAAAAGGTCGGAAAAATTGTAAAAAAATTTCATAAAAATTTATAATAATATTACGATTATTAGAATCATCGTCGGAAATTCACTTTTTTCTCGATATCAGTGTACGGATATTATCCGTATAAATTTGTCAATTTTTCTAAAATTTTCCAATTTTTCCGTTTTTTTCAGCTGGCTCAATTTTTCCGGAAATTTTAAAACCCTAAATGCGAATTTAAAATTGTATTTCTCTTTTAACGTTTTTTTTTTGTAATTAATATTTATTTTGACATGTAAATTGATTGTTTATTCTTAGATTATCTTATATTTTTTTATAGTTTTCCCAAATTAACATTATAATGTTAACTATATACAAACGCAGTTTTGCATAAAACACGATTAATGGATAAAAATGTTTGGTAGTTAAATAATAATAATAATCTGTATATGTTTAAGAAACTTGATACTTCTTTGTATATATATTTTTTTAATGTTTGATTCATGTTTTTTCAGCGACACTTGAACAGATGACAGTTTTGGAAACGATATCAGAGGATTCCTTGCTGTTTCTGCAGACCCATAAAAGGATATGGCCGGCAAGCCAGAGGGACGTCGTGTTTTGGTCGCACATGAGGAAACTACCTGATGACCAAGACCAAGACGGGCCGGATATTTGGACGGTGGTCAACAATTCGACTGAGGATAGCGAACATCCGGTAAGTTACAATGAACGCATTTTTATGCTTGTTTTACATAAAATCACTTTTTAATTTGATACCTATTTGGAAAAAATGTGTGCATTTGTGTTTGCCATATTATTTTGTTTTTTCAGTTTTTATTGTTTTATTTATAAAAAAAAGTTTAATTGGTTGTCCTTGTTTTACCATTTACAGTCCCTGGCTAGACTTGCTCCCAAATTTTCTTTTATTTTGGGTATTGGTAAAGGATTAATTTTTTTTACAAAAATGCATTGTTGAACTACAAAAATAATTTTATGAATAGAATTCCGTCAAAAACGTCTTTTGCGATACAATTGAAATTTTAAAAGTGACTATAAAAATACCTATAATATTATATGTTATAAAATTAATATTTTTCATAAAAACGACTGAGTTTTTATGTTTTTAATACAACTCTTATCGCAACTTGGTTAGATACCTATACATATGTATATACATGTTTCTAAACACTTTGTAATCAAAGTTTCAATGTAAAAATGAGTTTTTTTTAATAATAATTTAACAAAGTATCACTTTTTAATGGCCGAATTTAATAAAACTTGTCAGGTTTTTAGTAATGGACAAAGGGCCTAATTTAATGTAAATAAATTTAATTTTATTAATCCAGAGGCGGCGCCGGGGCATCACAACTAGATATTTAAAAATAAAATTTGGACATGCTACTGCTTTTTTCAAATTCAACTTTTTTGTCTCCTGCATATTTTCTTTTGTTTAATTTTTAAGAAGGAAATAAAATTTGTTAATTTGCTCGCCCCCGGAAAAATTAAAGCAGATAAACGAATTTAATTATTTTTTCTTGAAAATTAAGGAATATAGAGAAAAAATGCAAGAGACGAAAAAGTTGTATTTTGAATTGCTTAATCTAAATATAATATCAAATATATTATTTTGTTTTTTCAGTTTTTATTGTTTCACTTATAAAAAAAAGTTATTGGTTGCCCTTGTTTTACCATTTACAGTCCCTGGCTAGACTTGCTTACAAATGTTCGTTAATCTTCAATCTTTTTACAAAAATGCATTGTTGAACTACAAAAATGATTTCATGAATAGAATCTCGTCAAAAACGCCTTTTAGGATAATAAAACACATTTTTACGATACTACGGAAATTTCAAAAGTGTCTAAAAATACCTATATTTATTAAGTTATTATGTTATTAAAATTAATAAAAATCGTTTGTTTTAATATTAATTTTACAAAATAAGTAGAGATGGGAAAATTCCCATTTGACGAAAATTCCCGGAAACTTTCCATCGAAAATTCCCGAAATTTTCCGAAAGTTTCAAAAAAATATTTTTTATTGGGAAAATATTTTTTTTATGCCAGGGATTTGCAAAAATTAAGTTTTTGTCAAATTTTTGGTTGCATTAACGACATAGATTTTCTTACAGATCTTGCTTTGAGCATGGTCTTTTTTGTTTTTTTGCACTATTTTGTAATAATTCCAAACACTAGATTTTTCTCTTGGCATTGTGCTATGCTTATAAATAAACAACAAAAATGTAAGAATGATTTTAACTTTGTTTATTGTATTTATTTTGTTTACCTTTTCAGCATCAACAGTTGATGCTGAATAATAATCATTGAGGTTATGTAACATAACTTACATTATTTATACTTCTTCTTCTGCTTTAAATTAACACAAATTAAATTCTTATTCAAAGTTTTTGGCCTTGTATCATGGCCTTAACGAAAATCAGCGGTTAAACAATTGACATTTAAATGAAAAAAACAAGGAAAGTTTCCAAGGAATGTTTCCAAGGAATGTTTCCGGTAGCTTAAAAGAAACTTTCAAAATGAAAATAAATTCCCAATTGGAAACTTTCCAAAACGGAAAGTTTCCTAAAAATAAGTATCACTTTTTTAATCTCAATTTTATCTTAAAAATGTGTTTTATCGCCCTAAAAAGGCGTTTTTAACGCGATTATATTCATAAAATCACTTTTGTTAAAAAATGCATTATACAAGGGTCTCAGAATTTAATCGGGAAAATTTAATAGTCAATAGAACTCGCAAAAATAAAAATAAAAGAACAAGAACTGGTATGTTTTAAAGTTTTGTTTTTGAGATGAACAGTTATAAACAGAATATTTATTTATTCCTTGTCTAAATTTAATAAAACTTCTCAGGTTTTTAGTAATGGGTAAAAGGGCATAATTTAATTTAATTAAGATTCATTTTTTTAATCCAAGTTTAATATTATTTTTAGATTAAGCAATTAAAAATACAACTTTTTTCCTTCTTGCATTTTTATTCATCTTGTTTAATTTTTAAGAAAAATTAAATTTGTTTATTTGCTTGCCTCTGGAAAAACTATGGTAACGAGCGCATAAACGGTTTTCTACAAAATTCTCCATGGTTCTTATCTTTGACATTAATTTATAGTTCAAGATTTTTATTCATTTCATTTGTTTATTTTGTATTTTCTTGAGAATATTTTAAAATGCAATGCCCTATAAATTCTGTTTTTATTTATCTTTATTATTTTTTGTTTTACAAAATTTTTTATACATTTTAATTTTTACTCCATTTTTTAGTTCTTTTTTAACTAATTTATCAAATTTTACCATCAAGGGGGTTTACTTGAAATTTGCGAATTTATTTTTATTAAAATGTTTTAAATGCACTGCATTTCCTGTCGCGGTCTAGTGTGCTTCGGAGAATGTTGTACTCTAATTGGTTCATCAATTCCGATATAAACCACTTTCAATGGTAAAAGTAAACTCGCAAATTTTAAGTAGCGCCTACCAGGTATTTTTTATTAAAAAATTCTATTTTTTGTCAATTTTTTGTGTGTTTTGCAGGCAAACGCAGGTAAATGCGTGCGAATATATTTGACAGTATGCTTGATGTGTCAGACTCGCGTAGACCCACCCAAAGATGGCGCACCAATTTCTAGAGATAACGTCTCCTGTAAAATTACGTATTGTTCAGTTGGTAAGTAAAATCCTTAATTAAGGTAAAGGCGTCTCTTTATTTAAAACGTTAATTTAATTTTAATAAATCTTTTGCCATTTTTTTTTATTATAATATTTACAAAGTTATAATACCAACAAGTACAATTATTAAGAATACTTTTTTGTTTTAATTTCAGTAAATCCAGGGGGCTGGGCACCCGCTTCAGTATTGCGCGCTGTATATAAAAGAGAGTATCCTAAATTTTTAAAGAGATTTACTGCTTATGTGAAAAACCAAACAAAGAATAAGCCTTTAATGTTTTAGTGTTAAGGTCAGGGTTTTAAGTCTTTACACAATTTAATTTATATTCAACATTATTAAACGTTATTTTATGTTAACAATGACTTTTATTTTACACAATATCAAATTTTATACAAGGTAAGTTTTCTTAAAATATTTTTATTAAAAAATAAAAAATCTACAAAGTAATACATAATTTAAATAATTGTATAGGGTGCTGACTAGTGTTTATTCTTATAAAATTTAATGGATTCCTTCCAAAGGTGTAAATGATTTGTATTGATAAAGTTTATCATCTCCATACCCATACAAAAGTTTTCCCACACCATGTTCATCATAATATGGGTATCGGTATTTTGGCCTAAAAATTATAATTGCAAAATAATTAAAGCAAAAGAAAGTTTATTTATTTGCTATAAAATTAAAAATTTGCATGGTTATCGCCATTAAGGTAAATGTATGCCAATTTAAAATGAGCATTAATTATACTTTTACTTTTTTGGAATTTTAATTTTTGCTTACCTTTCAAAGTATTGGAAATTTGGTGCTCTTGGTTGGATGGCCGATGCCAAGGCAATGCAAGCCAAAAGGAAAAACTGAAAAAAAGTTAAACAATTTTTATAAAATAATACCATTTTAATCAAAACATGACTTCCAAACTAAAATATGCTAAAACAACGTTTTAAATTAAAACTTAATTGTAATTGATAAACAAATTATTTTGTTTTTCTTTTAAAAAAAATTGTCATATTTTTTTAGTTCCTTTGAGTATTAATATTATTACTGTGCTTAACTTGACTGAACTGCCACATTTGATTAGGTAAAGCTGTTCATAGTCTAACATAAAACTACATAACTATTTTTTTTATTTATTTTTGGTTATTAACAAGGGCTGAATTAACAAAATAATATAAAAAATTATACTCACAATAACTGCGACTTTCTTCATATTGAACTAAGCACACTACCTATTGTTATTGTATAACGTATGCACTCTTTCCGCGAAGAAGCGCACTTTTACTCTCTATCAGTATTAAATGTTAGTTAACAGTGAAACTTCCTAATGGAATTGAAGGAAAGAGAAAGTGCACCGCACGATCCGTTCCGTTATCCCACCTCTACCACCTATTTGAGGAGTGTGGCCCCAGTCATTTGCAGTGGCGTCACCAATATTTGACCTGAATTGTACGAGAAGTTGAATGTCGAGAATTTGTGTTTAGGTGCGCCACTGTGTTGGTCAACTTTTTATTGTTGAGGTGGGGAATGTTTTTATACGGAACAACTATTTTAATTAAGCAATTTTTTTTCATGTTTTTTTAATAATTATTTTATAAATAATATTTTGCCTTTTTGGGCTAATTTTGTGTGATATATTTTAGCTTGCAAGGCTATAGTTTTCTCTTTAATTGAATTGTTTTAAATAAATACATTTAAAAAGTATATAATAATAATACGTATTACTTATCTAAATTGTTATGTATATGTATATTTTTTAAGGATGTTTTTCAAGAATTTATTATAAAAAAAACTTGTCCAATTACAGGGTGTTTGAACAGTGAATTAAAGTAAAAATGATTAAAATAGCTTATTATTTTTAAAGGTTTGCACCAACCTTTCAAAAAATCTAGTCCAGTTTAACTAAACGTCATTAATTTTAGCATCAAAAATTAGGTATATTTTCATTTAAAACCCAGTAAACATTCGTGAATTCACAATGGATTCACATGAAGGCATTTTCAATTCATTTCACTTCATCGTGGATTCAGGGTGCCCTCAGATGACGACAAAATATGAAGTCATTGTGAATTCATATGGATTCATTTTACGTTCATATGAATTCACGAGTGGATTTCGGATGAACCTATATGAATTCACCGTGACTTCATAAATTAAGGGTATCTGAAGGTACTGTGAACCTAGTATATATAGTATATACTATATAGATTTATACAAAAGTGTATAATTATTACTATTTTTAGTAAATATTAATATAGAGGAATAATAATTATTATAATAATAGTAATAATTATATACTTCTGCATTATTAATAATGCAAAAGTATAAAAAAACATATATTTTGATAAAAAAATAATCATAAATTCTTAATAAGAAATAAAAAAGTATAAAAAATAAAAATATTACATAAATATGTTATATATAAATAAAAATTAATATGTTATACATAAATAAAAATTAATTGTTAAAAAAACAATTATGATTACAAAGATACAGATACGGATATATCTGTATCCGTATCTGTATCGGACGACTCTTCAAATGACTCCACGCTTTTTTCGACATCGGCCCGTTGTTTGACATCGGCCTGTTGTTGTTCCGTTCCATTTATCTGTATGAACGAAATTTTTAAATATTAGACAACTACCTGAATCACTATGATATGTTATCTTACTTGGGTCCTTAGCTTTCGGATTCTTTGTCTGGTGGCCTGCATATTAATATGACAACTTTATATATGTTGGCTGTTTTAGTTCTTTAGCTGGATTTATACCTAAACTTACCTTTGATTATCAAACACAAACACAAATAATTACTTCCTCATGAAATTGGTTTGTTCTATGATTTCCTTCTCGTCGCAAACTACGTAGTATATATAAATTTTAGGGTTAGAAGCAGACTGTTAGAAGACTATTGCGCATGTGTAGTACACACAACATGTGTACTGTAATACGAGGGTATGTCGAATGATACCTACAGGTGTTAATAAAAAAGCTTTGTTAAATCTGAAATATGTAATTTCCGTGGTAACCAAACTTTCATAATATGATATTCAGCCGTATTCACTAAGCAAATTAATTTGCTTTTCGTCCTAGGTGCTGTATGGGTACATTTGTTTGAATTTATCTTAATTACAAAATGACATAATTAACAATTATTAATAATTATAATTATAATTAATTATTATTGTTAATTGGGTCATTTCGTAATTAAGATAAATTCAAAGATGTAATTAAGGTAAATGCAAATAAATGTATACATCGCTATAGCGACTTAAGGCGCTATATACAAACATTTTTGTATACTTTTTTTGACAGAATCTGGTAACACCTGCTGCAGCAGTACTGCGGTGGGATCCATGCTCACTTCACATAAATTCACATCAGCGTAATTTTGTAAATTCCACGGCCGTGAACAAAATGCGGATCCACGTAAACTTCACCAAGATTCACATTAACTTAATGGGTTAATAAATTCAACGGTCGTGAACTGGAAGTGAATCAATCGTGGATCCAGGCGAAGTTCACATAACTTCACATCAGCGTTATTTCATAAATTCCACGGCCGTGAACTGGATGTGAATAAAAAGTGGATCCACGCAAACTTCACGTCAACTTCATTTAGTAAATTACACGGCCGTGAACTGAAAGTGAATCAATCGTGGATCCAGGCGAAGTTCACATAACTTCACATCAGCATCATTTAATAAATTCCACGGCCGTGAACTGGATGTGAATAAAAAGTGGATCCACGCAAAGTTCATGTCAACTTCATTTAGTAAATTCCACGGCCATGAACTGGAAGTGAATCAATCGTGGATCCAGGCGAAGTTCACATAACTTCACATCAGCGTCATTTCATAAATTCCACGGCCCTGAACTGAATGTGAATCAATTGTGAATTCACGCGAAGTTCACATTAACTTCATTTCGTAAATTCCACGACCTGAACTGAATGTAAATAAATCGTGGATCCATGCGCGCTTCAGTTGGGTTCACATTCGCGTCATTTAGTTAAATCCACGGCTGTGAACTCCATATGAACCCCTTCTGAATTCACGCGGACTTCACATGGACTCACATTTGCATCATTTGGTAAAATTCACGGCTGTGAACCGAATGTGAATCAGTTGTGGATTCACGAATGTTGACTGGGAAACATTCCCCAAAATTTTTCCCAACAGAGATAAATGTCAAGGTGCAGTTAGTGGGGATGGGGTGCTCTCCTTTTTACCTCAGTCATCAATGTCGCATTTAAAAATAATAAAAACATGTTTAGGTTACCTATCTGATCAATTGAGAGAAAAAAAACTGCTCTTGTAAAATTTGTATTTAGAGCTTTGATTCTGAAATATTTGAACTTAAAGAAAGGTTTTGGAACACAATCTAAAATACCTACTCCGGAAAATTTTAAAATCCAAGTAGTCTCCCTAGTAGAAATTTTACGTAGAAACAACGTTTTTCCCACGTTGGCAAAACCTAACTTTTATGTATAATTTTATGTTGAAATGTCCCGGTTTATAACGTTATCTGACAACGTTAGTTTTTAATGTTATAAAAAACGTGGGATTTACGTATTATGAAACGTTGCAAATACGTGGGTTTTGTGTATTATACAACGTTGCTTTTATGTATTATAAAACGTTGCAAATACGTGGGATTTGTGTATTATACAACGTGGGAAATATGTGGGTTTTGTGTATTATAAAACGTTGGAAATACGTGGGATTATTGTATCATAAAACGTTGGATTTTTTTATAAATTTGGGTAGGATTTTTCTTTATTATTGGAAAATTTAATATATATTTAAAAACAACAAAAATTTATTGTACAAAAAAAATACTTTGGAAAAAAAATTCCCAATTAACAAAATCTAAAAAATATTATCTAATAATATTATACTTAAAGTAAACAAATTAAATTATAACAAAATAGCTTTAACAAAAAATTTACAATGGTATTTTAAAAAGAAAAAATATTGCCTATATATAACAATTTTCTATACAAGATACTACAACTTTTAAATCAATATTAAAATTAATTAAAAATACCCAATTAACAAAATCTAAAAAATATTATTAATATAATATTATATACTTAAAGTAAACAAATAAAAATATAACAAAATAGTTTAGACAAAAAATTTTCAATGGTATTTTGAAAAGAAAAACTATTGCCTATATTCATATAGGTATTAACAATTTTCTAGATACAAGATACTACAACTTTTAAATCAATATTAATAAAAATCTAAAAAATCCTATTTAAATATTAACTAGAAAAATTCAAATATAAGTAACATAACTTAAAACATGGCCTAAAAAAAATAACAATGCTGGTATTTTAAAGAGAAGAAATATTGCCTATTAACAATTATTACAAATTTTCTAAATAAAGGATTAAACAAATTATAAATTAGCAACAAAAATAAAAAGTCAAAGAAATTTAAGTAGTTACCTAGTTAAAATATAAGTCTAAATAAAACAATTAACAATGAAGGTGAGTTTAAAGTCACAAATTTTTAATTTTCATTAAGGGTTTTGATGCTTGGCAAAATAAATTTTAACAATTACGAATATATAAGAAAAAATGTGAGGATTTTTGCTTTTGAATACAAATTTAGAGCACAAGCATTAAAAGGAAAAAATACAAGCAAAAATAGTATTTTTGCCTATATTTTTTTATACACTTGAAAGTTTTAAAATTGATTTTGTATAGTATACAAATTTATTTATTAAATGCAAAAGATTGTGACCTAAAATTGATTTACATATGGATATAATTTATTAATATAAAAATTATTAAGAACCTTTGATTGTTAAAAAAAAATCTAATAGATTTGGCTGGTAACCAACACACAATGGTAAATGATCTCCTCCAGTGTCAGCAAACATTAGAAAAGTTGAAAAATAGTTTAATATTCTGAGTTTCCTTTTTTCACAACATTTTGTTGTTTCCCTGGGTAACCAGGTGCTGGCAAAGCATCCCTTATTTCCTTTACTTCTGAAAAAATATTGGTTTATCACATCATCATAAACTTCTGATCTGGATCTTTTTAGATTTTTAGCATTCCTTTGAGTAATCACAATTTTTGCCTCCGGAAAGAATTTAGCCAGTCATTGCCAGGAAGGTTTTCTTTAAAACAACTAATTATCACTGCTTTGTGGTTTAGATATGACTGCACTCTTTTGTATCTTGTCTTGCAAAAGATTATCCATTATCCGCAGATCATCTGTGGCAGATGTAATCATTACACTTGCAATCTACCCAAAGGATAGACGATTGTTTATCACCTCTGCCACGGCCAATTCAATATTTTCTGGGTGATAATTTCTTTGATACACTGTTCCAGGAACATGTTTATGCTTTTAAGGCATCGTCACAGAACAAAACTTATTTTACATAAGGCATCGTCCAAATAACCCTAAAAATCCATGCAAAAAGCAACTGTTTAAAAAAAACACTAACAAATTGTTTGTGGTGATTGTTTAGGTTACTAAAAGTTATTTGCCATCCCTATCAGATAAAAATTACCTTATCTTTTAATTATTTTTCCAAAAAACACGGAAGAATTTGCACAAAATTTCGCACGATGTCAACACTTAACCTAAAATAAAGAAATAAACACTTCGTGATAGAGCGGTAAATTTGAATTTTTCTTCGTTTGTTCCGTGTAACCCATAGAAATAATACCACAGAATTTTGTGATAATACTATGGTGTAACCTCTGTTGTTCCATCACCTAACTACGATAGTAAACCTTTATTGAAACTATAATAATTTTAGGTATCTAAAAGTAGGTTTTGTGTATTTCGGCCTTATTTTTAAAACTATGACTTTAAAAATTGTATTGCATAGTTAAATTTGATTTTATAACTAATGTTAGGTACAAAGACTAAAAATTTTAAAAAAATCCACATTAAAAATTTTCTCGACGGGACTTAAAATAATTTTATGTTGCTAAATGTGTGTTTTGGAACGTTGCTGCAACGTTTCTAGCATACAATTTTACAACGTAGTTTGAAAGTGGGTTTTGTGTATTTCGATCGTATTTTTGATATTATATCTTTAAAAAATGTATTGCAGAGTTTGATTTTACTTTTATAAATAATTTATTATAAAAAATAAAAAAAATCCACATTAAAAAATTTGCCGGCGGGACTTAAAATAATTTTATGTTGCTAAATGTGTGTTTTGGAACGTTGCTGCAACGTTTCTAGAATACAATTTTACAACGTAGTTTGAAAGTGGGTTTTGTGTATTTCGGCCTTATTTTTGAAACTATGACTTTAAAAATTGTATTGCATAGTTTGATTTTACTTTTATTATTAATGTTACAAAGGATAAAAATTTAAAAAAAATCCACATTAAAAAATTTGTCGACGGGACTTACAATAATTTTATGCTGCTAAATGTGTGTTTTGGAACGTTGTTGCAACGTTTCTAGCATACAATTCTGCAACGTTGTTTGAAACTGGGTTTTGTGTATTTCGCTCATATTTTTGATATTATGACTTTGAAAATGTGTTGAAGGGTTTTATTTTACTTTTATAAGAAATGTATAATAAAAAAAAATTGAAAAAAAAATCCTCAGTAAAAAAATTTTCGTCGGGACTTTGAAAAAATTTTATGTAGCCAAACGTGGGTTTTGGAACGTTGTTGCAACGTTTCCAGCAATACAATTCTGCAACGTTGTTTGAATGTGGGTTTTGTGTATTTCGCTCATATTTTTGATATTATGACTTTGAAAATGTGTTGAAGGGTTTTATTTTACTTTTATAAGTAATGTATAATAAAAAAAAAATGAAAAAAAAATCCTCAGTAAAAAAATTTTCGTCGGGACTTTGAAAAAATTTTATGTAGCCAAACGTGGGTTTTGGAACGTTGTTGCAACGTTTCCAGCAATACAATTCTGCAACGTTGTTTCAAAGTGGGTTTTGTGTATTTCGGTCATATTTTTGATAATATGACTTTAAAAATGTGTTGAAGGGATTTATTTTACTTTTATAAGTAATGTATAATAAAAAAAAATTGAAAAAAAAATCCTCAGTAAAAAAATTTTCGTCGGGACTTTGAAAAAATTTTATGTAGCCAAACGTGGGTTTTGGAACGTTGTTGCAACGTTTCCAGCAATACAATTCTGCAACGTTGTTTGAAAGTGGGTTTTGTGTATTTCGCTCATATTTTTGATATTATGACTTTGAAAATGTGTTGAAGGGTTTTATTTTACTTTTATAAGTAATGTATAATAAAAAAAAATTGAAAAAAAAATCCTCAGTAAAAAAATTTTCGTCGGGACTTTGAAAAAATTTTATGTAGCCAAACGTGGGTTTTGGAACGTTGTTGCAACGTTTCCAGCAATACAATTCTGCAACGTTGTTTGAAAGTGGGTTTTGTGTATTTCGCTCATATTTTTGATATTATGACTTTGAAAATGAATTGAAGAGTTTTATTTTACTTTTATAAATAATGTATAATAAAGTATAAAAATTAAAAAAAAAATCCTCATTGAAAAATTTTCGTCGGGACTTAGAAATAATTTTATGTATCTAAACGTGGGATTTGGAACGTTGCTGCAACGTTTCCAGCAATACAATTCTGCAACGTTTCCAAGACAACGTTTTAACTACGTATTTCCCACTTAAAATCATACATTAAAATAACGTTTCCAAGACAACGTTTTAACTACGTATTTTCCACTTAAAATGATACACTAAGACAACGTTATGAGTATAACAAATTATTATACAAATTTGCAACGTTGTCTGAATGTATGCAAACGTTATTTTCTACCAGGGCTTGGACTTGTGACTCGCAAGTTGAGACTCGGTTGTATTTTTTGACAGTTTGTGTCACAAGTTGTGACACAAACTGTCAAAAATACATACATATGTCAACCATGTTTATATTGTTTTTATATATATATAACAATTGTTAACCCTTAGATTTTTTTGACGGCCTGTATTAGGCTATCAATAATAAGGGCGACATTGCTCAAAAATGTTTCCTAAGAGAGACCTATCACTTCTTAAAATTAATTAATTTTAATTAATGACCTTAAAATTGCGCATGCACAATTTAAATATATAGTAATATATAATATATAGTTGTAAATATTTGTGGTAGCGCCCCTTAAAATAATTTTCTATTAAATTCTAAAATGATGTATTAAACGTTTACTAATAACCGATTACCTAACATTTAAGTATACCTACCACTTCTTTATTTTTGCGCTATATCGTAATATCTTACTTTCACTTTCATGAAATAATTTACTTTATCATCAGTGTTTACATTATTCTAGTCAGGTAGACCACAATAAAAATGTTGCACAAGGTAAGTCATCGAAATTTGTTCGAATTTTATTTAAATATTTTTAATATTGTTTTGTTCTAGATTGTTTTATTATTTGCTATATTTACTTTCTGCTCTTGTAATATAGTCAGAGAACTAGTGCAGTTTAATCTAGCTGGCCATCCAATTCTCCATAAAACAGTAGAATGGCCTTTTGATCCAGAAATTGGAGTGAGAAGATCCAGACAGTACCAAGAACTAAACGGCAGACTTGGGGAAAAAGCCATCGAAAGGCTTGGATTGGGAATCGATGGATACGATAGAGAGCGTTTGGCCGAACAAAGAGCCCGTGATGAAGGACATTTAAATGGCGTTGATTATCTTACCCCTTAATTTAAAAGTTTTAACTTAAGTTTTTTAATAAATGTTTACGTTTTAACAAGTTTTCTTTTGTGTAAAACCACCTTAACGTAGTAGTTCAAATGTCCCAATAGTGTCAAAATTAATTTGACGTTCTTTTGACAGCGTTTGTAAATATTTTTATAGACAAGCGATTTAATTTAATAAAATGACTCGCCACGCAAGAAATTGTACGGCAGGTGCAGTCTATACGTATCACGAGAAAAAACGCGATGCAGCTGCTTCAGGTTATGGCACAAATTCGCAAAGATTAGGAAAAGATTCAATTAAAGATTTTGATTGTTGTTCGCTATCTTTGCAGCCTTGCAGAAATCCTGTTGTAACGTAAGTAAACTGTTTATTGCTTAAGGGTCAATTTCACATGAGACATTTTCTGTTATGAGCTATTGTCAACATATTCAAAACTTACATTTCAGTAAAGACGGTTACTTGTTTGATAAAGAGGTTATCTTACAATACATTATAACTAAAAAGAACGAATACAGCAAAAAACTAAAGGAATATGAGCAACTTAAGAAAAGGGAGGAAGATGATGATCAAGAGAAGGAAGATTTGGCTATGCAGAAAAAAGTGAGCTCCTTCTTAAAAAGCGAGAGTAACATTGTAAGCAAGCCATTGGATGGATTTAAACCTAGCGAAGCCAGCACATCATCAATTTCAAATATGACTGGGGCTAAAGCTAAAGAATTGCCTAGTTTTTGGGTACCTTCGATGACCCCACAAGCTGAAAAGAGTAAAGTTGTAAAACCGGTAAGAATTACTTAAAAATATGATTGCCACTCACAAAGGATGTGTAAATATCTTAGCTGGTTTTTTAAATTTATGTTACTGTGCAAATTTGTCCTACCATTTGTCCTTTTTAATTTTAAATTACAGTGCGAGTTTGTCAAAACATTTTTTAAAATTTATTCTACTGTGCGAATTTTCCCCACCATTTTTTAATTATGAATTACTGTGCGAATTTGTCCCAACATTTTTTAAATTTATGCCACTGTGAATTTGTCCTACTATTTTTTAAATTTATGCTATGGTGCAAGTTTTTAAATTTATAAATGTTGGGTAGTTTTCAATTATCTACTTTTTCAAACTTGATCAGTTGTCCATTGCCCAAAACATTAATTTTAATGTTTGGTTTTCAATTGCACAGTTTTAAATAAATAAATGTAAGGGCAGTTTTCAATTTAATATGTTGTTTAAATTTGGGCAGTTTATACATCAAAAATCCGTATATAATCAAAAAATATCTGTAGATCGGAAGATCACACCTGAAATCCATTAATCTACTGATTTATCCGTAGAAACAGCAACACTGCTAACCCGTTACATCTTACGCTTACGCTTAATTACTAATATACCTATATTTATAATATATAAAGGGTGTACCATAACTAATGGAACCAAACTTAGCTTAGTTCAAAAGTTGACTTTTGAACTAAGCCAAGTTTGGTCAAGGAATCTGCAGTTTTACTGTGTACCATTAGTTATGAAACATAAATATTTTAAAAATATTTAAGATTATCGTAAAATTATTTAAAATTTACATTTAAAATTATTTAAAAAATTATTGGAGTATTTTGTGAAATTTAAATGTCAAAATTAGTTACAACCGATTTTTTTTAAGTTAACTTGTTAAAAATTGGCCGGCAATCATTTGTTTTTAAATTAAATAACTATTAATAGAAAGGATGTTTCATAATGAACACATTGCGACCCCCCATATTACTAAACGTGACCTGAAGGTTGAGAAACAATGGCATATAAGTTTACACGTCAAAAAGTAGTTTTTTATGAATTTTAGGATAATACAATTTATTGTCCAATATCTCAACAACCAATGAAAGTTAAGGATTTAATTGATGTTAAGTTTACACCTGTTAAAGACCCCAGCGATAAAAAATCACTGATTGCTAAAGAAAATAGGTATATGTGTGCTGTTACACATGATATTTTGAGTAATTCAGTTCCATGTGCAGTTCTTAAACCAACGTAAGTAGTAATTTAAGATTGAAGCCAGAATAATTATTTTTAGTGCTTAATTATATTTCTTATTTAATATTTATATACTTTTAGTGGTGATGTTGTTACATTGGAATGTGTGGAGAAAATTATTAAAAAAGACAACTATATTCATCCATTGACAAACCAAAAACTTAAAGAAAAGGACATTATTGTTTTGCAAAGGGTTTGTAGTTTTTTTAATTTATTTTATTTACATATTTATTGAATTTATTACTTTAGGGTGGTACTGGATATGCCCAAACAAATGTGAACCTGAAGGCAAAGGAAGAAAGGCCGGCATTACAAGCTTAAGTAATTTAAATAAAAACACTTTTCATATAATACATTGTTTTATTATGACTACATAAATAATTATATAAATAAATATAACAATAAAGAGTATTAGTAATATATTGTATAAAACGGTCAACATTATCTATTAAAATTAATTTGATACAACAAATATTTAACTTCCAAACATGGTAAAACATTTTAAATTATGCATGTACAACTATGTTTGGAGGATTGTTAATAACCTTATCACCCACAAATTCTTTGAAAGTTATTGCTGATTTACAAACTTAAACAATTATTACTAAACTAAACTAATTAATATCAAAATTACATTGCAAAAATATTATTTACCGAATACATAGGTCAGTTCTTTGCGTTAACTGTTAAGGAATGTTTTTGCCGTCACAATTCGAAACATGAGGCACAAATCATTGATTTTTTAATTTATTTATTAAGGGTTTACAATTGACTGTTTTGATCTTCAACTATTGAATAAGTAGTAGCGTTTTAAAATTTTCGGAAAAATTAGCTGGCAGAAAAATTAACTTACTTTTTTTCGTATTCAACTCTAATAATTATTATTAATTTTAGTTCAGTAAGACTATTCTACCAGGCCGCAAAAATATATTCGGTGCTGTTTTATAAATCATTTATTTTGTAAATCAATATTTCAAATAGGCCCCCTTTTTGTAATAAGGACCCAAGCAACTAAATTATCAACCATTTAATTTTCCACGCGTCATATATCCTTTGTATGGGTATCTTTTTTATCTAAAGATCTTCAAAGGTCGGTTAAATTAGACGAGTCTATTAAAATGGAATTTTTAACTAAAAAATCAGCGGTTCTCAAATAATGTGGAAAAAAACTGAAAACCTGTCAAAACCTAAAATCGTTATAAATTTGTTATTCCTGGTAATTTTTAAAAAAACTATGTATGTAAACATACAAATTTATGTACATTTTCATTATATTAGTGATTTTTTATTGCCTACTGGATTTTGAAATACCACCACCATCTTTGTTTTTTTATGGCCTCCATATTGGAAATTTACATGGTTAGATAAGTTATGGCGGTCATTATAAAAAAAAGATGGTGATGGTAACTTAAAACTAACAAAGAAAATTACATTACATTAATGGAGTTCGATTTTATCCTTCAACTGTTGTGCATCGCTCCAAAAAGTCTGAAAATAGTTGACTGACCCAGGAAGGATAAAATGGGATTCCCGGTATAGAAATATACCGGTATTTCTCGATAATATTGCAAGGTATTTTGTGATTTGTTCAATCGATTTAGTGGATGTTTCATGATTTGAAATTCCACATGTATCTACTGGTGACTGGTTAAAAGAGCCACATCGGCTCAGACCAAATCCATTACTGAGGGAGAGGCTTATGGTACTCCGGACTTGGTGGATAAAAAATATAGAGAGAGAGAGAGAGAAAAAAATGTAGATTAATATGTATGTTTACATGTTAAACTTACTTTGTTTCAAAATTCCCAGGAATAACAAGGTTATAATGATTTTTGGTTTTGAAAGGATTTAGATTTTTTTTAAATATTTTGAGAACCGCTGGCTATTTTTTCAATTTATAAATTTAATTTTAATAGACTGGTAATTATGGAACTTTTCTCTAATTTAACCGACCTTGTAGCTATTCAAATCCAAAAAACACATAGAAGGATACTTGGTGCACCCTGTATAAGACCGTGATTTTGTTGTTATTAAAATGGGAATATTTTTAAATTTTCAAAAAAAAATTGTTTTTAAAGACAATTTTTCCAATGCCTGTGAAAATTTTTCCGACGATTTAAAACGCTTATAGATACGTATACTCTCAAGTCTCGAGTATAAAATTTAAAATCACCACAACAACCAGTGTAAAGCAAAATGATTTGAAAAAAATACACAGACACTTTGTTTACACTCAACGACTAATTGATCTTAACATAATTCGTTGCATAAGTATTTCAATTAAAATACAATAAAAATAAAGATCCTTCAAGTTTTGCCACATTAATTTCACAGTAATACATTAAAAAGCATGTATTATTGTTACCATGCTTTTAAATGCTTTACATTTGTACTATTTTCCTAGCTTATTCAGTTCAATATTTTATATTTATAGAAGAATTAATTGTTGTATTGCTTTATTAAGTACAATAGACTGGGCCAAAAAATTCAACTATTTTTTTTTTGAAAAGTATATCGAAAATATGGTTTGGGGTGATTATTGTGAAAGTTTGAGTCCATAATATTATTATTAAGAGGTCTATCATCGCAATTTTAATTTTTTTTTCCTCAGCATGTTTTAGGCTCAGAACTCCCAAACCATTGAGTTTAACAAAATTGACTTAAAAGTATTTTTTTAAGAAAATTAAATGCTCTACAAAAAAAGTTAAAGTGAAATTTTCCGTCAGATGAACCGTTTCCTTAAAATCATGCCTTAAAAATTGGTATAGTTTTACATTTTGATCTTTTAAATTGGAATTTTGTAATTCATGTAAAAATCAGTACCCATAAAAAACCGATAAATATTCTTATGGGAAATCAAATGCTTTACAAAAAAAGCCTCTTAACATTTTTGGCTAAATTCACTCAATCAAAAGTTATTATTCAAATTTCGTTTTGACTTCAAATTTAACCTTGAATAACTTTTGATGGGGTGAATTTAGCCAAAAATGATAAAAGACTTTTTTGTAGAGCATTTGATTTCCCATAAGAATATTTATCGTTTTTTCTCAGGGTACTGATTTTTACTTGAATTACAAAATTCCAAAGTTAAAAGATAAAATTGTAAAACTATACCAATTTTTAAGGCATGATTGTAAGAAAAGGGCTCATCTGACGGAAAATTCCAATCAAACCTTTTTTGTGGAGCATTCAATTTTCTTCAAAAAATATTCTTAAGTCTGAGACAAAAACTCGGTCAGGAAAAAAAAATCTAAAATTGCGATGATAGACCTCTTAATATTAGATAATATTATGGACTCAAACTTTCACCATAATTTTTTTTGTCACCCCAAACAATATTTTCGATATACTTTCCAAAAAAAAATAGTCGATTTTTTTGGCCCAATGTACTAATTCTCCTAAAAATATAAATAAGTCTTGTCTTTTCTTTAGTATAAAGTTATTTATGACTACTAATGGTTATATTGTCCACCAAGGACTAAATACAAAAATACATGTTACGTTAGACAAGATCTTTAAGGAGAACTTCGTTGACGGACAGAATGTTGAATAAATTATCTATAAAAAAACTTAAGATAGAATACAACCTGTACTTTCCGGTATTATTTCCTCGCCCGCGTCCTCCGTGACGTTAATATCATTTTTCGGACTGGCAACCGCAGCGTTTTCCTCTCTCTCGGCGTTAATCGCCGCGACGGCCCGATCTTTGGACGAGCCGCCTTGGCTCGAAACGTCCTGGTTGGAGCTGGACTTGCGCGAGCGCGACGGAGCAGGCGGCGACGAAATCTTGCTGAGCACCGCCTGCTGGTACTCGATTATCTGCTGGTGCTGGATCTTCGTTTCGAGGATTTTCGTTAGGACGGATATTTGATTTTGTATTGCCATCATGAACGCCTTGTAACCCAAACTAAAACAGAACAATTGATTTGCGGATAAAGACACAATACGTTTTAAAAATGTTATCAGGCCGTTTGGAGGACAATATTTATAAATGAAAGGTTGATGAAATGTTGTACAAACATTCAGGGAAAAATATTTTTATAACTGTAAGTGCTTGTTCACAATGGACGTAACCATAAAAAAACATACGAAATACATAAAAAATACATAAGGACACATAATAAGCGTTCACAATGTGCATAGTACGTAATCTTTACGTTTATGTGACTCTTATGTAAAAATTATGGAGTACCGTAAAAACCACATAAAGTTCAAATAATTTAACTTTATGAAATATTTATGTAATTTTTTGGGAAAATTTGGGGGCCATTCCACGCTTAACGGATAGGACAATTGCCGTGTTTTTATTTACAAAATAATATTGTTCTATTATATTACCAATAGCTGGCCTTACACAGGCGTTATTTCGCGCGGTTTATCGTGGCGTGTTGGGATGTAGCGGTTAGTATGCACGAAAGAACGGCATGGCAAAAAAAGCTTCATGTTCCATACACTTGATAAAGTATTCAAATGATTTAGCAAGTGATTGCCCGTGGTATATCAGTTTCAAAGGAAAAATCGTATGTGAGTGGGCAAAAAGTGTCATTTATCAAGTCGTTTGAAACTGCATGTGATCATGTACAAATTTTCAACGTGAAATTTTGCCAAGCAAAGGTAAACCGTGACGCGGAATGTGGCGTGTGGACACTCCACACTCCAGAGAAAAGCACGTCTGAAATCCCTTCCCGTTCTATCATTGCGCGCGGCGATACTCACTCACGTACATGATTTTCCATATGTTTTTACAGATAACACGATAAACCGCGCGCAATAACGTCTGTGTATGGCCAGCTAATGTCAAATTTTTATAAATAGTTCTAAACTAAAGCTGTTTAACAAGGTTTTTATTTGGCAAAATTAGGTATCGTGGTTGACTGTTTAATTCCTTAAAAACTAATAAATTAAAGCGTAACGGACGGGACTATTACAAAGTCGTAGTAACAATAATAACAATTCTTCAGTCTCACTCATTTTAAAAACACAATTCACAAATTTTATGAGTTTATGTTCTAAAAAATGACATTAGTTTGACATGCTCAACATGTCAATTTGTATGGTCATTGTGAACGCTCTTTGGGTTTTATGTAAATTTTATGGTTATGATTTATGATTTCATTATGTATTTTTTATGGTTATGTCCATTGTGAATCCACACCAACGCGTAAATATTTCTGATGCCCGTATGCACCGTATGGACTTAATCTCGATTAGGAGTTTAATCTCGCTTAGTTCGAAAATTTATCATGCACCGCGCGAAAAATGTAGTTTAATTCGTCGTTTATCTGACAAAGAGGCGTATCTCATTTTTAAACAAAACGGTGTGAATTGAATTACGCCAGTTTGTACGGCACACAAAATGCAAAAATATTAGTTACGCCGAAACTGATTTATGCTAAAACTTTATTTGTACCTATTTATTATAGAGCTACGCCAGTTTGTGAGATTATAAAGTCGATTTTGGTGATCATTCTGGTATAACTCAAAAACGATTTTTTTTGAGTTACGCCTCTTTGTCAGATAAACGACGAATTGTTCGATTACGAGATCCTCGCCGGTGGGTAGGTGGTAGGTTTAATCGCAGGATTAACTGATTTTCTAACCAAATTTTTAGTTCCAAACTTCAAAAGTAGATTTCAAAAACTAGTAATAGTAGAAATAGTAAAAACTATAATTAAATAATGGATTTAGAAGAAGAACTATTTGTAGAAGATGATCAAGATATTCTGGAGATAATTAATTATGAATTTCCGCGTCGAAATTATGAAAGGAGCGAATATTTTGACACCATGGACAATTTTTCGTTTTTTCGCCGATTTCGATTGACTAAACCCACCGTTCTAAACTTTCTTAATGAAATTGAATATTGAAGCCCAGTTCTGTTAGTTTTTTTAGTCTTCCAATATTTTATAATACCTCATAACAATCATCATTAGATTTTCTTTTTCCGCTGGTGAAAAGTTAGGAATTCTAATCTTGCATTTTATGGACAGACGAAGGATGATCCAAAAAATTTTTCTATATAAAAATTATTGTATATTAGGCATATAACAACATTTATATTTTAGTTTGTCAACATAGTTTGTTTCTCTATGGTTGTCAATCGATTTGAATTTACGATTGACAGTTTTTTGTTGTTTTTTGACAAATAAAACAGCTTTGCCAAATCCCCAATCCAGATTGCACAATCCGCGTACGGTGCATTATGATGGAGAAAGATTAAATAATCGCGATTTGCTAACTAGGCTTAGGCTTTAAAACGGTGCATACGGGCATGAAACATTCATAAATATCACGTAAATATTTTTCAACATTTTTTCCCAATTTTATGAAAATATTATTTCCTAAGGCTGAAGGACCCCGGTCGATGGCCCTTTGTATATTTTGTATTATATGTTCTGTATTGTACTGAATATGCAATAAAAACTTTATTTATTTATTTATTATTTCCTAAATCTTGTTAAGTTATTTAACAATATTTATAAACTTTTTGAAAAGTTCATTAAAAGTTTTTTGATGTAAGCGAAATGTATCTGTTGTCTGAAGCTCGGCCGCTAAAGTCATCCACAAATCAGCGTCAGTTCGGCCATTTTTACTTTATTGAGTTTGTTTCAAGTGCGACGATAAGTGAAAATAATAAATTATTTAGATAATCCTTCCTGCTAGAGGTATGTATTATATTTATTTTTATTGTTTAGATTATTATTCTGCCCTGCTAAGCAAAAACGCCGTATCTACAATATTAAGTAATAAAGGACAAAAGATAATTTTTAATGCTTTTAACAATTAAAATAATATTTTGTCCTTTATTACTTAATATTGTATATACGGCATTTTTGCTTAGCACAGCCGTATTGCCATTTATGAATTTTATTGCCACCCTATTGAAGGCCATTATTCTATCGGTAAATTTCTAATTAACAAAAAACAAACATAAACCTAACAAAATCCCTTAGAAAACCAAATTTTTTTTTCTTTTAATTTTGAAAAACAAAAAAAGTAATTTCTCCGAGCGGGATTGAACCGAAGACTTTAATATAAATTAAACTATTTTTAACCTCCATCCGGAAAAATTCGAAAACCGAAACTGCGACCGAAAATGACAGTTACGACAATGGTTGGCTCAAGCTAATTTTAGAAAAAGTTAAAAAAGACTTAAAAAGAAAAAGCAAGACTGTAGAAATTAAATATTCTTTTATATCTATATAAATGTATAAATTTATTTTACTTTTATTTATATCAATTATTTCTAAAAAAAACTTTTTTTTAAATATTTTTTTATTAAAACGTGTACTAAATTTTCTTATACTTTTAGAGTACAAAAAATAGATCTCAAGTTATGGTATTCCACTGTTTTATTATATGATAAAATCATATAATATATTATATACTACGCGATCATATCAGATATACTGTATATCGAATTTGAGAATACCATACCACATCTACTTTTTGCACTTAAAAACAAGAAAATTCAGTACACAAAAAGTATTGGTTGTCACACGGCTTTTGTAAATAAAAAAGCAACATTTTATCAACAATTACAAAATTTTTAAAATAAATACGCAATAAACTGTAAATATTTAGAAAATATTTCCAGATATTTTTTGACGTTGAGAAAATATTGCATAAATATAAAAAATGGGACATCTAAATGTTTTAAAAACATTTTAGATGCATTTAAATGATAAATATTTATTCAATATTTTAAATATATTTTTGTGTTGTGCAGGATCTTACTTACCACTCCGTGTTTGTCCAGAAGTTGAGAATTAAAAGACCCTGTCGTAGGCGGGACACGGACTCGATATTTTGATCATATGATTTTGCCGCGTTTACGGTTCTCACCACGGCCATCGCATCGCGTAATAAAACAGATATGAGCAAGGACCATTCCAAACAACTCGCTTCCATAAATAATTGTAACAAATATCTGCAAAAAATATAATGATTATTGTATATTTCATTAGGAATTCGGCTTTCCCAATTTGAACCTATGTAATTAGTACTTAAGAATAATGTATTGCCTTTTAAAATTTGCCCGAGCGTTTTTATATTAAACTAAACTTATTATAATAAGGTTTCACAAGTAGCTCAGGCAGGATTAGCCAGTGCCTGAGCACTTTTTTATGCCCACCCACCCACTCTCTCGCATCTTGTGCGCATCTCTGATGTACTAAAGTCTAGTTAAATATTGATAAGGTTTTTCAAAAATTAAAAGACATTATAATTTTATAATTTGAATTTTATATTTAAAAAGATTACCTAGGTACTTAAAAAAGAATATAATATAAAAACATATTATGTTTATATTTATGAGATATTTAGTTTTGGTAGGTACCTTATCATCCTTTTCCCCAATATACAAAAGCAAATAAACAATAGGAGTTTTGCAAAATTATCGACGCCCTTGGCTTCAACAGGGTAAAAAAATTTAATTAAGCTTTATGAAGGAGGAAGTAACAAAAAATATCTACAGTATGTCCATGGATGACAAAAAGGAAAAAATATTTTAATTTCTAAGAAAATGTCATTCCTGATAAAAGTTGTTTGATTTCAAACGGGACACTTCATCTTTAGGGTTCATGGTTAATTTTTCCGAAAATGTTCGACTTTGATAAAAATTATTTTTGGTAATTTTTTGTTCATTTGTCTTTTTGTTATTATGCTAAAATAGAATAGTTTATTAGTATTAAAATACGTGATATATACACTCGTCAAAAAATTATATTAATACAATTAAATTAAAATAAAACAACACCATTTATATCAGTTAATATTATAAGTATCACATAAGAGATACTATTCAAATGAATGAAAGCTTGCTTTGTTAATAATATTTTAAACAGTTTTTTAAAGGACCTAATTTTCATGGTTATTTTCATATGGCAGCAAAAAAAATTGTAGCAGTACCTAGCTTACAAAAATTTGTTTGCAAATTTACAGAATGAAATAAAAGTGGACATACTATACTGTTTTAGGCACAAAAGTAGACAAATTATTTAATAAATTCCTCAACAAATACATATAACCATGTAGAGAATTCTCCAAGAATTAATTTTTACCTATAAAAAGTACGAAAATGAATAAAACAGCGATGAAAAATTTTGGTAATAAATTGAAGTTAATGCTTCGAACATGTCAATAAAAACTATTACTTTTGATAAATAACAAATGATCTTTATAAAAAATGTTCAGTTTTCAGAAAAATCAAAATTGCAAATTAACCATAGACGCTAGGGGTCTGAAATCCAGCAAAAACTTTTATCAATAATGGAATTTTCAGAGAAATGTAATAATATTATATTATATTATATATTATATTATTTTTTTACTTTTTGTAACCCCACCTGTTGATCATTTTTGATTGAAGCTGTTCAAGTGGACGAAAATCAATCCCGATCCCGCTAATTTGCCACCCACAGAATCGGCGTCTGAATACCATTATTTTCTTTTATTTTTTTATCTAGTGCAGGTGTTTTAAATCCAAAAGAGTTAAAATGTTAATTGTAATAATTTATGATAAAATGCACCTTTTGCAAAATAAAAAAAATCAAAACCATAAGACAAAAACTATATTTGTTTAAACAATACTTCAGTAAAAAATATTTCATGAAAAATAATTTGCCTTTTAGTTTTTATTGTGCAATATAAGGGGGGACAAGTTATATAACAATGTTTATAAACTTTTTGAAATGTTCATTAAAAGTTGTCTGATGTGAAGCGCCCTCTTAATTAAAAGGTTAAGTTAATATAATAAATTATCCAGACAATCCTTCCTGCTGAAGGTATGTATTATTTTTATTTTGATTTTTAAATTATTGTTGCTATTTATGAATGGCATTGTACTGAACCGTGACGGTACCTTAAAGTTTTATTGCCCTATTGAAGACGATTCTATCGGTAACTTTCTTATTGACAAAAAACAAACAAACCCAATAAAATCGCTAAGGAAACCAAAAATATTATTTTTCAATTTTTAAAAATAAATAAGTATTTTCCCCGAGCGGGATTGAACCGAAGATTTTTATTTACATTAAATTCCTTTTAGCCCCCCATGCGGAAAAATCAAAAAAAACTTTCGACAGAAAATGACAGAGAAACTTAAAAAGAAAAATTAAGACTGTAGAAAAAAAAATATTCTTTTATTTCTGTATTTTTTTAAAGAATTTTTGTTTTACATATTTTACTTTCATTTATATATATATCGATTATTTTTAAAATAAACTATTTTTTTAAAAATTTTTACCAAGACGAATTTTTTGGATTTTTAGCGTGCAAAAAATAGATATCCAGCTAAGGAATTTAACTCTGTTTAAGTATATCTAATATGAAAATACTATACCACCTCTACTTTTTGCACAAAAAATTCAGTACTCACGAAGTATCACACGGCTTTTATAAATATAAATGCAACATTTAATCAACATTTACAACAACATTTTTAAAATAAATATGCAATGAACTGTAAATATTTTGAAAATATTTCCAGGCATTTTTGTGAAGTTTTCTAACACATTTACAAACATGTCTTAAAAATGCTGTGAAAAAATATTGTATAAATATAAAAAGTGGGACATCTAAATGTTGGACCATTCCAAGCCCATGGACAGGACACATCAGAAACATGTCTAAATATATTCTTGTTACTTCCTTAAGTTTACTTATTTTTTCTACGAGTATTTATGGGCTTGGAATGGTCCTGTTGTAAAAACATTTTAAAGGCATTTAAATGATAATGGCTAATATTTCTAAAATATTTATGTTATTTAGCAAAAATATTCATTCAATATTTTAAAATCTAAATCTTGCAATAATCCAAATAAATAACTTTTTTTAGATTAAACTGCATAAAAATATTATACTTAGACAACAGTATTATATATTTTTCATTAGTAGGTATGTGATTAAAAATGTTTTTACCAACATCATTTGTACAAAAGTCGCACTAAGACGGTATCGCAAATTTCCATGATACAATACACAGATTTATATTCTTGATTTTTGCTGTGTAGATTGGTAAAGTGCAGAACATTCAAGTTTGTGCAAAAGTAAGCGGCGTTTGTTCTCTTGATTTATGTATATTATTAATTTTTTAATTAATTTTTTACAATTTTATTATTTTTGTTACATTTCATTTTATAAATATTCAACTTAATGTTAACATAAGTTGAATATGTTATTGTTTTTATTAGATTTTTTATTTTTAATAAATATTTTCTATTACGTGTGTTTTTTTAACTAAAAATTACACATATATTTAAATCTACCGAAATTTTATCATCATCTACCGAAAATTTCCAAAGAATCTACCGACAAAATGTTCGAAGAGGTTGGCTCTGGGCGTAACACAGACTCTCGTCTAAAATCTTACCTTAATTGCACTTCAGATCGATGCGATCCCTTGTTGCCAGCAATGGACAGCTGCTCCAACAACTGGCTGGACGGTACCTCCCAATTGTCCGTGCTAGGCGTGCTCAGGACATCCCTGGTGTCATCGCCCCACACCGAACTCACCGTGCTCATCATCGACTCGTCGACAGCGGTCGAATTGATCGGCGTGTTCTGCAACCCCAAGCTCATGCTCCTCTCGTAAATCATGTTCTGCCCGAACAAGTTCACCTTCTTGTCGAAGTTGACCGAGTCTCGCTCGGTTTTGACGCTTTTCGCGTCCGTCTGCGAGGCGACGCTCTGTTCGGCGTCGGTGTCGGCCATTTGGCTCGATTGTTCCAGAGTGTTTATGGGGGTCACGAGGCCGGTGCACGGCACGCCTTGGAAGCTCATGTAGCCGCTGTCGCCCACTTGACTAGAGGTTGTCGGGGAGTTGAACACGTCGATTTTTAGGGCGCGCAGGTGGTCTTCCAAAGGCGTGTCGGTTGGGCTTTCTAAATGTGCTGTGGGAGCTAGGAAATTGTACATAAAAATTACATTTGCGAATTTACTTTCTATGGAGGTACACTTAATCGCAATCTAGTGTGCGATGGAGAATTCTCCAGCAAACACAACCGCAAAGGTTCTATAATGGTTCTTTATAAACGTGCCTTTAATGAACTAGGCCCTATAAAGGATAATGGAACTGTACATATTATGTCGAGTTCACCTTTAAGGGGCATGTAACGGCAGTCAATAAAGGCAGTTACAGAACCATTGTATTTTTTGATATGGCGCACTAAAGGCTCTGATATGGCAGATTAAAGGTACAAATGTGGAAAGCTAAAGTTTCTGATATGGAGTGGTTATTTAAATAATTTTTAATGGATAAGTGATGTATCTATTATGGTGGATTATTAGATAAGGATATTCCACGATAATCAGAAATTGTTATCTCAATTATTAGATATGGGACCACACCAAATTTATATGAGTTTATAATGACATTAAATAAACAAGTTTTGCGCAAGCAAGTTTGCAAAAAAAGTTAACTTTTTGCTCGGCCGTACCGACCTCATGGCGCCCCCAATATATATAATATAAATTTAATTGGTGCAATTTATTATTTACCCTAGTTTATTGTCAAATTTCATTTGAAAAATTCAAATTATACAGATTTTACACCATTACAATTGTTTGAGTGTACACAGTGTTGTAGAAAGGGGGGTTGCTTAAGCTTATTGTCCCATACAAACTTTGAGCTTAGGTTTTTATACCGTTTGATGCAATTTTTCCATTAATCAGTTTTGGTACTATTAAAAAGGTGTACCTCTCAAACCGTTTCCGAGATATTCAAGATTACAATAATTGCTAAATCGCATTAAAGGATTAAAAGGTACTTATGTATATGATTAGTGATGCCGCGAGACGAGACGAGACGAGAAAAGTTCTTCTCTCGTCTCGACTCGTGCAGCGAGAGAAAATGGGTCTCTCGTCTCGTCGAGAATACTCTTTTCTCGCTCGAGAGTGCCTTTCTCTCGTCTTGTCTCGATTCTCTCGTGGTAAAAGTACGTAAGTATGAATACAAAAAGTATTTGGAATGAAATACGAATTCTTTTATATTTTTTTCTATAGAAATTTAAACTGGAAATTAAAAAAATGTGTGCCAAGACCACACTAATAAAGTAAAACTTTTTACGCCGAAAATGTCGCGAATTTAAACCAAATGGTTGGATCTATGTGGAGTAGTTACATCTAGTATATTTATGCGCAGTAGTTTTCAGATGGATGGATCAAATCATTTGATCCATCAATCTGAAAACTACTGCGCCTATATGATGTAACTACTCCACATAGATCCAACCATCTTGTACCTACTGCGCATGTTCGTCATTTTGAATCCGCAATATTGTTTTTTTAATGGATATCAAATTCTGAATCAGGGACCCCATAAATATCTGAATACTAAATTTTACCCAAACCATTAAAGCCGAACGACAAATTTTCGTCATATTGGATCAGCCATTTTATTAAAAAAAAAATGGATATCAAATTTGTAATCAGCCCCTCAAAAACCACATGTTGTTGATAAGTTTATTGAATAAGCAATGCTTATTAAGCATACGGTTTTTTAATAGTATAAGGAGTGCCATAGATGTGCTTATACAGGGTAAATTTTAAAAATTATTACTATTTTATTATAAGTAATTTTTTCTTGGTTAACGTTAAGTTGTGTTATAAAATAATACAACGTTAAACAGGAACAAATTTGATTTATTATGAAATGAGAATGATGTTCTCATTGGTCCAAATAAATATCGTCATTTATGTGAAAAATTATAATTTTTATGTAAAAAAAATTGTTAACTTATAAGTAATATATTACCGGAATAATCGAGAGAACGAGAGAGATCGAGAGAAACGAGAAATTCTCGAGCGAGAGAGGGCATTCTCTCGTCTCGTCTCGATCCTTTTTTCGAGAGAATCTCTCGTATCGGCGGCATCACTATATATGATATATGAACAAATTTTATTTTTTATTGTGGCGGTCAGTGCAAAAATTCCCAAGGCCCATGAAATGCACTTTTTAGTTTTTTCAATTAAAAAATTTGTTATCATAAACCTTTTAATCCTTTAAGGTGATATAACAATTATTGTAATCTCGAATATCTCGGAAACGGTTTATTTTATCGAAGTTTGAGAGGGAAACCTTTTTAATAGTAGCCGAGCTGAGTAATCAAAAAATTGCATCAAATGTTATAAAAACCTAACCTCAAAGTTTGTATGGGACAATAAGCTTAGAGTAACCCCCGTTTCTACATCTCTGTGTACACTCAAACAATTGTAATTATGTGTAGTAAGGGACTGTTCGCAAAATATCACATTTAAAAAAAACTGATATGAACACTTTATCACCCTGTATCTATAATTAATTAGGAAAAATATTTATTTAGGTTTTTGTCTTATTTTGACTTGCTCAATCTTTTCCTAAATTTATGCCAATAAGTTTAGGGACACCTTGTATAGTATTATATCCTTTTGCTTTTAAAATTAAATTTGTATAAAATGTTTGATAAACTTAAAAAATTATTAACTTACCAGCTAGATTTTTTGTTGTTGCCTGGCTCGGTTCGGGATACGGCCACGGTATCTCCTCGTGCAGTTGTTTTAACGCCTTGACGAAGTCGTCGATTCTGGCGGCCCGATCTCGTTCTTTGCCCAGCCAAGCGACCAGATGAAAATCTAAGTGGGCAGCGAAGTAACCAAGATCAGACAACCTCCTGGCCGATAGCAAACGGCGCGCATGTTTTTGAAGTATCACGTCGATGAAGAACTCTTCCGCCGTGTTTCCAGGCGAACTTCTGAAAAAGGGAATGATTTTTGTGAAAATAATGTTTTGCATGCAAATCCTTAAAAGTAAACTTTAATAACTTTACGAAACGCCCTAAAAGTTCCATGCCCATGTCCAAAGCTTACAAAGGAAAAAAAGAAAGACAAAACATAGTAGTAATAATTAATTAATTTTGGGTTTTAGGTTTTAATATTAATTGTGTGGTAATTATTACTTAAAACCATTATAATTAAAACCTAAAACTTATAATTACTGCGCGTAAAAATTAACGCATGAGTAAAAAAAATTCTAACTCTAAAACGCCTTTACCAACCTTTATGTATAAAAATACTTTAACTTATATATCAGTTTACGTGTTCGAGGGTTTTTCGAGAAAATGTTTTTAAAGCCTTTTATTTAATAATAAATAAACGTTCAAAAAATAACTTTTAGGGAATTTTTTTTAACTAAATAAAAAATATGCTGTTTAAGACCGTATTTTTGTTAGTATACCCTGAAAATTTTGTACAAATCAAACAGTAACGAAGATACATCGCTTCAATGTCGGTAAAAAGGATCCCTTTTTGATTATTTTGCTGAAAAGTGGTCATTTTTGACGACTTTGAAGCGATGTATTTTCGTTACTGTTTGTTTGATTTGTACAAAATTTTCAGGGTACACTAACAAAAATACGGTCTTTGAAAGCATATTTTTTATTTAATTTCCCTATAAAAGTTTTTTTCGAGCGTTTTTTATTATTAAATAAAAGGGCTTTAAGGATATTTTCTCGAAAAACCCTTGAACACGTAAACTGAGATATAAGTTAAAGTATTTTTATCCAAAATTTTATAAATATTAGTAAAGGAGTTTTAGACTTGGATTTTTTTATCTTACAAAATTAGGTTTGTAATGAATTTATATTTATAATATTTCCAATAATTAAAAAAACAACAATGGCACAATTAAATTAAAAATAAATTATTATAAAAGATTAATTTAAAAAGGAAAATTAACTTTGAAGTTTTTAAATGAGTTATCCAAAAGCGAACTCAAAGCTAAATAAATATACAGGGTGCACCAAGTATCCTTCTATGTGCATACTCTTTGGGTATTTTTTATTTTAAGAGCTATAAGGTTAAATTAGACAAAAGTTGCGTAGTTACAAGCATAAGGCTACTATCATTGACTAAAGACTTCTTCACTCAACGCTACTATGTTTTAAGTTACCATCTTTTGTTTTTATAATGGCCGCCATAACTTTTTGGATACATTGTTGGATTCCTTGATTTTTTTCTATCTAACCATTTCTATCTAAAATTCCAATAAGGCGGCCATAGAAAAAACAAAAGATACCCATACATAGAAGGCTACTTGGAAGGATCTAAGGATGGAAGTTTTTGTCTAGTTCAAAATGTAGCTCTAAAAATATAAAATGTGTTTTTAAATTAAAAATAAGGAAACGTCTAAATTTTACCAAAAAAAAACCATAATTCTAAAAAAAATATTTTCAAATGTATCTATTAAATACCCGGACAACATTCGTGATATTCATACGAACGTCACGTCGTGATTTTCACAAATTTTATTCATACTGATATCATACGGAAGTCAACGCGTGATAAATGAAAATCATACGAACGTCACGTCGTGATTTTCACAAATTTTATTCATACGGAAATCATCCGGATGTCACTGCGTGAGAAATGAAAATCATGTCGTGATTTTTTATGCCATCGCTGTTTGCGATTGACCGATGGCACAAAAAATCATGTCGTGATTTTTTAGCCAACGGTGTTTGGATAATCATTTTTGCGCCACGTTCGTACACTAAGAGAAAAATTATGTTGAATCAACAGTTTTTGCGGTTAAATACATTTATTATTTTCTTGGATTTAAATTAACTATATTACGTTAATTTAAATCCAAGAAAATATTGAATGTTAAACTGTTAATTCAATTGTTAACATACTTTTTCTTTCAATGTACGAATGTGTCGCAAAAATTAATATCCAAACACCGATGGCATAAAAAATCATGTCGTGATTTTTTATGACCAAACACCGATGGCATAAAAAATCATGTCGTGATTTTTTATGCTATCGGTGTTTGGATATTTATGTTTGCGCCACATTGGTAGGTACATTGAGAGAAAAAGTATACCTACATATAGTTTTTGTGGTTAAATAAATTCAATATTTTTTGGATTTAAATTAATAGTTAATTTACATCCAAGGAAATATTAAATGTATTTAAACGCAAAAACTGTTAATTCAATTGTTAACATACATTTTCTCACAATCTACGCATGTGGCGCAAAAATAAATATCCAAACATGTCGGTGCACCGATGGCATAAAAAATCATGTCGTGATTTTTTATGCCCAAACACCGATAGCATAAAAAATCATGTCGTGATTTTTTATGCCATCCGAGTTTGGATATTTATTTTGCGCCACATTCGTACGTACATTGTACATTGAGAGAAAAAGTATACGGCCATTCCACGCGTAACGGATGGGACAGTTGCAAGTTTTTATTTACAAAATAACATTGTTTTATTATATTACTAATGTCAAATTTTAATAAATAGTTCTAAACAAAAGCTGTTTAACATGGTTTTTATTTGGAAAATTAGGTATTGTGGTTGACTGTTTAATTCCTTAAAAATTAATATTTTTATTCAAAAAGACTACTAGTAAGTACTGCGTGGAATGGAATATCTTTTTTAATTGAACCCGGACAACTTTCGTGATATTCAAACAACGTTTTGATAAATTATAACGGTGTAATGTGAATAACAAACTAGGTTTTAAATTCGCAGTTCGCAGGGCTCATACGCATGCGCAAATTTTGCAAATATCACACCGTGAGTTCTACATGATATCACTGTGATGAAGCATGTGTATGCACTCAGGATATCATAGCGTGATAAAAAAAATCACGTTGTGATATCATCATGAGTTCACCAGGAAATCCCGATTGTTGTCCGGGTAATATGGGAATACATTTTTAGGCTCTAAACTACTAAAATATACAATACAAAATAGTATATTATGTATCAAGTTTAATAATAAACGCCATTTTAGTTACGAATTTAATTAATTAAATGAGTGCCTAGAAAAGTTTATAAACGAGTTGCATACTATACTTTTTCTACGACAAATACTTATTATATTATCTAAAAAATTATTTAAATTAAATATTTCTATAAAGCGACATCTATACGAAAAAAAGGTTATCATCCCAATAAAACGTCATTTTCACCATTAACATTGCCAAAAGGTCAGTAAAAACGTTCATATAATCATATATTATATCCCGAGAACTATGATAACTTATTTTTTATTGTTTTTTTAAATGTATAATAAAACTTGTAAATAACACATAACACAAATAACACATAAAACAAAAATTCAATTGAAGGCTAAAATTTAATCGCTGTTCTAGTGATTTAATCGCTTATCTAAACAAAATTTATTACAAAATTCAAGGCTTTTTGATTGGTTCACTTTATAATGAGGGAAATATTCTTTTTAAATATTGGCGTCAAAAAACTATTTAATACATTTGTATTAAGCTAATAATAGTTATTTGTTTTACAAGTGTTGAAAAGCGAGTTTTTAAGTTGCCCACTAGGCCGTTAGGCCGAGTGTGCATTAACACGAGCTTGAAGAAAGCTTTTCTCACAAGTATAACACAATGTTTTTTCTGCGACCCTTTTATTTTTTATTATTTTTAAATACAAAACAAAATAACCTAAAAACTTTTTTGACAGCTGAATGTCAAACGATGCTTTCCGGTTCTTTTCACACAGACCTGTCACTTTTCACACAGAAATGTCACTTTACATTCGTGTTTTGCCTTACCAATGAAAAGATTCATTTTCTAAGCAACGATGCCATCATGAAAAGTGACTTTTACATAGTGGTCGTAGAAAAAATAATTTTCACATTTAGTATTATTTTACAAGAAAGGCACTTTATTTTTTTTAACGATTGTATGACATTTGACAACTGTCAATCAACTTCAGCCCGTGACTAAAAACCTGTTGCTAACTTCAGTCCATGACTAAAGCGCCATAAAGCCGCAACTTGTCAATGTGTATTTAAAATGTCACTTAGTGTCATGGAAACATGTACGAGTAGAAAAACTTAGTAAAAAACAAAACAAATATAAAATACCAAAAATTAAATTATCCTACTATGAGGGTTCATAAATAATTCAGTTTTAAAGTGCGCAAAGTTATATTTTTCCGCACGCCACTGCAATTGCACGCACGAAGCGAAGCGGAAGATTGCTACTTATATTTTAATATTGAATTATTTTGACTTTAATTAAAAATACTATTAAAGGCTTTATGAATAATCTTATTCCTGTATTAAGAAAAAAATTTCTTGTAATTTAAAGGCAAATAATGTAGTTAAATAAAAATGACTGAAGTCAGTAGCATTTAAAATAAAAGATCCTAAGAAAAAAGCTGAATAACTATAAAAATGTGAAAACTTGATAAACTTTAAAACCAAAACATTACATAAAAATAAGATAAAATTTAAAAACACTGAAAAAAAATAAAAAAAGGTTATTATAACTTTTTACTACCACTATAGTATAGTATACTAACTATAAAATGTACCGTATTTGCACGGCAAAAGTATACAGTGCAATCTTTAAAAGTAATTGCTTACTTAAGTAACTAATTAATTTAATTTAATAATCACGCAATAAGTTTGGCAAAACCAAATGCTGCTATGATGCTGTATACACCAAAAATAACAATACGGCATACTGAAATGTAAATGTATGCTAAATATGAAAATTTCAAAAATAATAAAAACAAGATAAATCTTTTACCTGCTATTTTCGCTTTTGGCGTTGCTATTCCCCACCGAATTCGGCACCGACTTTTTTCTGTTCGGCATCGGCGATTCGGCCAGGTTGTTCATGTTGCCGACGTTGCCGGCGTTCGGCCCTCGTTCGACCATCTTCGGCGAGATGGTCGTGCTGTAGCTGCGCACGCGCGTTCCCTGCACGTTGCCCAAAATCAGCGAGATGTCCTCGGCGTTGGGACTCACTGGCGGCGTCTGCGGCGTCAGACCCAACTTCTGAGGCAAGATGAACGAGTTGCGCGGAGATTCGACATCGTTTGGATCTAAACGATAACATCCTTTACTATTATAATTATCTTAGAATGTATAGGTATGTCAATAAAGCATTATCAGTTCCTTTGAGCTACTTAATAAATGAGTCATTTAATTCAGGTGAATATCCGACAGTTTTAAATCTAATAAAGTGCATTCCCATATTTAAAAATAAGGGGTGCAAAACTGATTCAGAAAATATCCGTTCTATTTGTCTGCAAAGTCAGTTTGCAAAAGTTTTTGATATGTTGTATTATGTGCGCTTATAAGACTATTTAGAAGTCTGATAGAAAATAATCAAAATAAGTTTAGAAAAAATAAAAGTACCAGTTCTGCAATATCTGATGCAATATCTTTTATATAGAACTTCCTTAATAGTAAGGCACATGCTGTGGCTAGGGTTGGGACAGTTGAAATTTTCAAATGAAAATTTCAACTTTGAAAGTTTCAAACTTGAAATATTTCATTTAGTTGGAAAAGTGAAATTTTTAAAAATTTCAAATGAAATTTTTAATCCGAAAATTTCAACATTGCCTGTGAAAGTTTCAGAAGTTTCATTGAAAGTTTCGCAATTTACTGAAAACTTTGCATAAATTTCACATGCGGCCTCCCCTGGGACCTTTAATAATAATTTACAACAGATTCCGAATCGACCAATAAGAACGAGTTATCAAGCGTCTGGGCGTTTTTGTTTAGTTCGGCTTACACTATAAGTAATTATTGTTACTTATATGCATAAATTAATTTAAATAATTTAATTCAGTTACCAATTTAAATCCTACTTTAAAATTTTTTCAAAAGTCTTGATTAATTTAAACTTTTATTTTTGATATAATTGCATCGGAAAACGGATAAAAAAATGCCTTTGGCTCATAAAATTTTGATGAAGTTTCTTCAATTTTCGTAAAATTTCAGTAAAATATTTAAAAATAATAAATATAAAACAACGAAAGTGGCACAATCTCATTAGCTTACCAAAAAGTGCTATATCTCTTTTATTTTAGTAATTTTAAAAATATTTTAAAAGGAAATCTCAAGAAATTTGTGGTAAACATAGGTATTTACTATTTATATTATTGATGCAGGGGCCCACAGAGGGGTAGGAGGTAAGAGAGGCAATTTGCCATGGTCCCCAAGTGGGCTTATTTTAATATTAATATATTACACTTGTACAAGTGAAATTTCATAAATTTCATGAAATTTCAGAAATTTAGGAAATTTTAATTTTAATTTTAATTTCCCAACCCTAGCTGTAACTCTTTTTTTCGATTTAAGCAGGGCTTTTTATACTGTGGACCACGAATTATTCCTAAAAAAATTTGAATGTTTTGGAGTACGTGGAAAATCATACAATTGGGCAAAAAAATATCTCAAAATAGATATCAAACTGTGTCTCTACAAGGTCACTTCTCTGAACGAAAAACAGTCTTACTGGGAGTACCCAAGGGTCAAATTTGGGGCCGGTATTTTTTATAATATTTGTTAATGACATATTAACCCTATTAAATCAGTCTAACAAAGTAGTATTGTACGCAGATGATACAAACATTATAGTAAGACAAGGATATTTGCGAGTTGGCCAGTCAAGCTACATTGAGTTCTGAAAGTTTTAATATATGGTGCAAGAATAATGGACTAATGGTAAACGCAGAAAAAACATTTTAAACAAGATTTGCACAAAAAACATTTCACACAACTTTGTTAATTAAATTACAAAATAAATCTATAAATTTCAACAATGTGGTAAAATTTCTTGGAATAACACTGTTTCTGTCAGTTTTACGTTTATTATATTTTGGGCTTGTTCAATCAAATCTCACACATGGGCTCATATTTTGGGGATTGTCTACAAGGCCCACTATCTCAGTTTTTTAAGAGTAAATTTTTAAGAATTCATATTACGATTTTTTTAAACAAAATCTAAGCACGGCACTGGATTCACCACCCCTTAACAGGACCTTATACTAAATTTTATTGAAAAATTGTAAGAAAAAAATGCACAATAATAACTACAAAAATTTATTTTGTCTAGTTGTTAAAAATATTGAAATAAAATTAAACTAATAGTAACGTGGTACTATTACTATAAGTTCAATTTTATTTCAATGTTTTTTTCATGGATAACTTGACAACATAAATAAAATATTATTGTGCTTTTTTTAATTTTTCAATAAAATTTAGTATAGGGTCGTTTTGAATACAGTGCCCTGCTTAGATTTTGTTTTAAAATATCGCTAATATGAATTTTTTAAAATTTACTCTTAAAAACTGGCGTCTTTTGCTCCAAAAATACAGTTTATCAAGATCTACACTTTAAACCAAATCCGGTTAAAATCGCACAATAAATAAAGATTTTACAGGGGTGAGTCGCAAACAAATGGGTCACACTGTATATTAACCCTCATTATGTATACAAAAAAATATTGATAACTGCGAAAATTAAACAAATTCATGATTATGAAACAAGAAATCGGGAAAATATACATTTTCCTTTTCTCGTTTAAAAGTCTCTCAAGCATCAACCGAATATCAGGGAATTAAATGTTTTAATAATGTTCATAATTTAGTTGTGGAATGCAGAAGCACTGTAATTCTCCAAAAGGTGTCAAAGGCATTTTTTTAAAATAAAATGTATTATATATTTTTGAATTCTTTAAAGATAAGTTTTAGTTATAATTTACGTTTTTCTGTTTATGTTTTTTTAAATTAACTAATACATGAAATATTTTACTGTTTTTATATTATTTATTTATAAGTTTTTCATTTTCATTTATATTTATACCGTGTGTTTATATTTATACTTAATTTTGTTTTGAATAGTCCAGTAAGCCTTTGTGTTTTGTATTTTAGGCTTTAGTTGATGAATAAAGACTATTATTATTATTATTATTATTATTATTAATATTATAAGTAACACTATCATAGTTAAAAATCACTTTTAGATTATTTTATTATATTGCTTTCCAAATTAGTTTGTAAACTTTATTATCTATGGTTTATGCTAGAAAACAAATTATTTAATATACAAGGTGTCCCTAAACTTATTGGCATAAATTTAGGAAAAGATTAAGCAAGTCAAAATAAGACGAAAAACTAAATAAATATTTTTCCTAATTACTTATGTTTCCAAGATACAGGGTGATAAAGGGTTACTTATCATATCAGTTTTTTTAATATAACCTCTACTATGGTAGTCTTGGAAAGGTGATATTTTGCGAACAGTCCCTTACTACCAAAACACATATTCACACATAATTACAATTGTTTGAGTGAACACAGTGTCGTAGAAAGGGGGGTTGCTTTAAGCTTATTGTCCCATACAAAGTTTGAGGTTAGGTTTTTATAACATTTGATGCAATTTTTCGGTTACACAGTTCGGCTACCATTAAAAAGGTGTACCTCTCAAACTTGTTATATCGCATTATTTAAAAGGATTAAAAGGTATATGATAACAAATTTTATTTTTTAATTAAAAAATCTAAAAAGGGCATTCCATGAGCCTCGGGACTTTTTCCCCTGACCATCACATAAAAAAAAATTGTAGTTTTTTTAATTAAAAAATTTGTTATCATATACCTTTTAATCCTTTTAAATAATGCGATATAACAATTATTGTAATCTCGAATATCTCGGAAACGGTTTATTTTACCGAAGTTTGAGAGGTACAGCTTTTTAATGTTAGCCGAACTGTGTAATCGAAAAATTGCATCAAATGGTATAAAAACCTAACCTCAAAGTTTATATGGGACAATAAGCTTAAGCCAACCCTGTTTCTACGACACTGTGTTCACTCAAACAATTGTAATTATGTGTGAATATGTGTTTTGGTAGTAAGTGACTGCTCGCAAAATATCACCTTTTTAAGTCTACCATAGTAGAAGTTATATTCAAAAAACTGATATGATAAGTAACACTTTATCACCCTGTATCTTTTAATCATATCGAATTAGGAAAAATATTTATTTAGATTATCGTCTTATTTTGACTTGCTTAATCTGCTCCTAAATTTATGCCACTAAGTTTAGGGACACCTTGTATAATACGTTGTAACTCGATTTAAAATTTCCGTAAAAATTGATATCCCGTTTTTAAACAAACCTACCTATAGCTCTTAAGAATCGCACCAAATCTTTGGCCAACTCCCACTTTGATCTATCAAGAGCTGTATTTAGTAACAAAGTGGCATACTGTCTACTGACAGAAGAAGTTTCCAAATTCTAAAACAAACCAAATGTAAACAATGTAACCGAAACTTTCAAAGGCTGCTTTACTTGTAGTATGATGAGGTAGGAGGCAGCAGTGTCCAGCTGCCTTTTGGCCATGCATTCCTGAAATAGATCTTTGGGTTTGCCGGCCGCAGAAAATAGGCATGGCCAGAGCGCGATCTCGGTTTTTCTCGCGCATTGCACCACTGTTTGCAAGTATACGGGGAATTCCATTATGAATTCGATCACGCTCGGCAGCTGAGCGTCCGGTATGGGCTCTTTACTGGTCGCTTCTTCTTCCAAAACCTAAAAAACAGAAGATAGTGTAATTTCAGTTTGCGATGGGAAAGTAAAAGGGTAAAATATCTTTCCGATGCATAAACTATCTCTATGCAAAAAATCACGTCGATCCGTTGCTTCGTTGCCGCATGAAAGGGGGACAAAAAGGCCGTAAAAATAAACATTTCGCATTTATATATTATTTAGGATTACACATAGGCAGGGGTGTGGCAAAGGTTATGATCATGGGGGTGATTTTTATTAAAATAACGACTTTTGAATGTAAAAAATGTAAAGAAATACGTTAGATTGCATAATTTTTTTAAATATTCCAGAGGCATCGTCATTAGTCGACTGCTAATAACAATAACAAGTTATTTTCCCGACTAAAAAATTTTAGTGGCATGTTTAACTTTACTTAAGCAGCTTCAAAATATTGTGAGTTGGTGACTAATAAATTGTCTATTTAAAATTACTTCAAATATGCTGATTAATCCATTTAAGTCCTTCAAAATCAATGAGTAGACACTTGTATCTACTATATGGTATAAACCATACCATTTAATAAATAAATTATTAAATTTTAATTAATACAACTAAACAAACTGTTATGAAAATAAATTTGAATTTTAAACACTAATTCCAGTGGCGTTTATAATTTTTTCAGTCATATTATAAAAAAGTGTTTATTATATACAAAACCATTGTTTTTTTGATTAATTTGTGTTTAAATCAAGCAATAAAAAAATATTGCTTATCAAATTTAAATTTTCTCAACTATTTTATTGTATTAAGTGATAGTCAGCGTGGCTTCAGGCTTAAAAAAAATCAACAATCACAGTCACAATCCATTGATATTATATAACAAATTTGGATAAATTGTTTGTTGATCCTTTAAAAGCTTTTGATTGTTTGGATAACTTCTTTAAAAAAATGAATTGTTATACAAAACGCGCAATTAGAAGCATGTTTGGAATAAATCTCGAAGATTTTTGTAAAAATACATAAATTACTTCTGAAAAAAATATGACTTCTAAATATTTTTGAAATATTAAAATTTGTTAAGATAAACTTAAATAAATTTAATTTACAAAATTGAAGAGTTTTTTTTTAATTTCCTATAACGTGAAAATTGTACGTGTTCTTCATGTTGATTAATGCAAACATTCAGATTTTTGTATGAAGCGAAAACTTTAGTTAAATCCACTTCTTTTTTTTGCACTTTTAGCGACTGCTTTGGTGCGGGTAGTTGTGTGCAAATTGATCGACGGCGAGGTATTTATAAACTTAACTTTATTACACTACATATACACAATATACAATACAATACACCTATATACACAAACAGAATTATAATTTTTATGTGTTGTCACCCGGAGCCGATGTACTCAAAACGGGCTGTCAGTACGTTGTGTCTGGTGATAGACCAAGACATTTTCCAAGAGCCCTTTGGCCACCCACCCCTAATCGTGGTAGGGGATAGGTAGGACACATTTGGAAAAATCCAAGCGCATCTATAAAAGGGTAATAAAAATAAAATTAAATAAATTACTTTCGGTAAAGAAACCGGAGAGGTAAGTAAGCAATCGTAAAGGATGTTTACCGATGACAGGAAACTCCAATGTTTTACAAGGCTCCAGGTAACAAACACACGCTCTCTGCAATACACTATTTACAACCTACTACCTGAAAAGTTTAAACATAATTACTGACTAATAATAATTCGAAATACATAGCAATAAAAATAAAATAAATAAAAATTATTATAAAAATCACTTAAATTGTACTGACAGACAAGAGTGGGAAATCCAGTCCCCACACACTTGTACCCTTTTGCTTCTTCCCCCTTTAATTGTAATTATAATTATCCAACCAGGCCTGGCAACAATTTACAATATTTCAAGTATTCTATGGCATTGTATGAATTTAACCCATATTATATTGGCGCAATTCTATCAGTGCCGGTTTAACAGGGGTTTTTTGGGGACTATAGCACCGGGCGGTAAATATTTTTGGGGCGGTACCGCGTACCGCCCATAATTAAAAAAAAAAATACTTAATCGTTAGAATTTAGAAAAAAAATTATTGCGACACTGCGTCGGCGGATACAACGGATACAAATGAGAAAAATGTTGTTAGAGTTAAAGCAGCTTCTCCATCAGAAAAACTTGATTTATTGGAAACGGAATAATTTGAACTTTTTGGATAGACGTTTTGCAAAGGGTTAATGAAACCAATAAAGCAGTCCAAAAACAAAATATGGATTTAAGCACAAATGCTCATCTTTTGTCATTTTTAGTTGAGAACTTTGATTTTTCACGTGATATCATTTTGATCATTACGAGGAAATTAACAGGAAACGAAAATTATGCTCAGAAGCGGATAATCATAAGAAAATTACAATTTGAAGAAAATAATTCAGAGGCAAGTTTAAGCAAAAAAGAAACAATGCGAACAATATGTTTTATTTTAATAATTGACAATCTATAATCCGAAATCATTTGTCGATATGATAGCTAGAAATCTGGCACAAACAAATTTGAATTTTTGTTTAATCTAAAAGCATAAATCTTCGTGGAGGATTTGGATGAGTTTTTTCCTCAAAAATGTGTCCAACTCAAGAAACTGGTAACTTCCCTTTCGGAAATAAAAATAGAAACTCCATTGGAATTAGTATAAGTTTTATACGAAAATAAATTAATATCTTCATTTCCGAATATTAATAATTGTCTGCGAATTTTTTTTTATAATGGTTTCAAATGCAAGTGGTGAACGATCTTTTTCTGCTCTAAAAAGGGTAAAAAACTACCTAAGAAATACAATTCCCCAAGAAAGATTTAACTCCTTAGCAATTCTGTCCATTTATCAAGACCTGCTAGATGAAATAAATGTAAACAATTTGCTACTATAAAGACTTGAAAACAACCTTTTAATTATTAGTATTAGGATTTCTCAATATTTATTTAAACCAAAGAATAATGTTTTATTTATTTATAACTTTTGATTAGTTTTTCTTAGTACTTAGTATTGTTTATATAAACCAAAGAATGTTTTATTTTTTAGTTAGTGCTTTTGATTAGTTTTTATAATTTGTTTATAAAGGCTCATTTTATATTTTATATAGGATACTGTTTACTGTTAGATACCAGCCTAACCAACCTAATCTTCCACTTGACGTGAGAAAGTAAGACTTAAAAATTTAAAAATGTTTTTAAAAAAGTAATATTTTAAAGCATTGGGCGTTGTGTTTTTGCCAGAACCGGGCGGCGAACTAACTTAAACCGGCACTGAATTCTATACAATAAATTACCTGCACAAATTAAAAACAATATTTTAAAAAATGCATTTTACAGTGTGAATGAGTTTTTATTTTTAAGTTTTTAGAACATGAATTTTAATTTAGTTGTCTGATTATTGTAAGTGATTTTTTTTGCTTTATATATATTTATTATCGGAAATGCCGACTTTTTTTTAAATCGGTTCGTTTCCATGTATTGGAAATATTGGAATATATTATTGAAACCTGGGAAAATGCCGACTTCGGAAAAGATGGGGGGGGTGAAATTAAATATGTTTAGAATTTTTAACTTACCGGCGCCAGTCAAAATGTCAAATTTGTTTGTATAAATCAAAATATATCCCTTGACTAACAACCGTTTAAATGATAATATAGAAGCAATTTTCAGAGTGAAAGTGAAGAAAATGTTTTACGGGCACTTCACGGTGGAGTCTCCACCCGAAATTTTTAATGCTTTCAGTTAAATCTAGTTTATTGCCGGCAAAATCAAAAAGTCTGTACAAACTTGTATATAAACTGTTCAACTAGGTATTGGCGTTAAAAAACTATTTAATAATTTTTATTTTTGTATAAAGATAATAAAATAATTTCCAAATTATTATTTTTCAAGAAGGTCACTTTATTTTAATGATTGTATGACATTTGACAACTGTCAACTAACTTCATTGCTTGACTAAAAACCTGTTGCTAACTTAAGCCCGTGACTAAAACCCTATAAAGCCATAACTTGTCAATGTGTATTTAAAAGGTCACTTAGTGTCATGGAAACATGTACAATAATGGGCGTTTTAAAGGTGGGAGTAGAAACAATATATTAATTTTGGAAATTGAATTTTTTCATTCAAAAATTTAACTATTGTAAATAAACATTATTATTATTATTATATTTCTTTATGGATTGTTTGCCTACCTCATGCAACAGCAGTTCCAAGGAATGTGGAAAATACGGTAAGCTCATGCAACTTCTAGCTATTTCCCAGGCGTGGTAACCCAAGTTTCTTCTAATTAGTTGACGTAAAATTTGATGTAAATAAACTTGACTCTATCAAAACAATAAATCGTTAAGTTAAGTGAATAAATGTGTGAAATATTTTACTTACAGTACGTTGTAAAACGCAAAAAGGCAGTGAAAAAGGTGAATTAGAATCCGAAGTGTATAGAATAGTATCGTTTTCGGCTCCTAATATTATTGCATCTTCAAATAAAATGGCTACAAATAAGAATTAATAAAAGAAAATCATTATTTGTAAAAGTGGTAAATTCTTACCAAGAGGGTAAATTCTTAAATGGAAAGGTAACATAATTCTTTTAGACATGAAAGTGTGGCTTTTATCGCCATCTCTAGGGTAAAGTGGTAACCAAACTCTCATCCCATGAGCACCACAAAACAACCAAAGAGCTTCAGTTAAGTGAGCCTAAAATAAAAAATAAACAGATTGTTAAGAATAGTTCACATGAAAATATGGTATCTATGGTTGTAGTTTGACTTACCTTCTCTACTCTTCTTTTTCCAGGCACCCACACATTCTCAACGCAGCTCGCCAGCACGGTGGGCATCAAGGAGGCGTACTTCTCTCCATTCCTGATTTCCCTCTGAACCATCAACAGTCTACCGCTGACGTTCAGCACCATACTTTCCGGGTTCTTCTGCTGCCCTCTGCCGGTTTCGGTGCGCAACGACGTCAACGTAATCGACGCTATACAGGCCGGATGTACCGCGAGAGCGGATATGTCGATTGTTTGCACCTTGTTTACGTCGACGTCGCCCACTACGAATAACAACATAGGGTCTTTCCATCTCAAATTGACCGGGCAAAAAGGGGTAGGTCGTTTTTTTTTTCAACGAATTTTTTTTTTACAGTTTCTCTACCGAAATCGATGAGACCCGTATTTTTTCTTTGTGCTTAAATTTGTTTTGTTCACCCGTGGGGAATTTTTGAAAAGTGGACAGAATCGTCAATTTTTCTCTTTTTATGAGTAACATTTTTTCTTTAAAATGCGATAACTTGCCCAAAAATGTTTCGATCGTTAATTTTTTTTTTAATTGGAGGTAAATGTTTACTACACACAAAAAATATATAAAAAATTAAGTGAATTTACCCAATGTTTTTTAATTTTTCTAAAAAAGGAAACAAAATTTAGGTAGGTTTTTTTTACTTCATATTTTTTCGTTTGAAGTCGATAATATGAACAACTTTGACCAAAAGTCCCAAGTTGGCTAAATTCGTCGTTTCGGAATTATAATTTTTTTTTTAATGAAAATGCCATTTTCTAGTAAATGCGTGGTTCATCAAAAAATTTGGTATTTTATCTAGGGTCATGAAACTGGAGTGACTTTTATAAAGTGTAATTTAGAACTTTTTGACATATTTAACATATTTTTATCACTTCTGCTTTTACCGGAAATGCTCTTAAGTAAGTAAATTAAACTATTAAAGATATATACAGGGTGTCCCGAAATTAGGGGGCCAAACTTAAACAGTGCATTCTTTATAGAAAAATAACACTTTTTGTTTAATAAACATATATCAAAAAATGCCCCCTAACGGAGCTACGCCTCCCTAAATAGGAGCTTAAGAGCACTATTCCTAGAGGGTTGAACATAAAGACCTGAATTTTTGGGACTTTGGTAATTTTGACATTCTGAATCTGGATCTATAATCAAAACTGTTAAAATGTAATCATAGGCGTAACATTTGAGGGGGCAAATTTACAAAAACAGCCCCAACTTTTTGCAGAGTGAGTATTTTAATGTTTTGTTATAAAATTATAAAAATGTATAGTTTTTCACGAAAAATAGGTACTCTTGCTTTGAATCGCTCAGATGCACCATTTTCGAGAAAATTGCAATTTAAATTACTATGCTTAGCATAATTTCTAATATTTTCATTAAAAAGCTTTGGGACAAAAGTGACGTTTGGGTTATTTGCTGACTTTACATTTATTTTTATAGTTTAGTTAATATTTTTTGGCTCGATTTTTGTTATTTTTTATTAAGGAGCGATTTTCCAAATTTTAACACAAAATTTTAACGAAAATGAGAGGTGTGTTTGCTATGCAGAGCAATTTATAAATGCATTTTTCTCGAAAATGGTGCATCTGAGCGATTCAAATCAAGACTACCTATTTTTCGTAAAAAACTATAAGTTTTCATAATGTCATAAAAAAAATTAAAATATTATCTCGGAAAAAAGTTGGGGCTATTTTTATAACTCCCCCCCCCCAAATGTTACGCCTATGATTATTTTTTAACAGTTTTGATCTTGGATGTTGATTCAGCATCTAAAAATTACCAAAGTGCCAAAATTTCATTTCTTCATGTTTAACGCTCTAGGAATAGTTTAAAAAAAAACTATTCTCTTAGGCTCCTATTCAGGGGGCCGTAGCTCCGTTATTTAACAAAAAAGTGTTACTTTTCTATGAAGAATGCACTGTTTAAGTTTGGCCCCCTAATTTCGGGACACCCTGTATATATAATGTACATTCTAAATATTTTTGCATGTGTTACTTTTAAAAGATGTTAAAGTATATGTAAGTTAATTTTGGTTAATTTAATAAAAAGTAAGTATTACATACCTAAAAGTAATGAATTAAATGCACAAGAAACTTGTAAAAACTCGATTTCGAAGACATGTAGAACACAAAAAATTAAGTATTAAGCCTAAGAAGTCCAGAAACTAATGCGCAGGTTAATTATGTTTAGAAATAATAATTTTTTAGTTGATTTCATATTTCGTTTTTTTATTTATTGGCAGAGATTTCCTACAATGGCCACACTATAGGGCGGTCAGATATAACTTTTTATAATCGTTTCAAAATATTTGAATGATTTTATTTGGTAGTTTTAAAACCAAAAAATGTTGAGCAATTACTTTTATTTTATGCTACAAAAAGTTTTGGCGTGTTTTCTTAGTAAAATACAATGTTAATATATACTTACCAATAAAACAAACGAACAAACAAACAAAATTTGATATTTTAATTTATTTCTTTCTGTACACACTTTAAAACCTAATAATCATTCAAATTAAATTAAGAATTTGAAAGCGATATTATTAAAAAATGCATTAATATTTGGTATCAAATTTAAAAAAGTGGATTTCCTTTATGACCAATGAACCACCCTCTTTTATTAAACAAAAATAGTTTTGGCATAAATTATGGTTTTTCAATTTTTGAAAGCTCCTAAATAACCAGCATTGCAAAAAAAGAATAAAATTGTATTTTTTTTAAACTACTTGGCCCAACATGAAGCAGAAACGCCAATTCAAGGCATTCTAGATATAGAAATAAAATTTAATTAAAAAATGATTTGACAAATGACATGTATTTCAGAATTTTATTTTGAATCGAAGGATGTTTCATAAAAAAATAAAAAATTAAGACCATTTCCTGTGAAACCTGAATACCCTCCTGTTCCAACGAGGCAGTGAACTCATAAGAATTGTTTCTGCCCGCACCTTTCCGCAATGCGTTGTCTGCGGCGCAGTCTGCGCTTATTGTTCTGTGCTCTGCGCCGTATACTGAGTCTGTTTTGCGAGTTATTATCAAATCAAATTAGAAATAATTATTAGCGTTACAATTATTTCAAATGACTTTATTTTAAAAGATGTTGAAGAACGGTAAATGTCTAAAACCAGAACAAATTTTAAAATTTGCCTGTACATAAAAAGCTATGTATACCTACATATTTTATTTATTAAATTAAAAAATTTGTGGATGCAAAAAAATGATACCCTAAAACATTTTTTTTCTTTGCCCAAAATAGACGTTAGGTGTGACAAGACATTTTTTTGCCAGCAGCTTTTCCCGTATAAGGCCCCTACCAGATTTTTGATACCGGGCCCCCTCGAGGCTAGCTACACCACTGTTCATGACCCTAGATAAAATACGAAATTTTTGCAATGAACCACAAATTTACTAGAAAATGGCATTTTCAAAAATGTGTCCAAGTCAAAATTTTGACCTTGATTTTTTTTCATTTTTTTTAATAATTTAAATAAATATTGCTTAATTCCAAATATTTACCAAAAATTTAACAATCGAAACATTTTTGGCCAAATTATTGGATTTTCAAGTAAAAAAGGCCACTCGTAAATAAAAAAAAATCGATGTATCTGTCAATTTTTCCAAAAATTTCCTACGGGTGAAAGAAACAAATTTAAGCAAAGAGAAAAAATACGGGTCTGATCGATTTCGAATTTGTTAAAAATTAACGACCTACCCCTTTTTGCCTGGTAGATTTGACATGGAAAGGATATATTAAGAAGATTTTCAGTCAGTGTTGCCATATGAATGAATGAAATGTACTCTGGCAATGCTGGTAATAAGAGTGACTTACCGGCATCGTTTTGTTGCAAATTCCATATGGAAACCTGCGCATCCGAACAGAAAGTGATCAGCTGATCCTGCAAAACGTTGATCAGGAGTATCGGGGCGGAAACGCGCGCGATTCGGGCGAACTTGTTGTCCAGCTTCGCGTCCCTCGGGTAAAATCGCAGCTCGTCGGCGTTGTCGATGATGCTGTAGCAACCGGTGATGACGTAGTCGCGCCACCACAGCAACCCGCCGGCCACGATGAAATCTTTCTCCTGAGTCTCGTTGCCGAACAGTTTCCAACGGCGCGTTTGCATCGAGTAGTGCGCCAAGCCTGTTCTGCCCGCTATCGCCATGTTCTGACCATCGCTGTCTATTGCAGAATACTAAAAAGATATGTCTTTAATCGCCCTTGTAAATTTATTAGTGTATTAGTAGGTATTTCATAGATACATGAATTGTTAGAAAAAATTCTATAGTGACCGGCAAAAGTATGAAACAAATTCCGTAAAATTTTATATTTTTCGCCATATTTGTAGAAGCTATGACGTGATCGGCCGTTTTTTACGCCATATTTGTAAAAGCCGTCATCGGCTGTTTTTTTAAATTGTACCCTCTTTTTTTTGCAGATTCAAATAGATTATAAAATTCTGAATTTAGCAATATGCATATGTATACCTTTTGGGATGATAGTTTTGGGTATCATTAAACTTTGTAAAGTTTGTGATTTAAAAAAAAATTATTTTCAAATATGTTTTATCTTTATGAAAGCAGTGGCGGCTGGTGGACTTTGGGTATATCTCAGTTATTAGACATGGGACCCACACCAAATTTATAATAGTTTAAAATGACATTAAATAGACAAGTTCGGCGCAAACAGAATTTAAACTAAAGTTTGCGAAAAAAAAAGTTAGTTTTTCGTGTCGCCTCACCCGACTCCTGGCCTCCCCATTTGAGATCATTTAAATTAAAGTGGTGCAATTTATAATCTACTATAATTTATCGACAAATTTAAAATTTTATTTAAAAAATCCAAGTAGGTATTACAGATTTTATACGATTTTAAATTTTTATTATTTATTTTATTAAACCATAGCATGAGTAAAGCTGGATACCCCTGACAACAATCGGGATTTCCTGGTGAAGTCATGATGATATCACAACGTGATTTTTTTATCACGCTGTGATATCCTGAGTGCATACACATGCTTCATCACAGTGATATCATGTAGAACTCACGGTGTGATATTTGCAAAATTTGCGCATGCGTATGAGCCCTGCGAACTGCGAATTTAAAACCTACCCGGACAACATTCGTGATATTCATACGAACATCACGTCGTCATTTTCACAAATTTTATTCATACTGATATCATACGGAATTCACCGCGTAATAAATGAAAATCATACGAACGTCACGTCGTGATTTTCACAAATTTTATTCATACGGACATCATCCGGATGTCACTGCGTGACAAATGAAAATCATGTCGTGATTTTTTATGCCATCGCTGTTTGCGATTGACCGATGGCACAAAAAATCATGTCGTGATTTTTTATGCCAACGGTGTTTGGATAATCATTTTTGCGCCACGTTCCTACAGTAACTTTGCATTAAATAAATTGCAAACTTCTTGTTGTGTTCTAGTTTTATTGCCACATCCTATAAGAATTAAAACTTCAATTATCTGTGTTTTTTTGTTAAATGGCCCATATTTAACTACTTTGAAATATTTGGAGAACGCTGAAGATACAGATTCTTCACTGAATGCTCAACACAAATTTTTTACATCAACATAGTAGTAAATATTTGTTTTAAATTATAACATTTTTTAATTTTATCAAAACCCCTGTGATTTTATGGCCTTTTAGTTACGGGCTGAAGATAACAGTGGCTTTTGGGCATTTTAGTCACGGGCAGAAGTTGGCTTTATTATTAATTAGGAAATAGTGAGGTTAAATCCGTTAAAAGATGTCAAATGTTTAACAAATAAATTTGGCTTTTAATTCCTATTTAATTTTATTCTATTTGTGTTGGTCGTAGATAAAGTATAGTATGCAACTCGTTTTATAAACTTGTCTAGACAGTCGTTTTTATTAAACACTCGATCGCAAGCTTCGCTCGTGCCTAATAAAACTTGTAAATAAAATGGCATTTATAAAACTTGATACATAATATAATATTAATAAAAACCATAAAACATTAAAACAAAAACAATTATAAATTTTCCACTTTTAATAATTAATATCTCTGCATATTGGTGATATCACAATTTCATAATCTATTCGAATATCCAAAAATAGGGGAAACAATTTTAAAAAAAATGGCCGATTACGTCAGAGATTTTACAAAACTGGCGGAAAATATGAAAATTATAAGTACATCAAAATGTGCGTAATTGAAAAACAAAATCGACCTGTTTAAGTCTTTTTTAATGAATTTGTTCCATACTTTTGCCAGTCACTGCAGTGATATGTATAGTAAACAGTAAACTAACCCTTATTGGCCAATTTGTCGCAGAATATGTGGACGGAACCGGTATTACCAACCACTGTCTCCCTTCGGCCAAAGTGGTCATGGACGTGGGCATATCCCCAAACAACTCGTCCTTGTTGGACCTTTCGGAAAACATTTTAACCAAAGTATCGGCGGAGTTAACAAACAATTTATCTTCTCCCTGGAGGTACAAATGACTTTGGTGACTTTGGCAAGGGTTTATGGTAAGAGCGCTTTTAACAAAATCCAACTGAATTAAACTGGTTTTCAGAGTGTTTGATGGTATATTGTTTTCTTCAGTGTTGGTATTATCATTGTCTAAGGGTTCTTTGTTCAGGTCTTTTCTGACCATCCAAAGTTGGTAACCTTCTGTTGCAAAATCCTGAAATTAATAGTTTTTGATTTATAAACATTAGGGTGATTCAAAAAATCTACCATTCTTTTTTTTTACTTCTGATAATGAAAAATTGATAGAATACAGGCCTATCTAAGTATGAGCTTTTACTATTAAGAGTGCAATTTTCCATTTTCACATAAGTAAATTTATATTCTAAGCAAAATTTTGTAACTCGCAGAATAGTAAGGATTTTGAAATGAGTAGTACAAATTTTTGTTGGAAATTAAATGATTACAAAAAAGTCTTCCTTAGTTTTATCTATAAATGTGAGCGTTTCAAAGATAAAGTTTTCTTTAGTATAAATTATATCCCGTATGGTCTAGTGGTTTTTTAAACTTTCCTTTAAATAATTCATTGATATCAATGTTGTAATGTTATTTTTAATATGACAAATATATGTTATAAATGGTCTCATCTATGAGGTTAGGGTACCTACCAGAATACTTTTTTTTATAAATATTTTTAAATAAAATTTTAGAAAAAATGTGAAAATAGTTAAATAGTTGTGAGAACTGGCCAAATACCTCGTCAACGTTGCTTTTGTCTCATTCCACGGCCATCCGGCACTGATGAGGTTAAATAATACTCGAAACAAATAAGTAAAAAGCCATTTTTTAAAAAAGTTAAAAGCTTATTGTAATTAATAGAAAGACAAAATTTATATTGTTCGCGGTAGTTTAAAAAAAAAAGTTAAAATCGGTATAAGATTAGATTTAAAACTCTTACATTTATTTAAAAAACTAAACAAACCTTTATTGTAGATCAGTTAATTTTCAACAAAAATATGTACTACTCATTTAAAAATTTTGAAAAGAAAAATATTTGTTTAAAACTTTACGAAAACAAATAGGTTTCTTTGATGGTGTAAAGTAGGGTTTTATAAAGTGTCTAAAAAAAACTGAAAAATTAGGGAAAAAAATTGTTTTTTACGTTTTTTTCTCAGCCCTTGAAAAAATTCGCTTTTTTTGGGAAAATTTTAAATATACAAAGCAATCAACAACTTAACATTATTTTAATTTAAAAAAATATCCTTAAGGATAATAAATTTTTTACAAAAAAAAAACAAATAAAACTAAATATTAATTGAATTAAGAAAATAAAGGTAAACGTTAAATACTGTGGGTTGGGACCTTTTTGCAAAAGGGAGTCCATTGAAAATATCAATTTACAAAAAAACGAATGATTTATAAAGTTAAATTAGAAAATTATAATTTTATAAATTGACGTGTCAAATAAAACGATAGTTATGTTAATACAGCACCGAATTAATTTTGTCTGTATAATACAGACAAAATTAAAAAGTCAATTTTTCTTAAATTTTCAAATATACACTGGTATCAAGAAAAAAGTGAATTTTCGACTCTGATTATAATCATATAATAATTACCCTTTGAATAAAATGATAAAATGCAAGTCAATTTTTCTTTTCCTTTTTTGATATCAAAAGTCAACACAAAAAGTAGATTTTTTGAATCATCCTAATAAACATATATGTTTATAGCTTATATATATTTACACCCTCCTTTAAATGTGTATCAAATGAAAGGGATTGACAAGTAGAAAACAATAAGGTGGGTGAAAATTTTAAGAATCTCCAAAATTTACAAAATGAAGTTTTAATATTTTTCAAAAATTTTGAAAATGTTTTAAAATATTTATATTTCCCACGCTAAACTGTTTTTTAAACATTTAAATAAAATATATTAAAAATATGCATCTTCTCACCATCGATAGTATTTGAAGCGGATTGCATCTCTGTATGTCGACGTTCAGGCCGTAATCCCAACCCAGCGAGCACATCAAGAGTGCGCCGAAGGTGGACCACATCGCCAGACCACCTTTTTCCCATGCGGCCACCAGAGCGCAACCGTCGGGGGTCCACCGTACCTGCCCCACCGCGCCGGGACATCCCGGGTAGTCTTTGCTGCCCAGCACGCAATTGTGGGACACTTCCAAGCCACCGGTGCTTTCGTCCACGCAGTAAACTACGCATTCTGAACTAAAAATAAGGAAAAAATATTTATCATTAAAACAATTTAAAATTAATGAAAATTATAAAGTAGCAATAAGTTGTATAAAAATATTAAAATCAAAGTAAAAACAGTCAATAATCAATGCAAAAAATAACTATCCTCGTTTTTTATCAAAACAACAATACTCTTCTATCTGACTAAAACTGGTTCTGTAAAATAGCTTTTTCCCTAGGAGAAATTTTATTTTTTGAAAAACTGTTATTTCTAGTTAATAAACATTAGTATCTAGAAAGACCTTTTAAAAACAATTTGAAACCGATTTTCAAGTTTAAAAAATAAAATGGAAAAAAATTACATGGTTGTTTTAAAAATTTGTGATTTTTAATAAATATTTAACAATATTCAAAAAAATAAAACAACGAGCTTTTTAGACAAAATGTCACCTTAAAACAAAAATAGTAGTTTAAAAAGCTCAATTTTAACAAAAATGCATTTGAGCATGCACAAAAATCTTGTTTGTTTTGTTAGTGAGGTTTTAAATTTTGAAATTTGAGTTGCATTGTGTATATATTTCGGAATCCGAATTTCAGGTTCGACAAATATTTTAAATTACGATTTAATGTACTATGCTCCACACATCAAAGTTCCGTGACTTTAATAGAATTAATTAAGGTTAATTTTTTATCAGTGTCAAGCTTATTTTATTATTAGTAAATATATTTATTGGAAAAACCAAAAGGCTATCGACCGAAGTCTTTCTGCCTATATAAATACAATTTTATTTTACAAAATATTTGATATAGTTATAAACTAGGTATATAAACTTAATTACATTAAAAAAAACAAGCTTATTTTATTTTCTGAAAACAATACAATATTTGTATTTTTTGTGTTCTAAATTAAGACCTTTATAAACAAAAATACAAACAGTTCATTTTTTTTTATCTGGACTCGTGTTTTTTTGTTAGGTTGGTGGCTGGTATTTTTAGTATTAAGAATTTATAAATTTACATTCGAATTCGTTGCTATTATTTTTGGCATAATTATCTTTTTATTTATAATTGACAAGTAAATTATCGTAAGTAATATCATAAGGGCATTTAATTTTTCCGAAAAGAATCGAAAAAACACGTTGCTAAGTAATATTTTAACAAAAAGCATGAGTGCTGGTGGCAACAAAAATCCGAGTCGAAGAGGAGGATTTTTGCACCTGCACGAATGCATTTTGTTAAAAAATATTACTTAGCATTGTGTTTTTTCGATTTTTTTCACTGGAAAAATTAGATGCCCGAATGGTATTTGACAAGACTATTTCATGAGTAACAGTTAACAATTAAAATATAAATTGCAATTTTTGGTGACAACAGCTGTCAAGTTTTGCCGCGGGTAAACTCGAATAAACTGCTGACAGGTGCTGTCACACAGTTTTTTCACCTAGAAACCATTTGTAATTCAAAATTGCGCGTTTGTGATTGGTGGAAATTAAGACGAGGGAAATAGTCGTATATAATACCACTAGTGGTAAAATTTTACCGACTATTCCACTCATTACTTTTTGGACCAATCAGATTTCAGAAAACGAGTGGTTTTTTCAGTTTTGCAGCGATAAAACTACTATTCAGGTGACTATTTCCCTCGTCTTAATCTCCACCAATCACAAACGCGTAATTTTGAATTACAAATAGTTTCTAGGTGAAAAAACTGTGTGACAGCACCTGTCAGCAGTTTTTTCGAGTTTACCCGCGGCAAAACTTGACAGCTGTTGTCACCAAAAATTGCAATTTATATTTTAATTGTTAACTGTTACTCATGAAATAGTCTTGTCAAATACCATTCGGGCATCTAATTTTTCCTGTGAAAAAAATCGAAAAAACACAATGCTAAGTAATATTTTTTAACAAAATGCATTCGTGCAGGTGCAAAAATCCTCCTCTTCGACTTGGATTTTTGTTTCCACCAGCACTCATGCTTTTTGTTAAAATATTACTTAGCAACGTGTTTTTTCGATTTTTTTCGGAAAAATTAAATGCCCTTATGATATTACTTACTTTTTCCTTGGAAATTTCGCTCGTGGCATTAACTTCAAACCACTCGCCTAGCGGCTCGTGGTCTTAAAAATTAATGCCACTTGCGAAATTTCCAAGAAAAAAACATTCGTATAAAAATCAAAAATTTTATCGGTAAAATTTTACCACTAGTGGTATTCGGCAAGACTATTTCACGAATATTTTTAACTGCTGATTAAATTTCTGTATGATTTTTTGGACCAAAACGCATATTTTTTAACATTTTAATTTTAAAATTAAAAACGTCAACAGTGACAATTATTTTTATCATAGCAACCAATTGGTTGTTATGCAACTCGTATAAACGAGTGGTTTTTTCACCTGAATAGTAGTTTTATCGCTGCAAAACTGAAAAAACCACTCGTTTTCTGAAATCTGATTGGTCCAAAAAGTAATGAGTGGAATAGTCAATAATAAATATTATTGTCGATTTGACAGTGTCAAAGTATTTAATTATAATTAAATACTTTGACACTGTCAAATTGATAATAGTATTTATTATTGATAATTTACTTGTCAATTATAAATAAAAAGATAATTATGCCAAAAATAATAGCAACGAATTCGAATGTAAAAGCCCTTTTGAGGGCAAAACTTCATTTTGATGAAATTATGCCAAATGCCACAAAGGAAGAAAAAGTACATCGCCTTATGGACATTTTTGGAGTAAAAAAGTAACGAATTTGGTTTTATAAATATTACATCACACATTATTTTCACATTATTCACCATTGGACAACATTTACGTTCACAAAAAATTTTAATTTCTTTTAGGCATATAAATTCTTTTCAAAGCAAAGATTATTATCCGCCAGGAATACTTTCTCTTATAATATAATAATCATTATACCGCGGAACTTTTCCAGCGATGACGTCAAAATGTTAAAAAAAATCAGAGTTAAAAAAGTAAACACGTATCTTTATACATGTGCAAAAAATAACTATAATATCACAATATAATCATTTTTATGTAATCGCTGGAAATATTCCGCGCTATAATAATCATTAACATTAATTAATTTTTTATTTAAAAAGCTTAGCATTTTTAATTTTTTTTCTTTTCTTCTTCTATGTTTTTTTATTATTTGTCTTAATATTTAACTAAAAACATCGTAAAATATACGATAATCGGAAAAACAATAATATTCGTATTATGGGTGCACCAAGTAGGTAACCTTTTTTGAATACTAAGGGTAATTTTTTATTTGAAGAGCTACAAGGTCGCTTTTATCGGAAAAAAGTTGCGTAAATACCTTTTAAAATAAAATTTTAAAAAACAGCAGTTTTCAACGTATTTCAAAAAAACTAATATCTGTCAAAACCAAAAATCGTTATAACTTCATATTCCTGGGAAAAATCGTTATAACTTCATATTCCTGGGAATTTTTTAAAAAGTAAGTTTTTTATGTAAGCATACACATTTATTTACATTTTCAAACAATTTCTTTGCTATAGCATATATTCTAACTATATTCTGAGTTACCATCATAATTTTTTATATTTATAATGGCCACCATATACCATATAGGTATGTAGTCAATTTAATAAATCATTGGATTCCTTTATTTTAGTTTTATCTAACCATGTAAAATTCCAATATGGTGAAAAATCAAAATCTAGTAAGCAAAAAAAATCACAAGATGAGAATGTAGATAAATTCCCAGGAATAACAAAGTAATAATGATTTGGTTTTGACAGGTTTTCAGGTTTTTTTAATTTTTTTTGATTTATTGTCCAATGTTTAAATGCCATTTTTATGAACTTTTAAATTAACACAGTTCTTCAAACAAAAAAGATATACCCATTTTTTGTACATTATAATAATTAAAATATTATTATAAAACCATGCAAATATAAAATGCTTCAAATATTTACCAAATATTGTACCTAACATGTCATGTATTATTTCTTGGGTGAATTATATATGAATTAAAAAAACAATTTTTTGAATAATCATTTATAAAGTAGAAATTTAAATAAAGTGATTTAAAAACGTGTTGCTGTAATTTAATAATTGCCTTATTAACATAAAATAACAATTTTGGGAAAATAAAATGAATTTAATTAAACCATGTTAATTCCCATCCATTGTTTTGACTTACTTGGTTCTTCCAAAAGTAATTAATCTGTATTTATGGTTTATTGTTGTACAACTAGCATCTTCTATTCCTTGAGCCCAAATTCCCTGCACTTGCTAAAAATAAAATATTATACATTAAGTATATTTATACTAATTTAAAAAAACTTCTTACATTTGGATCAAATTTTAAAGTTGTTGCAGTTAAAAAGGCAGCCCTGCCATCATTTAAAACAATTGAAAAACCCCCTACTAAAGGAGAATATTCTATATCTATTATAAATGTGTTCTCTTCAACAATAGGTATTGCTAAAAAAATGTAATTGATATAAAAATATACCATATAATAGTCTGGATATTTACCTTTTGAAACTTGCTGATTAATACAAAAAGGTATTCGTCTTAAATCTAACGTATAATCTCTATTTTGGCTTCCATCCCACCTAAATCTTAAGACGTGACCCTCAGTCGTAGATAACATTAATTCAGTCATTGTAATACAAACTATTCCTGTTATTCTACCATCCCAAACATGCACTTCTGCAACCTAAAACCTCACATATTATCAAAATTATATTATTTAATAAAAAACTGAAATACCACAGTTAAAACTAAAGGAGGTATAGTTTCTTTAATAAATAATTCTGCACTGTCCCTTCGTAAGTTGGCATGTGGAGAATCAGTTTGGAGATAAAGACCCTTTTGATTTGTTTTGACTCCAACCTTGTAAAATAATAGATGACCTTCTGAAGTCTACAATAAAAATAATTAATAAAATTGCTGTGTGAAACAAATTAGTAGTTTTAATTATGGCCAATATTTTCAATTTTATAAAATTATAATGGCATCTGGGAACATAAAAATTACCCCTTATGTATTTACATTACCATATGAATTATTCACCCCAAAAACAAACTTTTTATATTTATATGCATAAAACATTACAGATTTTTTTTTAATTAAATTTTAAAACTTTGGGGTTGTCTAGGAACCTAAATAATTGGAAAACAATTAAAAGTAAGAATCAAGCAAAAAATTTGTACAGTAGGTATAGTTTTTAAGGACAAGAAATACAAATTTGATATCATTTATGATGGTAATCTAGAGAGCTCTCATAACAAAGGTCAAATTGGGGTAAAACAAGTAAGTACTGATTCACCTAATTTGACCTGTGTCAAAAGTACTCTTTTTCAAAAATGATAACAAATTTTTCATCCTTAAAAATCATACCCACTGTACAAATTTTGAGTTTGATACATTAAATTATCTTTCAAATACCTATTACAAATTAAAAAAATATCATCTGTTTAACTTTCAAGGGTATTAACTTAGGAATTTCTACACAAGCTAAGCTTAACCCATAAAAATGCCCACTCATATACCTATTATTGTTTTTAGAATGTTAACATAAACTATAAAAAACAACTTTATCACTGAAAGTAAATTTTAAACAATAAAATGTAAATAAAAATTAAACACTTTTTCTAAATATCTTAACATCAAAAATACTAATCTAAAGTCAAGTCAAATCCAAGCCGAACTCGACATAAACACAATCATGCGTTGTCCATGCTCTATTCACGTGATCGACGAAAATTGTTGCACTGGGCCGTATTAAAATATATTGAATCAATATTATTGATCATTTAATATTTTAAATTTATTTTTTAAACTTTGATGGAAAGGTGTTAAAATATTTATAAAAGTTATATTTTTTAAATTACGAAATTAACAAAATTTTGGGAAATAATTTCATTATTATTTTAAATTTATTTTTTTAAACTTTAATGTAAACTTTTTAAATTTTTTACGAAAATTATATTTTTTAAATTAACTTCACGAAATTTTTTAAAATTATTTTAAATTAATTGTTTTAAACTTTAATAATTAAAGTTTAATGTGAAAGTTTTAAAACATTTAAAAAATATGTTTTTTTAAATTACAAAATTAACAAACATTTTTGAAATTATTTTATTATTTTTAATTTATTTTTTTAAAGTCTTTTTTTATTTATTTAAACATCATCATCAGTATCATCATCGCCACCCAGATTAATTAAAACCAAATAACCACAACAATGATAGCAATAACAACAACAATAACAACAAATAACGTTATATAACAAGTATTAATAATAAAACAATAACAAAAATAACCACAAAGATGAAAGCCGCGAAAACAAGGAAGTAATCAAACAATACGCTATTAATAACCGCAATGGACATAATGCGGCCCTGACAAGAATTTTCGGCACGCTTCACAACTCAGACTCGCCCAATAAGAACCGTTCTATCCACCTGCAAACGACTGATCACGCGTCTGGCGTTTTTTGTTTTAGTTTGTCTTGGATTTGACTTCACTTTAGTTTCAGTGATAGATATGGCCCATATCATTTGGGTTTCCCAATATAAGCAATAATATTGTAACATACAGCTATAACAATCATACTGGAATCTGGCTTCCATTCTGCTAATATATTTGTACCAAATTTCTCTAGGGATTTTGATGATCTTCGATGAAAAACTATAGGTACACATGGCTAAAAATAAGTGTGATTAGAATGAATAGTATTAATGTCAAGAAGTAAAATTGTATGAAAGACTGCAAATATATTCATATATTTAATGTATGCCCAATAATCTAATTACCTTGCAAAACCATATTGCCAATGTATCATCAGTCAAAATAGAAAATAAAATCCTATCTCTATTGCATGTTATTTGCTTAATGGTACATTGTCCTAATTCCGGAAGTTTAATAACCTTTGGCCAACCTACTGGAAAATACATTTTGAACTGACACTGCACTAATTCATTTCAGGAAAAATAAAACATTTTTTAAAAATAAATATATTTTGACAGATCAAAAACGTCCATTTTTAGAAAGCTTTTTTGTCTTGTTGTCTTTGCATAATTTGAAACGGTATTATACATAATGATCAAAATCCATACCAAAGCCCGAAGATTATGCAACTCAGAATACGTTCGTAACATGTGTCGTTGATTAATTAGTTCCTTAGAGTAGTTCAAATATCCTCCCATAGAAATAAAACGTCAAATGTCCTCTCCTAGAAATAAACTTAAAAGTTTTTTATTCAAAGGGGGAATAGGTAAATATGCAATGTGGTAGGCCCACATATTTGGAGAAATATGACGGTAGATTCGGGATTTTTTATAGTACGTATCATTACAAAAAAAAAAAAAAATAACGGCAGCGCCATCTATACAAAATTGCTGGACTAAATTTATCGCTACCAAAATTTTTACTATTTTAGTTTCGCTATTCTCAGATAGATGGCGCTTTTAAAAAATTGTAGGTAGGCAACTATGTTAACTTAGTCTGTAAATTGGTGGACTACCTATGTAAAAATATCTGAACTTGCTTCTAAAATTTTTTCAACATTAGTTCAGTCAAACTTGAAAAGATGGCGCTGCTAATAAAAATATTAAATTAGGCAACCAAGTTGTAAACCAATTGCCTACCTACAAAATATTGTTCGCAGCGCCATCTATCCCGGTATAGCCGAAGTATTGTTGTAAAATTTTTGGAAGCAGTATAATTATATAGCTTTTTTCAAATAAATGGGGCTGCTTACGTAATTTTTTAATTTTTCAAAAAAATCTGAATACTTTAAAAACAACAAACAAGCAAGCGTAATTTTTGACAATTTTTAGCATCACAGCAGCCCCCTAAAAACTAAAAAAGTGTTGGTTTTATTATTTTAATTTTACTACCTATTTTGATTTTATTTCAAGTAAATAACATTAGATCTGACTTTATGGGGATAGACAAACTTATTATTGAGAAAATAGGACAATGGTTGTAATTTAAACAGAAAAATACGAAAAATACGAAAAATAATATATTTTGCACTTAAACACATCTATATTCACAAAAAACATAACAGAATAAGTATAATAGATAAAAATAGATATACTGGAATAATCTTCTTAAGGATTTCTTTGTGGATCTTGTAGTCTGCAAAAAAAATTAATAAATTTACTTTTTAAGCAATTTTGTTTACAATAATTATATAATTAAATTACCTTAAAATGCAGACTTCTTTGGCATCCAAAAAAGAAACATCCTGAGGAGTTAAAAATACATGTTGTAAATCTGGTCTTGAATTTGCATGACCTACCAAAATATTAAATACTTTTGTTCGGTTTAGCTTATCCTGCAAAAAAGGTATTTTATTATTGGATGCTTAATTCTATAGTTATAGAAATCAATTTATTATGCCTAAATTCTCATAAAAATCTATTTATTCAAAACTAAATTTCTCAAAAATTTTCAAAAGCAACTTATATTTACCATGTAAACATCAAATTCGTCAAGAAAATAAAATGGAAAATCCATGCATTGCCATAATGCATAAAGAAAAGCCACAGTGGAAAAGGAACGTTCGCCACCTGATAAATTAGCCGTTGTGGTCATTCCTTGGCTACCTTCTTGAGGTATAACGACCAACTCCAATTTCTTACCAGGAACATCAATATTAATGGTACCCTAAAATATTAAATTGATAATTTTGACAAAAAATTGTGTGTTTTAAGTTAAATATGTTTGAGGTAAATATGATCTCCCATGGCTAAATTACGAATTTAATTTAGGAATTTAGGAAGTTTTTTGGAGAATTTTAGGAGAAATAAAGTATGCAAAGGAATTTCTGTAATTAAATGAAAACAACTCTACACAGTACCAAAGATTACATATACAAAAGAGTACTGTACTTAAAAATAATAAAAAAACAAATAATTATTTTTAACAAAAATATAAATAAATATAATTTATTTTGTACAAATAAGTTACATTGACTAGTTTTTTAGCCAAATCGCTCGACGATTTTTTTTGAATAAAATTAAAAGTGACTTGTGACATATCTGAGGGATACAGTTTGACCCATTTGTTTGCAACTCACCCCGGTATTGTGCGATATTTGTACAAAATACAAGGCCTACTATGTCAGTTTTTAAGAATTCATAATAGCGATTTTTATAAACAAAAAACGACCCTTTACTAAATTTTATTAAAAAATTTTAAGTAGAAGAATGCCCAATAATAACTAGAAAAATGTATTCTTTCAAGTTATCCATAAAAAAACATTGAAATAAAATTAAACTTATAGTAATAACCATGTTACTATTATTTTATTTCAATGTTTTTTTCATGGATAATTTGACAGAATACATTTTTGTAGTTATTATTGTGCATTTTTCAAAATTTCTAAATTTTTTAATAAATTTAAAAAAATCGCCAATATGAATTCTTAAAAATGTAGTCTTAAAAACTGACATAGTTTACCTTTTGTACAAATATGGCGTTTTTTGCTCCAAAAATACAGTTTATCAATATCTACACTTTAAAAGAAATCCGGTTAAAATCTCACAATAAATAAAGATTTTACAGTGAGTTGCAAACAAATGTATACACAAGTAGAAATTTCACCACTTTTAATTTTATTTTAAAAAACGCGTGTTCATACATTTGACTAAAAAACTAGGCTTAAGTCAAAGGATGATATATTTATATTTTGAGAGAAAAAATTTTTAACCAATTAGTTAATAACTAACAATAATTGTAATGTGAATCTTGATACTCAAAAAACGCATAATAAGTAAAAAAAATCTAACTCTAAAACGCCTTTAGCAATCTTTATAAAATTTTGGATAAACTACTTTAACTTATATCTCAGTTTACGTTTTCAAAAGTTTTTCGAGAAAATATCCTTAAAGCCCTTTTATTTAATAATAAAAAAACGCTTAAAAAAAAACTTCGTTTCATTTTTACAAAATTTTAACTGTATACTAACAAAAATACGGTCTTTAACAGCATATTTTTACTTAATAAAATTTTTCCCTAAAAGTTTTTTTTATTATTAAATAAAAGGGCTTTAAAAATATTTTCTCAAAAAACCCTCGAACCCTCGAACACGTAAATAAGTTGAAATATTTTTATACAAAATTTCATAAAGATTAGTAAAGGCGTTATAGAGTTAGATTTTTTATACTGCGTTAATTTTGTCGCGCAGTGTATTTAAAAGAAAATTAAAAATCATTTTGTTTCAAATATAACACGGTATATTTTTGTCCAAAACAAACGAAATATGGCTAAAAATTATTATTATTATTATTTTGTAGAAGTCGAGGAGCTACTACATGGATTTGGTTTTTTTAGGTATATTTTGTTGTTTTTTTAAGAAAAATGTAGGTTGTGATATATCATTTTAAAAAGATTTTGATAAACTAGAACATAAAAATATATATTTTTTAAATTACTTTTTAAAAAAGAATTTTTTTAGCATGACAACTACCTTAATTAAACACAGTAAGGTTGGCCTATTTATATTTAATTTTTAGGAGTTTTAGGAGATTGTTGGTAATTTTAGGTATTTTCAAGATTTAAGCCAAATTTTAGTAGATTTGTAGGAAGTGTGGGAGCCCTGAATGATTAAGTTTAATTTACCTTGAACTGACGGCTTTCCAATATTTTTTTAAATGAATACTTCATGTAGGTAATAAAGTAGCTTTCAGTAAACTTGCAATGCCTGTTTCTTTTTTGTAAAGCAACAGTTAGTTCACTGATTTCTTCCTTCAACTGGTCCATAATGACAGTGTTATTGTTATACTTTATTTTTAGGGTTTTGAACTTGTCCACCATGTCTGGAGAGTTATCAGTGTCCACCTCAATTCTTGCAATGGATCTTTCTATTTCTGTTATTTCGGTAGAAACGGCAACAACCTCCCTGAAAATTAAAATATTAATATATCTTAATTTTATTTTTTCATCTTACCTCAATTTCTCTGGCCTATCTCCTGTAGTCTGAGCCTCAGTAGTTTGAGTTTGAATTGTATTCTGAATAATAACCATCTCAGCTCTTATTTGATTTAAATCCTTGGTCATTGTTTTGATGTGTCTGTCAAAAAATTCATCTCCCACAGATATTTCTTGGATCCTGCTTTGACATTCATGTATTTTTTCCTTTAAAATATTATTAAATTTTACACAATACAATATTAATTTATTTTACTTACTTTAATAGGATCAAGTCTTTCCTCCAAATGTTTGGTGGATTTTTTAAGTTGCTGTATCTTGTCTTCCATTTCCCCTATTTTAACTTTTAGTTCAGTTAACTCTCCTTTAATGCCATCCAATCTCCCCGTTTTTTCTTGAATAATATTTTGCACCTCCTCCAATTCGGTTTGCTAAAAACATAAAATAAGATTTGTTTTACTTTGATAATATACCAAAACTCACCAAAACGTTAACGTTGGTAACTTCGGGCTCGACAGTGGAGGTGACTTCTTTAATTTGCTGCCTTACTCGATGCTTCGCCTCGTTTAGTTGCCGAATTTTTTCCTCCAACTCGCGCTTTTCATTCACTTTGGTGCTCATGTGCTGCTTGAAGGCCCTTAAATCGGTTTTCTTTGCATCTTTGGCTGCCCTGAGTTCTTCAATGTTTCTAGCCATTTGCCTAAAAAAAACATAACAGGTTATTATTTAAATCTTTGTCTCATCAGGGAAAAATATTTGTATAACTGTTACGCGTAAATATTTCTGAAACATTCATAAATTTTACGTAAATATTTTTCAACATTTATTTCGCAATTGTATGTAAATATTATTTCCTAAATATTGTTAATTTATTTAACAATATTTATAAACTTATAAAGTTCATTCAAAGTTTTCTACTTTGTTGAATGTGTTCCAAGTGCTGACGCCAAGTTAAAATATTAAATTATTAATAAATTATCCAGATAATCCTTTCTGCTAGAGGTACCTATGTTAGGGTGGGTCAAAAAAATCGACTATTTTTATTTTGACTTCTGCCACTGAAAAATCGGTTTCTGGGCACCTTCAAAACATGCTTAACAACGATGAGCTCTTAACTTTGATGGGAAGATCCGCCTCATTACAGTTTTGCATATTTTTCTTAGTCCCCTACAAAAAAACTCATATCTCGTTAATCATACAGCAAAACTCTAAAGGAGTTATTTGTAGAAAATTAAATGTTCTACAAAAATGATTTTCTATACTTTTTTGATCAATCTAACTATTAAAGAGATATTCAAGGTCAAAGATTTTAAGAAAGATAACTTTTCTGTTCTGAATTTTGTAACTTACTGAAAAAAAATTATCGACAATTGAGATTTTACTATGTCTATCGGAAATTGAACGCTCTACAAAAAAGGTCTCTTAGGATTTATCGATTACTCTAACCAATTTTTTGTAGGGGACTAAGAAAAATATGCAAAACTGTAATGAGGCGGATCTTCCCATCAAAGTTAAGAGCTCATCGTTGCTAAGCATGTTTTAAAGGTGCCCAGAAACCAATTTTTCAGTGGCAGAAGTCAAAATAAAAATAGTCGATTTTTTTGACCCACCCTAACCTATGCATTATATTTAATTGTTTAAATTTTTATTGCTATTTATGAATGGCAGTGTACTGAACCGCGCCGGTACCTTAAGATTTTATTGAAGACGATTATCCTATCGGTAAATTTCTTATTAACAAAAAACAAACATAATTTCTGTTTTACATATTTTACTTTTTTTTATATCGATTATTTATAAAATAAACTATTTTTTTAAATATGTTTTATTAAGATATGTACAGTCTCGTCCCAGCCTTCGAGTGAGTAAGTCGATGTAGCGGAGAGAGTAAACGTAAAACGTTAAAACCATAACCAACAAATATGCCCATAGTGCAAACAACTATAGTGTAACAATTACAGTGAGTACAGACTACTCTTCTGTCAATAATTAGTTAAGGGCCAAGTGAAAAGGAAAAGTGAAGTGACAAGTGCAAACGTACATAGTGAAACGGTCAAAGGAGTTAATTGTGAAGTGACAAGAAAGATTTAAGTGACAAGTGTCAGTGCCTGAGCGGTCGCACCATCTATCAACAGGACGTTTTTCACTGGTCAAACAAAAGAGGCCAAACAAGGGAGGAACAGGCCACCTGCAAATGATTGCTAAGTATCCTCAATTTACCCGCATGACCTAACCCATAATTTGCAAATTAAACTAAACAAGGCACATTGCCTAATCCCTACAAAAAAACAATAATCATCGGCAACAGTAAAATAAAAAGTCAATTTTCCAAGAAAAAACCAAACAGCCGATCGCGGACACACACCAAAGTTGAACAGAGCAATAAAGCTGTCAACAAAAAAATCAAGAATAACAAACCGAGACCAAATAAATTTGACACTTAAGACATAACACATAAACTAAGAAAACATAAACAAAGTAAAAAAAAGCACTGTAATCAATATCCATGGAATTTGTAAACACTAAGACCTTATAGTAAAAGTAAAAAAAATACCCCCCACTGGGAACTGCCTTATCGCAGCGATTGCGGCCTTACGCTCGGCACGCGTGATGGGCTCCTCCGCGGAGGGGTGCGGCCTCCCGTGGCCTCTCTGGGGGATGGTCTACACAGCGGTAGTCGTAGTACGATTGCCGTTGTGTGGATTGTCTTTCGGGGGGGCCGCGGGGGGTTGTATTTCTTTGCGGGGGAGTTTGTCATGTGTGCTGATTATCGCACCAATGGGAAAAACCATTACCAAAAGGGTAAGAGTAGCCCAATTAAAATACTGGGCCCACGTCACTCGTAGACAACGCAACAACATACTACAAGCCACCCTTAAACTAGATCTTAAAGAAAAAAAGTCGGTAGACCATGCTTCACATTTCATGACACGTTAGCACAAAACATGCACTTCTCACAAATTAACAAGACCAGTTGGGAGCAACTAAGCAACAATAAAAATAAAATAAAAAAAACAACCGACACACTTTACCAAGTTCAGGAACTATCCGACACGGACAATGACAATAATGAACAGGACGAAGACCTCGACTAGGAAACTACACCCCTGCAGCGTAATAACAACTCCCCAACTCCAAATAGTAATCCCAAATGTTTGGAGTAATACTAACCGACTGGTCTAGGGGGATTCCGCGTCGTACTTAGTTTTAAGTCGGCGTAATTGTCCCCCAAAAACCAACTCCCTCCCGTCCCTCATCCATACCCCACTGAGCGTATAGCATAGGCCCGGCGAACCCGGGAACGGCTATTATAACTATTCGCCTCTCGCTCTCGAGCCCCAAATAGGGGACAGTACGGAACGCAATGGACATTCGCACCCAGCAAACACGGGTGAAGCCGTGCAGTTGCTGGGGAAGAACAAAAATCGGCGTAAGTAAACATAGGCCTGTACGAGGTTCGAGAGTCAAGAGGAAATGGGGCTGGTTATACGTCTCTTATACTCATACTCATACTCATGTCTTATTAAGATATGTACTTAATTGTATTTCGACTTTATTAACTAAAGCTTTGTTTTAAATTAGGGTTCTCAACGACAAGCTGTCTAAAAAAACGCCTAAATTTTATAACAAAATATTTCGATTTTTATCAATATATCGAAATATTTATGTTATGGCTAATGTGCAAACTTGGATAGTTTATAAACTAGCTGGATAGTTTATAAACTAGCCAAACTGTCAGCTATTTTAATTGAAAACATATTTTCAACTAAATTAGCGGCTAGTTTACAAAATAACCAAGGATCGTGGCTAATTTACTTGAAATTATTAGGGAAACTAAAATAGCTGGATAGTTTGTATACTATCCAATTCAGTTTGGCAAATATGAAAACCAAAATTTCTAGTAACACAAAATAGCCAAGCTTTAGCTAGTTTGTAAACGTAAATACTTATTATCTTAAAATGATTTAAATCAAAAATTTGTATAGAGCGCCATCTATGAAACAACAGGGGAAACTGTCAAATGTCACATTTTTACATTTTATAAACACAATTATAAAGGTTATAAATCGAAATGTATCTTGAAAATTGACAGTTTTTCACAGTGAAAGTAAAGGAAATGATTTATGAGGACTTTACAGTAGAGTCCGTGACCGAATTTAAGTTATAGTTTACTGCCGGCGAAATTAAAAGGTCAGTACAATGTTTATATAAACTTTTCAAATATTGGCGTTGAGAAACTTTAATATTTTTGTATTGAGATAATAAAATAATTTTCACATTTAGTATTATTTTACAAGAAAGGCACTTTATTTTAACGATTGTATGACATTTGACAACTGTCAACTAACTTAAAACTAACTACAGCCCGTGACTAAAAACCTGTTGCTAACTTCAGCCCGTGACTAAAGCGCCATAAAACCACAACTTGTCAATGTGTATTTAAAAGGCCACTTAGTGTCATGGAAATATGTACGATAAAGGGCGTTTTAAAGGTGGGAGTAGGAAAATATATTTTTTTTAGTCATGGGCTGAAGTTAGCAACAGGTTTTTAGTCACGGGCTGAAGTTAGTTTTAAGTTAGTTGACAGTTGACAAATGTCATACAATCGTTAAAATAAAGTGCCTTTCTTGTAAAATAATACTTAATGTGAAAATTATTTTATTATCTCAATACAAAAATACAAAAGTATTAAATGGTTTCTCAACGCCAATATTTGAAAAGTTTATATGAACATTGTACCGACCTTTTAATTTCGTCGGCAGTAAACTATAGCTTAAATTTGGGCACGGACTCTACTGTAAAATGCTCATAAAACATTTTCTTTATTTTCACTGTGAAAAACTGTCCATTTTCAAAGAATGGATTTCGATTTATAACCTTTATAATCTGTGTTTATAAAATATAAAAATTTGACATTTGACGGTGACACACAGATTCTCCTATTATTTCATAGATGGCGCTCTATAAATTTTTGATTTAAATCATTTTAAGATAATAATAAGTAGGTATTTGTCGAAGAAAAAGTATAGTATGCACCTCGTTTAGAAAACTTTTCTATACACTCATTAATTTAAGCACTCGCTCGCAAGCTCGCTCGTGCCAAAATTAAATTCGTGTATAAAATGGCGTTTATCAAACTTGATACATAATATACTATTTTGTGTTATGTGTGATAATTATAAAACAAAATAAACTTACTCCATATGCTCTTTAGCATCCACCTGCAGATACTTGGCATGATGGTACCTGGACCCGTAACTCTTGTAATTCGGGTCGGGATAGTACTTGTCGCCCTTCATCGTGACCGCCTGCGAGCAGTTCCTGGGCACCCTGGCCTGATTGGAGAGCAATTCCTGCGCTCGAATGTCGCTGGGAATCAGCAGGATGCTCTCGATTCGCGCCTGATCTATGATGCAGTTCGAGACGACGGGATCGTCGATTTCGATGGCATCGTACAGACCGACGCAGTCCTGCGGGGCTCTGACCAAGTTCTCCTGAACATTGTGTTTCTGGAATTAAATGGTAATAACACATTAGTAACATCGAAAGGACACAGAAAAACGCCGGTACGCGTAAACTTAATTTTTGAGAGTAGAATTCAGTGGTGTAATCCGTTTTTCAAAGTTAGCTTATTTTCATATTTTAGTTTGTTACTTTGTTGGTTTAATATTTTTTTTTATTTTTAGAAATAACAGAGTCGTTTTCTCAAGATATTTTTTTTTCGTTAATTTGCTATGTTTAAAAAAAAGACCATAATCCCTTTTAAATTGTCATTTTTTATTTTTATTTAATAATAATTAATTTTTTTTGCCAATTCCATTAAAAAAATATATATTAAAATTTATTTATATCTGAAAAAGAACAAATTGTATAAAATAAATAATGTCTTTATTCATATTTATTTATCAATAATAAACATTTTTTCCAGTTCCTGGTAAAAAAATTGAAAATTACTTTATATTAAAAAAAAAACAAGTTGTAAGAATATTAAAAAACGTTTAACTTTTACCTATATTTTTTGCAGATTGACAAAAACAATCTTGTTTTTAAAAAAGTGCTGTAACCCTATAAGGTTTTAAAATTTCCGGAAAAAAACCCAGAAAAATTGAGAAATTTTAAGAAAAGTTGACTTTTGCATTTTTTTCATTTTATTCAAAGGGTAATACGTCAATTTTTCTAAAAATTTACAAATTTTTACGGGTACACTGATATAGAGAACAAAAGTGAATTTCCGACGCTGAATATAATCATAATATTATGATTATAATATTTATTCCTTTTATTTTAATAGTAAGAATATTCTACCAGTTTGCAACAAAAACATATTCAGTGCTGTATTAACATAACTTTCGTTATATTTAACAATTCGATTCATAAAATTATAATTTTGTAATTTAACTTTATAATTCATTCATTAAATACCCGACCGAAATTTTCGATGAATTTCAATCGCAAATAACTTTTTTATTTGATTTTGGATTTAAACAAATATTAAAGAATATTGTAGATAAATTAATGGAGAATCGCTCACGTTTTTAAAATTACTAAAAAATAATAATAAAAATACGTACGTTTATAATATACAGGTTTAAACAAAAAGAAGTTTTTTACCATAAGTTTAATACACCCTGTAGAGTGGCTAAACCGTATATTGTTCTAAATTAAGTTTTAATTATCAAGTCACATCTATCTAACTTTCACTGTCACCCTCCATGGCCTATGGATGGACCATAGAAACCTTAGTTTTTTGTACAGAAAAAATATTGCAAATTGCAATGTTTTTTTAAAATAATAAAAAAGATAAATAAAACCACAAGCTTTTACTCTGACCAAGTTTTCCTGAACATTGTGTTTCTGAAATTAAATGGTAATAACACAGTAGTAACATCAAAAGGACACAGAAAAACGCCAGTACACGTAAACTTAATTTTTGAGAGTAGAATTCAATGGTGTAAAGCTTAATTTTCATGTATCCGTTTGTCCGTCATCCGTATGTCAGTTTTTCAAAAAAATCGTCCGATAAGAAATGTTCTAATTTTCATGCATACGTTTTTTAATGACGTTTAACGGATTGATTTTGCGACAAATAGAAATTAAGTGTCAGTATATTCACTTACTAAATTTCCTAATGCTTAATTGTCATAGTTACAATTATGTCAACAATTGTAACTTTAACAGTTAGCTGTCTAATAAATTTAAAGGTAGGTAAATATACCTTATAAAAAGAATATACTAGCCCTAATATACATTAAAATGTATAGTTTTAAAAAAGCAGGTCCTTTTAGTTCTAGTTTTAATTTTTTTGTTTGTCCTTTCTTTTTTTCCGTTATTCTTATTAAATAAAAACTTAACAGTAAAACATTATTCACATAACGAACGTAATATTTCCGTTTTACAATCTTATTGAAAAAATATAAAAATATTTGAAAATAATAACGTTAGGCGTCAAAAACAGATGTGTAGTGACGGATGAGTTAAAATTATTTAACCTTTCTCTGTCAGACGTACGAAGTTGAAACTTGACGGACCGATAAAATGTCATAATTTTCGAATTATAATTGGACCAATAAGAGCGCTCCCGGATGAACGGACTGACGGACAAACGGATACATGAAAATTAAGCTTAATCCGTTTTTCAAAGTTAGCTCATTTTCATATTTCATATTTTAGTTTGTTACTTTGTTGGTTTAATATATTTTTTTATTTTTAGAAATAACAAAGAGTCGTTTTCTCAAGATATTTTTTTTTCGTTATTTTGCTATATTTAAAAAAAAGACCATAATCCCTTTTAAATTGTCATTATTTATTTTTATTTAATAATAATTAATTTTTTTTGCCAATTCCATTAAAAAATATATATTAAAATTTATTTATATCTGAAAAAGAACAAATTGTATAAAATAACAAATGTCTTTATTCATACTTATTTATCAATAATAAACATTTTTTCCAGTTCCTGGTTAAAAATTTGAAAATTACTTTATATTAAAAAAAACAAGTTGTAAGAATATTAAAAAACGTTTAACTTTTACCTATATTTTTTGACAAAAAAATCTTGTTTTTAAAAAAGTGCTGTAACCCTATAAGGTTTTAAAATTTCCGGAAAAGTTGAGCCGGCGGAAAAAAACCCGGAAAAATTGAGAAATTTTAAGAAAAATTGACTTTTGCATTTTTTTCATTTTATTCAAAGGGTAATTCGTCAATTTTTATAAAAATTTACAATTTTTTACGAATACACTGATATAGAGAACAAAAGTGAATTTCCGACGTTGAATATAATCATAATATTATGATTATAATAATTATTTCTTTTATTTTAATAGTAAGAATATTCTACCAGTTTGCAACAAAAACATATTCAGTGCTGTATTAACATAACTTTCGTTATATTTGACAATTCGATTCATAAAATTATAATTTTGTAATTTAACTTTATAAATTATTCATTATTTTGTAATTGTAATTGTAATGGACTCCTTTTAGCAAAAAATACCCGACCGAAATTTTCGACGAATTTCAATCGCAAATAACTTTTTTATTTGATTTCGGATTTAAACAAATATTAAAGAATATTGTAGATACATTAATGGAGAATCGCTCATATTTTTAAAATTACTAAAAAATAGACGTACGTTTATAATATGCAGGTTTAAACAAAAATAAGTTTTTTACCATAAGTTTAATACACCCTGTAGAGTGGCTAAACCGTATATTGTTCTAAATTAAGTTTTAATTATCAAGTCACATCTATCTAACTTTCACTGTCATCCTCCATGGCCTATGGATGAACCATAGAAACCTTAGTTTTTTGTACAGAAAAAATATTGCAAATTGCAACGTTTTTTTTTAAATAATAAAAAAGATAAATAAAGCCACAAACTTTAGAAAATTTTATTAAAATTTAATAAAAATTGTTCGCGTTACGGCACTTTTAATTTAAAAAATTCTCAATTTTGCCTCAAACAACGATTTTATTTCGTTAAAAACATGATTTTTAAAGGAAAAGTATTTTATAAATGTGTAGAATTTATTTTTTTTAGTTTAATTAGGCCACATTACCAATGATCTGTTTTTAATTAACAAAATATGTTTGCATGTTGAAAAAAACGTTTTTTTCAAAATTTTGCAAAAACAAGAGATAATTGAGCAAAATAATGATCATTGGCCAAACTGGCAAAAAAAATTCATGTTATTGACTGGTGTAATTATTGAGATATTACTATATTTTTTAATATAAAATTACCTTAAAAATAAACTTTGAAGTAATAATAGTAGGTTGCCTTTGATTATGCAAGGCTTGTTGAAAAATCTCCCTCAAAACTGCATTATCTTTGTTATTATCAACTGCAAAAGAGTTTAGGAGTCCTGCAAGGTAACCTTCCACAGCCACTGCCCATTTTTTTTCCTTCAACTTAACATATACACCTAAAACATACAAATTTGTACAATCAAAACGACAAATATTTAAATTAATATTTTACCCAATGGGCCTCTGGGTTCATGCACAAACCTGTGCATGTTTTGCTTGATCAAGTTTTTAATGGTGGGCATTTCCCTTCCGTATAGCATCAAAGTGTTGCCAGATTCCCTTTTCAAAGCTTGCAAGCTTAATTCTTCGTTATTTAATTTGGACTCCAAGCTTCTTATTTCACCTATTATGTTCTGTTCTTCGCCTTCTTTGTGGGATAGATCACTTGAAACTTGAAACAAGTCGTTCCTTGTTGTTTGCAGGTGGTCTTCAGTTTTCTTGATTTTTTCTTCAAATTTTTTTAGTGTGTTTAGGCGTTCCATCTTTTCTTGCTCTACTTTTGACAAGCTAAATAAAAATTTATTAAAAAGTGGATTATTTTTAATACCAACTTACTTTTCATTTGCATTAGATATTTCTTGTTCTAAATACTGGGCATCTTTGGATTTGGACTCGATAACGGTTCGAATTTTGCCGCCTTCTTTCTTTTTGTCATTGTAAATTGAAACCACCTCATCCAATTTTGCTTTCATATCCATCTGAGGACGTTTTTGAACATTTATCTGATCGTTTAATTCAGTTTGGTCATTTTCCAATGTTCTAAAAATCAATAGGAACATTTAAATTTATTTTAAATAAATAAAATTGTTATTTATATAGCTCACCTTATCTGTTCTTCTAGCTCATTTATATTTGCTTGTTTTTTGCTTTTATCATCCTTTACTTTGTCCAATTTCTTCTCAATTCTTGTTAGTTGAGTATTTTTTTGTTCCAAGTCTTTTTCAGAGTCTCTAACTTTTGCCCAAAATAACTCGGAAATCAACAAATTCTTTTTCTCTCTTAAATTTATAATCATGTCTTGCCCCTCCAGTTTCCTCTTTAGTTTTTTGAGTTCATCTTGGAGCTTTTTAAAGGACTAAAATAATAAATACAGCAATAAATTACCCTATAAACAATAACAAAATATTCATACCAGCTCTTTGTTTGTGTACATTTTAATACACTCCTTTTTATTTCCACTTATTTTATTGTATTCATCATATAGTTGTTCGAGCCTGGTAGCTCTCATGAACAAAATAAACTTTTGCTTGGGATCACTGCTACTCAAAAAGTTCCTCGAAGTGTCCTGATTTAAAATGCAAATAGGATTATCAACTTGTATTTGTAGAGCAGTTGTGATGCATCTTATTTCTTTGTTCAAAGTTGAAACCATTTCCCCTCTTTCAGACTTAATTCTGTAGTTTCCCCCACCAGAAGAATTAATATTTCTTATGATAATAATTTTATCTCCATAAGTGTTTGGCTTGTATCCCGATGGGCCCCCATTGTAAATGTGAATTTCTATAGAGCCAGAAGGTTTTCCAGCTTTTACAAAACCTTAAAAAGTGGGATCAGTAAATTTATATGTTCAATGATTTTCAATTAAATGCAGGTAGTAATTTCAGATTAATGATTCAAATTTCTAATATAACAATTCGTTTCTCGTATACTACAAATTACGAAGTTAGGCAACCCACTGCACAGACTCTAAGGTCGGCCATTTTTATGTTGTTTACATTTCTTGGGCTTTGGGTTTGTGCTGTTTATGTATTATCTTTGTTTATACAAATCGTTTTAAACGTTGTGTTTCTTTCAGAGGCACTTGTAAGCCTTAAAGGGGGCCTTATATTGCAAGGGCAACCATTTTACTCCTCTTTTGTAAATCATCAACTGTCAAATGTCAATTTTAAGGTTAGGGTAAATTAACCTTAAAATTGACTTAGTTTGATGACAGCCCTGATGGAATAAGGTTTATTTTTTACAAAAGAGGAGTAAAATGGTTGTCCTTGACACTTTAAGTCCTCTGTAAGAAAAACAACGTTTAAAACGATTTTTAATCTGTATAAACAGCACAAACCCAAGGCACAAGAATTGTAAACATCATAAAAATGGCTGCCGTTAGAGTCTGTGCAGTGGGTTGCCTAACTTTGTGATTTTTAGTATGCGCGAAACGATATTGTTGTGTGGATTGTGATTTTACCTTTAACACTTGTTCCGCGATTTGTCAAGCTTGCTTTTCCTCCTAGTCCAACAATAAGTGCTGTTAAAATAGCACTTTTCCCACTTCCATTTTTACCAATTACCACACTAACGTTATTAGTGAAATTAACTTCCAAAAATGAGTGGCACATGAAGTTCTTTAATGCCATGTAGAGTATACTGCCAGGTCTTTGCTATTTAAAATTAAACTCTAATTATTTGTTTTCTTAAAAAAATATGAAAAAGTTACCTGAACTTCAGTTTCTTCTTCATTTCTTATTTTTTTATTTGATGGTTCACCATCAGTTGGGGCTATTTGAGAAAGAGGCTTCCTCTTTTTGGCCATCTAAACAAATTATAATTATTATAAAAATCCTATACCTAGTCTTTTTTTAAATCTCGCTTACTTACTGACATAGAGGTTATTACAGGGCTCCCACGGCTAAATTACAAATTTTATTTAGGAATTTAGGAGGTTTTTTGTAAAATTTTAGGATAAATAAAGTATGGAAATGAATTTCTTTAATTAAATAAAAACAACTCTTTACTACTTAAAAATAAGAAAAAATACTTCTTTTATAAAAATAAGATACATCGACGAGTTTTTTTTAAATAAAATTAAAAGTGAGGTAAAATTAAAACTTTTGTATATATCTGAGGTACATATGTATGTATATTAGGGTGGCCCAAAAAAAAAGAATATTTTTTTTCTTCTCGTCTCTTGTGAAAATATGTTGGTTTATCATGTTTTAAGAGCCCTGTCAAAAGATCAGCACCATTAAAAATTTTTTAGGGGTCGCTCAAGATTTTTAAAAATTACCAAAATCGTCAAAAATTGGATTTTTTTTTATTTTAATTTTTTTTCTCCTTCCGGTATTATTTTTTAATTTAAAAATAATAATGATTCTGAAAATTTCAAATCGATATTTTAATTTCTAAAGGTCGCTCAAGATTTTTTTAACTTTCAAAGTAGAGTATTTTGATTTTTTTCGATCGACCTCTGAATATAAATATCAACGAACGTTTAGCGACCTTTAGAAATCAAAATATTGATTTGAAATTTACAGAATTTTTATTATTTTCAACCAAAAAAATAATATCGAGACGAGAAAAAGAATTAAAATAAAACAAAAATTCAATTTTTGACGATTTTGGTAATTTTTAAAAATCTTGAGCGACCCCTAAAAAATTTTTAATGGTGCTGATCTTTTGACAGGGCTAACCAACATATTTTCACAAGAGACAAGAAGAAAAAAATATTCTTTTTTTTTGGGCCACCCTAATGTATATATACAACCACACTTTTAATTTTATTTATATTTTAAGAACAAATATGTTAACCGTTTAGTTAATAGCAAACAGTAATTGAATCAATAAGATTAAGAATAGTAGTCCAAAAGTTGATAAAATATTTCAAAAAATCAGTTTTATATTTCTAAATGCATTTTTGTAGGAATATTTTAACTATGTTATGAAATATAATATTCATATTCTGTAAAATAATTTATATCTTCTCACAAAAATGTATTTTAAACATTAAAATAGATTTTAGAATAAACTGTCAAAATTAAATTTTTGGACTTACAGTATACTGTGCTTATTCTCACAGATTCAATTGCAATGTGGATCTTAATACTTCTCATAACAAAATATGAAGTTTGCAAAATACAGCAAAACATTCTTTAGATTGTTTACTATTTTAGCTGTCATTTAAAAGAAAATTAAAAATCCTTTTCGTCACCTGAGAATTATAGTGTTCTATCTGCATTTTCTTTTTTTTATTCAGGTTAGTCTTGTTTTAAGTATTAAAGATGGATATTGTTCTATCTATATATAATTGGGGTAGAAATTGTACAGTTTAAGCCTTAAACTTTACAATTTCTACCCCAATTATATATAGATAGATCAATATCATCTTTAAGACTTAAAACAAGACTAACCTGAATAAAAAAAAGAAAATGCAGATACAACACTATAATTCTCAGGTGACGTTTTGTTTGATATAAACACGGTATATTTTTGACTAAAAACGAAATATCGCTAAAAAGGACAATTTTGTAGTTTTTTTGTTTTTTAAGAAAAATTTTGGTTGTGATATTATATCATTTTAAAAAGAATTTAATAAAATAAAACCTAAAAATATATATTTTTAAATTACTTTTTTAGCACTACCTTAATTAACCGCAGTAATGTTGGCCTATTTAAATTTAATTTTTAGGATTTTAGGAGTTTTAGGAGATTGAATGCAATTTTAGGAGAATTTTAGGAGTTTTCAAGATTTAAGCAAAATTTTAGGAATTTTATGAGTTTTAGGAGGTGTGGGAGCCCTGTATTATTAATCTATGATGCAAGGTATTAATTTTTTTAAATATGTTCTCCACTGACATTTATAGCATATTTTGCACACAGTTAAAATTGTTTATATATTAAGAAAGGCAAAATTAAAAAAAAAATCCAGAGGCAACTTAACATGTTGAGTTAAAAGTTAAGTTAAGATTATGATGGTATACGATTATCCAATAAGAATTTGTTTATCTCAAAAATGTAGAATTTTCTTTTGGACCTAAGGTTGTTTTTCTTGTATAGCGCGTCACATATATACTTTCATTTCATATGAGGACCCTAAAAGCCAAGGGGCATAAGTACATTGTTTAGTTTTGAGATAATCACTTTTAAAGTAAAAAAAAACACTTGTCAAAATTGTTTTTTGTTTTATGACTTTAGAACCCTTAGATACCAAGTAAAATGTACTATCTTTTTCTGTACAGAAATACATTTTTTTAAATGTCACTTGTATCCCTTGGCTGCTAGGGTCCTCATAACATGATGCTTTAATTTTTAAAGCTGTGGTTTAGACAGTTTTTATTAAATGGATGTGTAACTAAAGTCAAGTCAAATCCAAGCCGGACTCTACATAAACACAATCATGCGTTGTCCATGCTCTATTCACGTGATCGACGAAAATTGTTGCACTGGGCCGTATTAAAATATATTGAATCAATATTATTGATCATTTAATATTTTAAATTTATTTTTTTAAACTTTGATGGAAAGGTGTTAAAATATTTATAAAATTTATATTTTTTAAATTAAGAAATTAACAAAATTTTGGGAAATAATTTCATTATTATTTTAAATTTATTTTTTTAAACTTTAATGTAAACTTTTTAAATTTTTTTGAAAATTATTTTAAATTTATTGTTTTATACTTTAATAATTAAAGTTTAATGAAAACATTTATAATAACCTCTTTTATTTCCACACTTAAGTGATTTCTTTTAGACCGTTTTTTAACTGGGCTTAAGTCCTCAAAATGTTCAGCTTCGTCTGTGCTAGACATCGCACTTAATTGAATAATAATAATAACAATAAAAACCAAATAAACAAAACAATGATAGCAATAACAACAACAATAACAACAAATAACGTTATATAACAAGTATTAATAATAAAACAATAACAAAAATAACCACAAAGATGAAAGCCGCGAAAACAAGGAAGTAATCAAACAATACGCTATTAATAACCGCAATGGACATAATGCGGCCCTGGGAAGAATTTTCGGCACGCTTCACAACTCAGAATCGCCCAATAAGAACCGTTCTATCCACCTGCAAACGACTGATCACGCGTCTGGCGTTTTTTGTTTTAGTCCGTCTTGGATCTTGAATCATATTTGACTCATTGGACTATGCAAGTAAGAGTCAGAATAAATTTTAGCTCAAATCGAGGCTAAAGGACTTTAAAACTATAGGTAATATTACAAAAAAAAGGTGGTACATAAGGGGGCCAACAAAAATCCCTATGGAAACAGTCAATGTATTACTTAAAGAAAAGCAACATACAATTTCTTTTCTTAAAAACAGTTCAGGGTCAGCCTATACACATGCTCTTGGTAAATGTGTAAACACCTTTTTATTAAAACTGGTAAATCAAAAAAAAAAACAATAAAATTTCAATCATCAAAATAAAGAAATTGCTAAACTTAGGACTCTACCCTGTATATATTTTATTTGTTTACAAGATATTTTTCCAAAACATACACACCCGGGTGTGTATGTTTTGGAAAAATATCTTGTAAACAAATAGGCCTAGATACACACATACAACTCTAATTGAATCGGTGAGATTGGGAACAGTACAAGTCCAAAATTTTTATTTTGACAAATCAATTTAAAACTTTAAAATTAATTTTTGTGAGAAGATTTAAATCAATTTACAAAATATGGTTATTATATTTTATAAAAATTTATTTTAAACTATAAAACTGATTTTATTAAATAATTTGTCAAAATCTTAACTTTTGGACTTGCACTGTTCCTAATCTCACTGATTAAATTGTTTAATTGATTGTTTTGCATATAAATTTTAAATACCTATGTTTTGGAAAAATATCTTGTAAACAAATAGGCCTAGATACACACATACAACTCTAATTGAATCGGTGAGATTGGGAACAGTACAAGTCCAAAATTTTTATTTTGACAAATCAATTTAAAACTTTAAAATTAATTTTTGTGAGAAGATTTAAATCAATTTACAAAATATGGTTATTATATTTTATAAAAATTTATTTTAAACTATAAAACTGATTTTATTAAATAATTTGTCAAAATCTTAACTTTTGGACTTGCACTGTTCCTAATCTCACTGATTAAATTGTTTAATTGATTGTTTTGCATATAAATTTTAAATACCTAATCCATGATATAGGTAAATTGATTCTTATTAGATAAGTAACCCTGTTAATAAAAACCAAAAAAGTATAGGTATCATAAGATAAGATTCTTATCTTGCAAGATTTTTTAATAATATTTGCAATAAAGTGTTCCAATAATGAAAAGCCAATTACCAAGTAATTATTATAAAATAAAACTTATATTATTAAACATCAAGCGGTTAAAAAAACTACACCCTAAAACCGACTTAAAATTGAAATACATTTTAATGTCATTTTTACAAGAGAATAGCTAAAATTAACATTAACAACGACTAAAAAATTAATCAACTAAAGTAAACAATAATAATTACAATAAATCAAGCAAAAACTCACATTTAAACACAAAAAACTTCAAATCCTAAGCAACACAAACTATGATTGAGGTTATATTTACAGACTATTGTCAAACAAATGGAGGGAAAATTTGGCAAAATCATTTTGCGCCATCTACTTTACCGGTAGTAGAGCTCTGTTTTAACGGCATCGAAAATAACCTCAAAAATATAATACTTTTTACTGTAATTTATTTATAAACACACAATGGAATTGTTATTACGTACGATTAGAAATTCAAATAACTTTTTAGGTACTGTTTATATTTGTCACTCAGCATTTTATTCAAAACAAGTTGGAAATGCCATGAAAAAAGTGATGGGTGGATCAAAGAAGTAACATTAATTGATTTAACGTTAATAATACGAGATTCTTATTATTTTCTTGTAGAAAATTTAAATACAATGAAGCACCTCCAATGCCAAATCCAAACGCGTTCAGTAAAGGGGCCTTTGAAGGTAAACAGTCAGTAAATGCGAGGAGGGTTAACGTCTTAAATAAAACCTTTATGAGATACATAACAGACCTTATGGCTAGTGGAGAGTGTGCCCACGAGTTTTTAGGACATGGTATTGAAATAAATAAAGTGCAGGTTATGCCAGACTACAAATATTTACATGTGTTCTGGATTGCAAAAGGCACTGCCAACGACGAGGTTGTTGACAAAATTTTGACTAAAAATGCTGGACTTTTAAGGCATGAATTGTCGCAGTTGAGAGTTATGGGGGTAATACCAAAGTTGACCTTTATTAAGGGTGAGTAATTTGGTGATCTTAATTTTTGATTTTGAGGGTATTTTTTAGATAAAAAGTATTCAGAAATTGTTGAGTTAGATAATAGATTAAGTAAAGCGGATTTTGGGGAGGATTACACTCCAACAGAACCTTATATTATATTGAAATCCCAGTTTGAGTTGTTCACACAACTAGATAAGGATACAAAGGTATAAAATTCCTTGCTTTAATTGGTTATTGTTTAATTTCTTAAGCTATTTGCAGATAAAAATTGAAAAAATAGATAATGAAATAGATGATTCTGAATGGGAAGAACAACTTCCAAATATGCCTCAAAATGTACTGGGATTGGATCATTCAGTTATTTTAGATAGGGTAAGTAAATTAACACAAAACATTTTTTTTTCATTGAAATATCTCATTTAATTTGCATAGTAAATTTTTCATCAATTTTGGTTTGTATTATTTATCTTATTTCAAAATTTTTAGTTATTTAATGCTTTGACATTTTGCATTATATTGAAACTTAAATGCTTAATAACTTGAAAACCACTATTCCGGAATAAATGTATTTTATTATACTGAATTAAAAATGATAAAGCAAAATATATGATTTAAAGATTAGAATACCAAGTATTGTGTTATTAATTGTATGCATTTTAATATTTTAGATACAAAAAGCAATGAAAAAGTCAGAAGCACTGCATAGATTAACTAGTTATACTGAAGATGTAAAATCTGTGACAAGTACAAATGAAAATCCAGTAGAATACACTAGTGGGCAATCACAAAGGATGGCTTTTAAAGAATTCCTGCATAAACGACAGGTAAAACACTTTTTACAACATTATTTCTTTTAATATTTTTTTTTAGATTACTCGTTATAAGAATAAATCAGAAGACAAAAACTACATCCCAGACATGGAGTATATAGAAGAGGAACACATGGAAAAAAGAAGGCAATTTATAGACAGCTTAGATATAACTTATAAGGATGATAATGATTTTATCTATGAACTTGATGATGATGATAATAAAAATGTATAGTATTTAAGGTATTTTGTTTTTATTTTTAATTTTTTCAAAAATTTTTTTGTATGTAATATTTTAAAATAATGTTAAAATTGTAAAATTGTTAAAAAGATTAACAGAAATCTGTTTTACATATTCATGGAAAGGGCAAGATAATGAAGATCTCCTTAAAAATTAAATGGAAAAATATAGGAATTTATAAATTAGTATACAGGGTGCACCAAGTATTCTTCTATGGGTATTTTTTTATTTGAAAATCTACAAGGTCGGATTAATTAGAAAAAGTGCGTTGTAAAAAGCCTATTAAGATGAAATTTATAAATTGTAAAAAAGTTGTAGAACATATATTGAGTATTTTAATTTTTTATAAATACAATGCGCGTCAAAATTAAGGCATAAGTAAACAAATTCTAACTCTAAAACGCCTTTACCAATCTTTTGGATAAAAAAACTTTTATATGGAATGCTACTTGGGGTACAGTTGTACCCCAGCCTTATTTAAAAATAATAAATAAAAAATATGCTAGCACAGCTGTGAAATACCTTATTTTTTTAAGTATACCCTTAAAATGTAGTACAAATCAAACGAATAGTAACGAAAATACAGCGCGTTAAAATCGTCAAAAATGACAACTTTTCAGCAAAATAATCAAAAAGGGGTCATTTCAGGGTATACTAATAAAAACGGTCTTTAACAGCATTTTTTTATTTGCTTCAAAAAAATTTCCCAAGACGTTATTTTTCAAACGTTTTTTTTATTATTAAATAAAAGGGCTTTAAAAATATTTTCCCCAAAAACCCGCGAACACAAAAACTGAGAAGTATTTTTATAAAAAATTTCATAAAGATTAGTAAAGGCGTTATAGAATTTTTTTACTTATTATGCGTTAATTTTGACGCGCAGTGTATTATGAAATACTAAATATTGTTTTTAAATATTCAAACCATGAATTAAGAAAATATAATGGAATATATTAATTTTTGTGAGCCCAAGACAAACATGTATTTATTAAATTTGTACAAAGCATTTAATTATTGTACAAATTTATTGAATACCTACTTGTTCGTCTTGGCCACACAAAAATTTATATTTTCCATTATATGTTCTTTTTCTTCTGGACATTTGTAGGACCAAAAGAAAAATTAATTAGGAATTATTTAAATACTTGATCTGGCTATTCATACTAAAAAAATATATAATTTAATTTTTCTCAAAAATAAAATTGTATTCCAACTACTTTTTTATTTTTTATTTAAGAGAAATTGAATTTTTATATAATTTATCGAATCAAATATACGTTTTTTGATTTTAGCGAAATTCCGGGAAAGGGCGTTTTTCCAAAAATTATTTGTTTGTTTGGTTTAAACTTTGTAGTAATAAACTTTAAATAATTTTTGGGATTGAGAAAAATAATAAAGCAATATACCAAATGAAATAATTTTTATTAAAGTCAACATGTGTACAATAAATTGCCTTAAATAAATTTGCCTTAACTGCTAATAAACAAAAATATGTTAAATATTTACAACTATTGTTCAAGTAAAATATTCTGTACCACTCAAATTGAAAACAATAACCACTTTTGTCATCATTTTCAATATCATCAGTATTGCAGTTTTATATAAACAATGTACATACAAGATATAAAAGTACAAAAAGAAAAACAAAAATTATAAGTTACAACGAAATTACAAAAAGAAATCTTAACTAAGAATATATTAGATATTTTTTCTAAATCTAAACACCAACTAGGTCAGTGCAATGGACGGTTTTAATTTGAGACTTAGAGGCAAAAAAATGCTCTCACGTTTCTTCTAAATATCTTAATAATTCAACAATTTTCATTGTTTATAGCTTGCATAATTTGAGTATTAATAATTGGCTTTAAGTAATTAATTTAGTGCCAATGCATTTATTAAATAATACCTTTTTAAGTGTTTAATCAGTTGAAGAGATTTTACTGACTGAGATATGGATTAAGTTACAATAGAAAAATATATAAAGTAAACATCTACATCTATAAACTTATGTAGATAGAAGCAACTTGAAACAGATCATTATAAAAATTTAAGTAGTAGTAATATGGATATAAATGTAGTGACTTACTATGTCCAAATTTTATATTTATAAGCAATGAGGCACACATGGTATCTGTTTAAGTAAAAGTTATTTAAGATGATCTGTTTCGGGAGAGAGTTGGGTCTATCCGTGATATAACGATTTCATATACATTTGTAGTGCCATATTGTAAAACCCACTTAAAAAAATATGTGTGACTATGTCGTTTCTCTTAAATTAATGAACACAAATGTAAGTAACAAAGCACTAAAATTGTAAACATTTTAAACTGTTGAAAAACCAGTGCTTATTTATACACATACATATAATTGAAAAATTTGTATTAAAACTTTATTTTGCTTTACTTACTTACACTACTAATTAGGCACGGTTCGAATACTTTGTTTGTACTTACAGACTGGTATACACTACTGCACTCTCTTTGGGGTAATAAAGTTTTTAATACAAATCCATGTTCATTTTGATCACTTTAACAACAACTTTACAAATTTTTTAAACAAAGCGCGTCTTAGATTATAACGCCGCTGTCATGCCGAAGATTTCTTACTATCACCATAATACTTGTAAAGAGTATCAGCAAGATTGGGACGGAATTTTCCGCTCCTGTGTTGTATATCCAGCAGTATGGACACTGACTGCTGCCGCACACCTGGCAGATGTCCAGGACGTACGACGATAAGGCATCAAATATTGTTTCATTGAACCGTTCTGAAAAAAAAAGAAGTTTTGTTATTATAATAAACCCATAACAGCCACAACGAGTTTTGAACGTAGCTGATGCACTAAAGTATGCAATGAACATTTATTTTTTAATCTAATGAGTATTTTAAAGTTAAAATAAAATTAAATGATAATATTTTTAGTTTTTAAAGCGTGGATCAAAATTGCCTTTAAAATTATCCTGAGCGTTTATTTATTAAAGTAAGGTTTTATAAGTATCTCAGGCACTGACTAAAGTTAAGATTAACATAAAAACGCTTGGGCAAATTTTAAAAGGCAATTTAGCGCCCAGTTTTAAAAACTAAATATTTAGGTACAGGGTGTACCTATCCTTTTTATGGGTATCTTTTTTATTTAATAAGGGTGGTTAAATCAGACAAAAATTGAGTAATTATAAGTCTATTAAAATGGCATTAATAAATTGGACGAAAAATCAGCGGTTCTAAAATAATTTGAAAAAAAAACTGAAAACCAGTCAAAACCAAAAATCGTCATAACTTCGTTATTTCCGGGAATTTTGAAAAAAAACATGATGGTTATTATAAAAACAAAAGATGGTAATGATATCTTAAAACATAGTAGCAAAGAAGTTTAATGAAAATGTAGATTAAAGTGTATGTTTACATGTAACTTTGTTTCAAAATTAATAACGATTTTTGGAATTTTAAGTTTTTTCAAATAATTTTAAAACTTCTGTAATTTTTTTCCAATTTATAAATTTCCTGTTAATAGGCTTGTAATTAGATCAGATTTTCGGTCTTTGACCAAAAAAAGTTTTATTATTATACATTGCATTAAATTAAATAAAAACAAAAATACAAATCAAAAAGTATTTCTAAAAAAAAATTTATACCAATATTGAAGTTTGATTGAATAAAATTCAGCCCCACAAAAAAGTATTTTATTGGTTCAAAGTTTGATTTCCAATGAAATTGATGTTCTTTTGCAGTTAACTTGTAAACGGTTTACACTTAAAGTCTAATAGAGAAAAAAAAAAGGTAAATACATTTTTGTAGAAAATTTAGATTTTATTAATATTTTAAAAGAAATGTGTTACCAAAATTTTAGCAAAATTATTTTGATTTAATCTTTAATTTTAAAAACTTTAATTATTTTTAATTTAATAAATATAATAATATAAAACCATTAATCTTAATATCTTGCTAAAATTTTAAATTTTACAGATTTACAGATTTGACTTACATGACCTTTTTTGTGTAAAACTAAATTTCCTTCAAGAAATGGATTTACTTTTTTTACTTAATTTGAAATTATATTTTACTGCTAAATTAAATTTGTTTTCTTTGAAAAAAGGGGGCAAAAGGCCAAAACTATACTCAAGAACGTAGCGATGGGGGGAGGTGGGGGCGTGTCACCCCCCCCCCCAAGTTTTATATTCCAATATTTCCAATGAATGCATGGGAACGAAATTTAGATTATTTTGAAAGAAAATGACTGAATAAATAAAATAAAAGTTGTATTAGCTGCCAACTATAGCTTAAAACATATCTGCATTTTTCCTCAATCTTACACCCATAAAAAATTGCTGCAGTCTGCAATATCTTCGAAAAAGCCGACATTTTATTAAAACTCACCCCCCATGGTTGGAACTTTTGCTACATCCCTGACGACCCTATACTAAATTTTATTGAAGAATTTTAAGAAAAAAAATACACAAAATAACCACAAAAATATATTTTGTCATGTTATCCATGAAAAAAACATTAAAACAAAATTATATAATAGTAACATGTTACTATTTCTATAAGTTCAATTTTATTTCAATGTTTTTTTCATGGATAATTTGTGTAGATATTATTCAATAATGCACAATAATAATTATTGTGCATTATTTTTTTTAATTTTTCAATAAAATTTGATGTAGGGTCGTTTTGAGGGGTTGTGAATCCAGTGCCGTGCTTAGATTTTGTTAAAAAAAATCGCTAATATGAATTCTTAAAAATTTACTCTTAAAATGGGTGTATATTAATATTTTTACGTTTCCAAATAAGTGTAACAGAAAACGAGGTTTATTTAAGAAATGTCTTTTATGAAAAAATAACTTTAAAATAAAAAAAATTGAATTTCTTTATACTAAAATATTTTGCATAATTGTAAAAAAAAACAAAAAAAAAATTACTAAAATTATAGTTGGGAATATTTTTTTTGTATTTTATACAACTCTTAGTTGATTTAATACTATACAAACAATTGAGCATTTATTTAAATTTTTTATTATTATCTGTATTGCTTATGTGGTAATTATTCTGTTTTATTTTGTTTTAATTTAAAAAAACTATCAATATTGTAATAATTTCTACAGAAAACTAAAACAGGATGGATCAATAGTTTTTTATTTAGGCCTTTTTAAATAAAAAATATATTACCTGGTGCATAGTAATCATATACTCTTATGGGCAAGTAAATGTAGATTAATGTGTATGTTTACATGTAAACTTTGTTTCAAAATTAATAACGATTTTTGGATTTTTAAGGTTTTTAGTTTTTCAAATAATTTGAGGACTGCTGTAATTTTTTTCCAATTTATAAATTTCATTTTTTTTTAATTTTTCAATAAAATTTGATGTACGGTCGTTTTGAGGGGTTGTGAATCCAGTGCCGTGCTTAGATTTTGTTAAAAAAAATCGCTAATATGAATTCTTAAAAATTTACTCTTAAAATGGGTGTATATTAATATTTTTACGTTTCCAAATAAGTGTAACAGAAAACGAGGTTTATTTAAGAAATGTCTTTTATGAAAAAATAACTTTAAAATAAAAAAAATCGAATTTCTTTATACTAAAATATTTTGCATAATAGTAAAAAAAACAAAAAAAATTACTAAAATTATAGTTGGAAATATTTTTTTTTGTATTTTATACAACTCTTAGTTGATTTAATACTATACAAACAATTGATCGTTTATTTAAATTTTGCTTATGTGGTAATTATTCTGTTTTATTTTGTTTTAATTTAAAAAACAATCAATATTGTAATAATTTCTACAGAAAACTAAAAAAACTGGATCAATAGTTTTTTATTTAGGTCTTTTTAAATAAAAAATATATTACCTGGTGCATAGTAATCATATACTCTTATGGGCAAGTATCGCGACATATTGGCCACAGGGTACCATCTTTCCACAGTGAAATTTACACAAGTTTCTTCTTTGTCCAACTAAAAAAAATTACATTAATACCAACTCACTAAAAGAAATGTAAACAACTCACATAATCAAAATAGAACAAAACTTTTCTCTCCAAGAATCTAGCTCTCTGCAAGTTCCTCACTCTCCTAGACAAAATATACTCGTCCAAATCTTGTTGCTGAATGATGTACCCAGTGGGTATGGTGACATCCAAAACGGTGAGCCCGGATCTTTCGGATTCGTTCAAATGCGTCCACCTTTGACAGCTCACATAGGTAATGTGAGACTGATTTCTGCCGCCGAAGTACTGTTTCGTCCACAAATCGAACGCCTCCACCGGCGGTTTGGTTTGGAATTTCTCGATATCGACGTTGTACTGCACGGACATCTGCAAGATGGCGTAACCGGTACCGCGGGCCTGCACCTTGACCGTACCCCAAGCGTTCGGGATGTCGATGTACTGCAACTGAGCTCTGTTCTTGTCGTTGACGTACATCGTCTTCATTTTTCCGGGCAGCGAGGTGGCCTCGACCGTCACCGAGAGCGACGAGATGTCGCGAATGCGCTGCGCAGACGTGTACTCGATCAGAGCCTTCATCGCGTTGGCCGTGTCCGAGGTGGACGCCCAGCCGCCGTCCGTTAGGCGCTGCGTGTTGAGCCACCTCACGATGTTGTCGACTTGCACGTCCAAAGCCTGCCTCGCGACGTAGACCATCAAGCCGTACGCGGTGGCCTCGACGTTCTCCGAATCGTATTCGTACGGCAGACGCGGGAGCAAGAAAGGTTTTTGGTTCTCGATCTTGTAGGGGGGCTGCGGGATGGCGTCTCGCCCCCAGTACATCAGCCCGCCTTCCTCCCTGCCTCTGCGCGACAGCTCCAGGTACGCCACTTCGGCATTGGAGGCGCGAGTTTTCATCAGAGCGTAAGCCACTATGGCGACGTCGAACGCTTTGCCTTGCGTCTTGATTAAATCCATGTTGCGTTCCAACCACTGAATAGCGCGTTTGGACGCGATCGCCACTTTAGAACTGAGACCGCTGGTTAAATCTTTAACCGACTCCAACATAATGAGCACGTGCGCGGTAAGCGTAATATTTCTATGCCTGATTGGATCGTTTTCGATGTTTAGCGAGCTGTTGTATTTTCTGTCTGGAAGCCATGTCGACTCGTAGAACGATCCGTACGGAGATTGATGTTTCAAAACAAACTCTACGGATTTCTCGATTACTGTGGGGTCGATGTAGATGTAATTTTCCCATTCATAGAAACTGGCCTCTTGGAACACTCTAGCGCAATACGCTGTGAGCCAAACCGACGGCGAAGACTGCCCCCAATCGCTCCTAAAAGTACTGAAAGACCCGTCGTAGTTCATGAACGATAACTGCCGCTGATAGCCGATGTTCATGTTGTAGAAAGCATCCTTCTGCAGCGTTTTATTCTTCTGCTGCGTGTACCTCATATACAAAGTGGTGTACATGATGGCCGCGAACGAGAACATGTTCTGTTCGGCGGAATCCATGGGCAGGTGCAAGAGGGAGGTGGCGTTGACCGGCATGGTGGGGAAAATGGGGCCCACGACGTCGCCCACGACGGAAATACGAGCCTTGTTCGAGCCGTAAACGTAGTAACGATCGTATTCGTACGGGATGATGGGAGTTTCCGTAACATTAACGTGCATGTATTGGAAGGCGTAGGCACGATTACTGAGATCGAGGAGCATCGACTGGTGTCGGTATTGTGGAAGACCGTCGGACTAAAAAAAAAAGAAGATATATTGTCTTGTTTGAGATGTTTAAAAATATTACTAGAGATAAGAAAATTCCCATTTGACGTTTCAAACAAACATTTTTTATTCCGGAAATGAGATGTATGTGCCAGGAGGATTGCAAAAATATATAACACATAATGTGTTACCTTTTTGTCAAATTGTATGCAGAAAGATGAAAATAAACTGTTAACTATTAGAAATTCACTACAAGTGAATCACTATAGTAATATCTATAGATAATTAGATTACATAAAAAAATTTAAAGGAACGAAGTAACTATATAGGAATATTGAACAGTAAAAGATACTAAAAACACAATTGCAGTGCTGACCAATAAAATATGAAAAAAAACCTACAGGCAAAATAAAATCATTATTTTTGACTACCATTAACCATAAAAAACCCAAGCAAAAGATTTATGAATTGTGATGATGAGATCTTCAACAAACTAATCATAGAACATAACTAAAGTGACCAACTTCCTAAAATGAAAAACCAGGACACAAAATGCCCCTCCTTGCCCTTCCAAAAAATAAACAAAATTTATTTTATTTAATGTTTATTATTTGAAAAAAAGATGTGCTTTTAACGTGAATAATAAAAAAATATCCTAAATTAATTATTAACCTGAGCCCTGACCACTTTTAATAAAAAAATTAGAACAAATCCTAAAAGTGGGAAAAACTCATAATTTAAAAAAAAAATTAATGAGGTTTTTTTTACTTTTTTACTACCTTAAGGTACTAAAATTCAGATTTTTATATTAATTTTTAACCTGAGCCCTGACCACTTTTAATAACAAAATTGGAACAAATCCTAAAAAAGTGGGAAAAACTCATACCTAACTTTTAAATTAAAAAAAAAATTTAAACGAAATTTTTTCTTGCTTTTTTACTATTCAGATTTAAAAAATTTAAACAAAGTTTTTTCTTACTTTTTTACTATTCAGATTTGAAAATTAATTTTTAACCTAAGCGCTGACCGCTTTTTAAAAAAATAATAGAGCAAATCCTAAAAAAGTGAGAAAAAGTAATATTTTTTTTTCAAACGAGGTTCTTTCTTACTTTTTTTACTATTCTTAAGGTAATCCCAAAAATTCCAAAAATTCAGATTTGTAAATTAATTTTAAACCTGAGCCCCAAACGCTTTTTAAAAAAATAATAGAACAAATCCTAAAAAAGTGAGAAAAAGTAATAATCCCAAAAATTCAGATTTGTAAATTAATTTTAAACCTGAGCCCCAAACGCTTTTTAAAAAAATTATAGAACAAATCCTAAAAAAGTGAGAAAAAGTAATAATTTTTTTTTTAAACGAGGTTCTTCCTTACTTTTTTACTATTCTTAAGGTACTCCCAAAAATTCAGATTTGTAAATTAATTTTTAACCCAAGCACCAACTACGTTTTTAAAAAATAATTGAACAAATCCTAAGAAAGTGAGAAAAAGTCAAAAAATTTTATATATTTTTTTTTCAAATTAAGTTTTTTCTTTCTTTTTTACTCTTCCAAATGTACTTCCAAAGTTTTAGATTTTTAAACTAATTTTTAACCCAAGCCCTGACCACTTTCAAAAAATGGCAATAACTTCAGTATTAAAAAAAAGTAGTATAAACCAGGATCAAATCTGCAAAACTAGGACAGTTGGTTACCATAAACATAACTAATACTATACTTCTTTAAATTAAAACAAATTAACTTTCTTGGCCTTAACTTCGCAAATCATCTGTTAAACAATTAAGATTTACATAAATAAACAGAAAGTTTCCATAAAAATAAATTCCAGACTGGAAACATTCCAAAATGGAAACTTTTCTTAAAATCTCTAAATATTACCTCAACGCGTAGTTTTCTAGTTACTTGATCTTTACCAATCAAGGTGGAAGCGTGGAGGGTAACCTCTATATCACCCAATCGTGTTGGTACAATTGGTATGTAAACCACTGTAGTTTCTTGAGCCTAAAAATGAATATAAATCAATAAAAACACAATAAATTAATTTTGTATATATCACCTTGATGAAAGTAAAGAATTGATGTTCTCCAAAAGACGTTCTCGGGTTGTAGGCTCGCACTATACCGTTTTCTTCGACATGCACAAACTTGTAATCGGGCGAACCGTTCAGAACGACTGTAGCCTCGACGTCATCGGTCATGTAATTAAAAACTGTAACGCGCACGCCCACTTGCTCACCCTGCATGCAAACGTTGGGCATTTCCACGTTCATGAAGAAAGGCAAAACACCGATATACTAAAAAATATACAAATTAAACGGAGTTCAAAAAAATAAAACGTGTTTTATCACCTCGATAGCTTTGTTGATCATTCCAAAACCTAATGAAGGGCTCATTGAGAAGGCGGAGATCATCCAGTGAACAGGTCTGGCTGGCACAGGGATATTGAAAATGTATCGACCATGAGGTCCAATATTTACGTCCCTCCATAACCAAACATTTTCATATTGCCTTTGGATTCTATTGAATCGGAACTTACGGAATAGCGCCAATTCGGTTCCATTGTCATAATTACCTTTAAAAAATAGATATTCATGTTTTCATAGAACATAAAAGGAAAAAATCTAAAAAGAGAAAATAAGGTGCCCACATTACACAATTTGTTTTAAAAATGTTGCCAGGCCGTTTGGAGAACAATATTTATAAATGAAATGTTGATATAACGCGTAAATATTTCTGAAACATTCATAAATTTCACGTAAACATTTATTTCGCAATTTTATGTAAATATTGTTAAGTTATTTAACAATATTAATAAACTCATTTAAAAGTTCATTAAAAGTTTTCAGATGTAAGCGCCCTTTCGATAAAAAGGTATCTGTTGTCTGAGGCTCGGCCGCAAAAGTCATCCACAAATCAGCGTTTGACCATTTTTACTTTGTTGAGTGTGTTTCAAGTGCGACGCTAAGTTAAAATAATAAATTATCCAGATAATCCTTCCTGCTAGAGGTATGTATTATATTATATTATATTTTTATTGTTCAATTATTATTGCTAAATGGTAGTGTGATTAAGATTTTATTGCCATCCCATTGAAGACGATTATTCTATCCGTAAATTTCTTATTAACAAAAAACAAACATATACCTAATAAAATCGCTTATAATCGCCAAATATATTATTGTTTTTTAATTTGAACCGAAGACATTAATTTAAATTAAATTCTTTGTAGCCTTCATCCGGAAAAATCCTAAAACCGAAACTGCGAGGAAAATGGAAATGGGAAATTTTAGCGAAGTTACGACAATGGCTGGTTAAGCTAAATTTAGAAAAAGGAAGTAAAAATTTTGATTCTTAGGTACTTCCTTTTTCATTTTGAATTTTTCCCATTTAAAAAGCATATGTATTTTCAATGACTTTTTCTTTTAAATTACTATCTTTGCCGGGTTTTAATCTATCATGTTGTGGTTCATTGTTACTTACAGAGTATTTAACGCTTTTTAAAACAGCCTATAAGAATTTTTCTCTAACTCTATTCACCTTGATGGTATCAGCTCTGAGAGTCATTTTTTCACATATTTTTTAAATATTAAGAAAATGGCTTGTCTTCCCAAAAAATTTTAAAGGAAAAAGTTGTAAAAAATTTAATTCCCTACAAAAAAATTCCTATGTTTATATCGTTAAAGTACACAGTTTAGAAGATATTTAATAGTCATGAGAAAAAATTGAACCTACACCTCGCCAAAGTTTTTTGTTTTGAATGCGTTCCACCAACTTCAAATACCGACAGACAGCTGTTTCGACCTTTATTGGGCCTCTTTAGTGTCGGGCAACTTGGTGTAGTGGAACACAATCAAAACAAATTACTCCCTGAGCCTATATGCTCAGTTGTTAAGTCAACAGAGGCGAGATGTAAGAACAGTCATGAATAGTCATGAATTTTAGGCAAATTAATCTCAGGAAAACATAAATTTTTCAAATTTTTAAATATTAAACTGCTCATATCTTTTAAACTGTGCACTTTAGCGATATAAAGGTAAAGACTTTTTTGTAGAAAATTAAATTTTCTTTAACTTTTTTTTTCGGTAAGACAAGCCAATCTCTTAATATTTTCAAAAATATGCGAAAACAGTAAAAAAATAACTTTCACAGTTGATACCATCAAGGTGAATCAAGTTAGAGAAAAATTCTTAAAGGCTCTTTGAAAAAGCGATAAATACTCTGTAAGCAAAGATATAGAAATTAAAAAAACAGTAATTGCTTTTTAAATGGAAAAAATTCAAAATGAAAAAGAAAGTACTTAGAATCAAAATTAAGGGCTCAAACTTTGACAGAATTTTTTTTTTCGATGTTTTGAACAATATTTTGAACTTTCAGTGAAAAACAAAAAATAATCGTTTTAAATGAAGCATCCTATTTATTCTTAGAATTTTTGTTTTACATATTTTACTTTTATTTTATCCATTATTAATAAAATAAAACTTTTTTTTTAATACTTTTTATTAGGGCGTGTACTAAATTTTCTTGTGAAAATTTTTAGCGTGCAAAAAATAGATCTCTAGCTATGGTATTCCACTGTTTTAGTATATCTGATATGAGAATACTATACCAAGTCTACTTTTTGCACTCCAATACAAGTACACAAAAAGTATTGGGTGTCACACGGCTTTTATAAAAATAAAAGCAACATTGTATCAACATTTACAACAACATTGTTAAAATAAATATGCAATGAACTGTAAATATATTGAAAATATTTCCAGATATTTTTGCGATGTTGAGGAAAACATTTTTTTTTAAATGGGACATAAATGTTGTAAAAACATGTTATAGCACTTAAATAATAATGATTATTTCCCTCATTATAATATGAACCAATGAAAAGCCTTGTATTTTCGAATAAATGTCGTTTAAATAAGCGATTAAATCACTAGAACTATTTAACAGCGATTAAATTTTAGCCTCCATATTGGATTTTTGTTTACGATTTTATGGTGTTATTTACAAGTTTTAAAAAACATTTTTTAAAAAACAATAAAAAATAAGTTATCTAGTTTACGAAATATCAATTATTACTTATTTCATACGTTAAATTAATGGAATTTTCTTTAAAAAAATATTTATTAATTTTGACACATACGTCAGATTTTATGAATTGTCAAATAGTTTCCTTTAATTCGAGAAATAATCTAGACGTATATCACTCAACCTATAAATTTAATCTGTCAAACTATGCTCAGTAAGTTTTTTATTTGTTTTTTTTTGGAAAATAGTTTCATGCAAAATAATTAAAAATAAAACCCCTCGACCGCTACGCGGTCTCGTGATTTTATTAAATTATTTTGCATTCAACATTTTTCAACAAAAACCAAACAAAAAACTACTGAGCCTAGTTTAACCGATTAAAATCATAGTTCTCGTGATATAATATATGATTATTTCCCTCATAATATGAACCAATGAAAAGCCTTGAATTTTCGAATAAATTTCGTTTAAATAAGCGATTAAATCACTAGAACTATTTAACAGCGATTAAATTTTAGCCTCCATATTGGATTTTTGTTTACGATTTTATGGTGTTATTTACAAGTTTTAAAAAACATTTTTTAAAAAACAATAAAAAATAAGTTATCTAGTTTCCGAAATATCAATTATTACTTATTTCATACGTTAAATTAATGGAATTTTCTTTAAAAAAATATTTATAAATTTTGACACATACGTCAGATTTTATGAATTGTCGAATAGTTTCCTTTAATTCGAGAAATAATGTAGACGTATATCACTCAACCTATAAATTTAATCTGTCAAACTATGCTCAGTAAGTTTTTTATTTGATTTTTTGTTTGGAAAATAGTTTCATGCAAAATAATTAAAAATAAAACCCCTCGACCGCTACGCGGTCTCGTGATTTTATTAAATTATTTTGCATTCAACATTTTTCAACAAAAACCAAACAAAAAACTACTGAGCCTAGTTTAACCGATTAAATTCATAGTTCTCGTGACATAATATATGACTAATATTTAGCAAAAATATTCATTCAAAATTTTAAATATATTTTAGTGTTATGTGGGTGATAAAATAGTTACTTACATCCGGCCTCATCAGTGCCATCGTCGCAATCTCTGAAATAATCGCATCTTTTGCTGAACCGGTAGCACCTTCCGCTCAAACATTCGCCCCAGCCTAGCGAGGCGTTACAGAAAACCGGCCTCCTGGGCAACACGAAATCGCTGAACACCACCAGACCCGCATACTCGAACGTCCGGTTCGCGTCGATGCCGTAAGTGCTGGACGGGAAGTACACCAACTCGTCGGGGTTTCCCTCGTGCGACATCCAAGTGTGCCTGTGCGTGCCGTTGATGTGCTCGTCGAAAGTCGCCATTTTTGTGATCACTTTGGCGTACGTTAGCTCGTTTCCAGCTTGCATTGTGTAGAAGGCCCTGTCGATACCCGATAGGCCAACGTAAGAACCGGGTTCTCCGTAAATTGCCACTTCCACCTTGTGACCGGTCCTGGCTTTTTTGTTGTTGATGAACACTTTGAACTAAAAAATATACCGTATTTTCATTTTTCCTGCATTCGGTTTTTAAGAGTGGGAGAATAATGTTTAAGAGTGGGAGACGCCGACTTTCGGCCTGAGAGACGGTTTTTGTAATTCATAGAGATGAGCGATACCGTGATTTTTCAATTACACTGATATTCGTTACTGTGATTTTTTTATATCAGTGATTTTTAAACTGATATTGCTGAACGTCGTTACTCGTGTTCATTCAATTTAACAGTGTTAAATATTTAATTTTTTATATTTATTTTTATTTCAACACAAAAATAAAACTATTTTTAATAAAAACAGTTTATTTGAAATATTTTGTTGCTGATGTTTACACAAAAATAAAAGTTATTGTTTTTAAACATTAAAGTCTGATTTATATATTTTTTTTCTTTCTCCTGACCGTGAAACATAAACAATACGATAAATAGCAATAGCAATTCAAGGTTTTATCGATATTTAATGCTTTTTATATCAGTGAAAAAAATAATTGTGATAAATAGCAACTCACGAATTTATCGTTATTTGATACTTTTTAATACCTTAACAAGCATATATCAATGAAAAAAACACAATTTGTGAAATATCCCTGATCTCTAGAGTGCAGTGAAAAATCACAGATCACGCAAATTAACAGATGTAAGAAGCAGTCGTTATTCGTGATTTTTTAATGTCAGTGAAAAAATCACAGTTCGTGAAATATCGCTCATCTCTAATAGAGATGAGCTATACCGTGATTTTTCAATTACATTGATATTCGTTACTGTGAATTTTTTATATCAGTGATTTTTAAACGTGACGTGATCACAGGTTTTAAACTGATATTGCTGAACAGTGCTGCCGCGAGCTTTTAATCGAATGTACTATTTTTGTCAGTGAAAATGTACTGTAATGTACTATAACCAAATTTATCCTAAAATGCTGTGCTATTACCATTAATTGATTTTTAATTTGACAGTTCAGACAGTCTGTCAAATTTAAAATTTCATTTTAAACCTTATGTATCGCCATCTATCAGTGCACTCCCGAAAATGAATTAAATGAATTAAATGAATTAAACTGTGTGTGGCGAAATCTACCAGTGAATTTTCGAAAACCCTCATTTTGAGAGTTCTGTAATGTATACCTACCATTTTAGTAAAATTTTATAAAATGTACTGTAAATCATGTTATTTTTAGATAAATGTACTTTCGTACTTTTCATGAAAATTCAAGCAAAAGTGTACTGTAAATAGTACAAATGTACTAGAACGGCAGCACTGTTGCTGAACGTCGTTTTATTTTGTGTTCGTTCAATTTAACAGTGTTAAATATTTAATTTTTTGTATTTATTTTTATTTCAACACAAAAATAAAACTATTTTTAATAAAAACAGTTTATTTGAAATATTTTGTTGCTGATGTTTACACAAAAATAAAAGATATTGTAAGCAATTTTTATTGTAAAAATTTAAAAAAAAACTGAAAGTTTTTAAACATTAAAGTCTGATTTATAAATTTCCTTCCTTTCTTTCTCCTGACCGTGAAACATAAACAATACGATAAATAGCAATAGCAATTCACGGTTTTATCGTTTAATTTAATGCTTTTTAATTTCAGTGAAAAAAATTATTGTGATAAATAGCAACTCACGAATTTATCGTTATTTAATCATTTTTAATATATTAACAAGCATATATCAATGAATAAAACACAATTTGTGAAATATCACTGATCTCTAGAGTGCAGTGAAAAATCACAGATCACGCAAATTAACAGATGTAAGAAGCAGTCGTTATTCGTGATTTTTTAATGTCAGTGAAAAAATCACAGTTCGTGAAATATCGCTCATCTCTAGTATGTCAGTACGGACATTTCACGCGTAACGGATGGGACAGTTCCTAGTTTTTATTTACAAAGTAATTGTTCTATTATATGTCAAATTTTTATAAACAGTTCTAAACAAAAGCTGTTTAACAAGGTTTTTATTTGGCAAAATTAGGTATCTTGGTTGACTGTTTAATTAAATTTTTTTTTTAATTCAAAAACTACTAGTAGTGTGGCCGAGTAGTAGATCCTTCACCGGCGATAGGTGATAGTCGAAGTTTGCTCTGAATTATTAATACGAATTATGCATTATTAAGTTAATTTACTTTTAAAAATGATTCAGGTACTTAAAATGTAACGTAATCACTTTTAACAGTAACTACTAATTAAAGGTGTAAAATCATTATTTGTTTTGCATTTAACTAAAAGTGTTTTCTTATTAAAAAAAAAACGTTTAAGCATAAAAAATTCTTATTAAAAACAAATAAAAAAATAAAATTAAACAAAAAAACAAAACTAAAAATCAAACTTCTTAAAATAAATGTAAATAAATTAATACATTTTTTTTTTGGAAAATATACACACTTGAAAAAAGTAGCAATTGACAACTTAACATTATTTTAATTAAAAAAAATCCTTTATAACAGAAAAAAAATAAAACTAAATATTGAATTAAATTGATTTCAGAATAAACGTAATTGTTAACAAAATAATGAATGATTTATAAAGTTAAATTACAAAATTATAGTTTTATAAATTGAAGTGTCACATAAATTTAAAGTTTGTATGTTAATTAATACAGCAAAAATATGTGGCCCGGTAGAATATCCTTACTGAATTAAAATAAAAGGAATAAATATTATAATCATAATATGATTATAATCAGCGTCGGAAATTTACTTTTTCGATATCGGTGTAAAAATTTAGAAAATTTCAGAAAAATTGACTTTTGCATTTTGTTCGTATTACCCTTTGAATACAATGAAAAAAATGCAACTTAATTTTTCTGAAAATATCCCAATTTTTTCAGAAATTTTTAAACCCTATTCCTAATTATAAATGGATTTTACTAACGTTATTAAATTATTTACCTTGTTTCTACTGATGCCATTCACAGGGAAGGTTAAACTGTCCACAGTAATATCTCCATATCTTCCTACATGCCACACCACCATAGTGGCTACCGGCGCCATCTCTGCACTTAGGGAAATCGACATGGTACTAACAAAATCATTCATGTCCTGGTCACCAGTTAAAAGTATTATGCCTTTGGCGATGATGAGATAGTTGAATTTTTCAATGAAATAGTTACTTCTGATGTGGAAAATCATGTATTCACCGACCTAAAAAAATAAATTATTACAGTTTGGTATTTTATGTGCGTGTTTGTTATAACTTACTCTTGGTGTTAAGGTACTGGTGATAACTTTAATGTGTTGATCGTTGTTACTGTAGTGAGCAGACAGAAGCAACTCACTTGTTGCTTGCTGCCCTGAAAATCCGTCTCTAAAAGTGGCCTGTATTTTCAATGCATCTAAAAAAAATTACAAATTATTTAGAAATTTAGAAAAATTATCTACCAAATAAAATGTTTATTTATTTTATTTTTATTTATTTAAAATGTCCATAAAAAAGGAATCCACTTTTTTTTAAATACAGGGAGGAGCTTTTTTGCATTACAGCTAATTTTTTAATAAAAAAAAAATATGAATTTTTTTTGACAAAACCAAGGATGTCACTGACCTAGGTCAGCTATCCTATATATCATCATTGTTTTTACCTCTAGTGTATTATGTATTATCAAGCAAACTTTTAAACTTATTCAAAATCGGTTAGTAGTCCGCGCGTTATAACTTGGCGAGAACGCTCTATGCTCAGTGGACGTAATTTCGTAATGGTACACGTGTTTGGCAAAGCAGTGGCGCGTATTCAATATTTACTTTTAAACATTTTTGTCTATTTGTTCAATTTATTGTATAGAAAGTGTAGGCCAAATTTCATTGTATCTCAAAATTATTGATAAACTAGTTTAAAAAATATATTAAATTAAAAAAGTAAAGTAGTTTAATCTTAAAAGCTACCTGAATTATATAAATATACCTAAATACGTATATAACCAAAATAAAACATTACCAAAAATAATCTAAGAAGCAATATTGTCAAGTGAAGATTTGGTGACACCCTGTATAAAACTTAAAGTAGCACCCTACAGTAGAGTACTTACTTAGTTGACTTAGTTCATCGTAAGCATTGGGTCCTTCTACGCCAAGTTCACGTTTCAAGTCGATTTTGTACTCCCAAATGCCGCTGTAGTCGTCAAGTTGGTACAATTGTTTGATGGGAATGTCTCTTCTACCTCCACCGCGCATGTCTATGCCTGTAGCAACTTCCAAAACTCCGTTTCTTAGCATTTCTCTTGTCAGTGGCGAACCGTCATGGAATGAGGCAACAATCTACAAGAGAAATCAATTATAGAATCCATATTTTCATTTTTTATGTTTCTTGACTTACATAGGCGGTTACAGGCATTCCAGGTTTGAAAACTTGCGGGGAATCTCCCATGAATTTGAGTTTGATGGATGAGTTTGATACTCTAGCTGAAGAATATCCCTCAATAACTTCATTCAAAAAGTGGTCACCGACTGTGGCGGTTATAACGATTTCCATTCCTTCCAACGTGGGGAGTGTGTGCAAGAGCTCTCTTAATGGATATTTGAACTCATAGACACCATTGAACTAAAATTATTAAAAACATTTTTATTCTGGCCAATAATTAATAATAATAATTAAATTTTGACCAAAACCTTGAAAGAAATAAATAAATATCAAAAAAATAAAAAATGAGTTTTTAGGACTTATAACTCTATAGAATACATGGGTTGTTCTTTGTGTTAATGTTGCAGAAAGAAAAATACTAGTTTTACGCTGATAAGTCGAAACTGCTTAAAACGGATTTATCTGTTTTTGTCTAATTGCTCCAAAATTGTAAAATGGATAAAAAAATTTTACTTACCATTTTTAGACTAGGTGGTCGACCATATTCATAATACTGCTCTTGATAAGGCCTACTCATCCAAAATGGAATTTCCTCATCAAAATTAAAGTACTTCTCGAGCAGCGGTTTAGTGTAAGTATTATAACCATTAATATTATAGTTTGTAGCGTAGTATTCCCTATCTCGACTATAATAATTACCATCTAACTGCCCGTATTGTGGATTCGGGCTTTGATTATTCAAATTAACGTTTTGATCGTAATTTTGATTTTGATCGTTGATATTGTTTTGTTCGTTGTACCTCTGTCTGTCGTTGAAACGGTTCTCGTAATAACTCGCGGGTACTCGGGTCTTGTTCACCATTCGGTTAAGATCTATCGGTCTTATTGGTCTTATGCTGGCCTTTAAGGTGAGGTTGCCTCTGACCGGCCCGCCGCTGGTGTAATTCGCCATCACTATGCCATGAATGAATTGGTCAGTGGTAAGGAAAAAGGCTGGCATGGTAACGTTAACTTCGAATCTGGTTTGGTAGTATTCTTCCACCAAAAATGTTGATTCTTCTATTTGTCCTTGCGCGATAACTCTGATTTTCCATTGGCCAAAAACGGGCTGGTCGGATAGCTGGTAGTCTAAACTTACGGTGCCCAAGTTGGATTGCCTGGAGAGCCAGCGTTTCATTATGTGGCCGTTAGGGTCCAGCATGAAGACATCTACGGCGTCGTTAAAGGCTTTTAGCTCCGTGTTAATGGGGATTGTTCTAAATCTCACGGTTTCGCTTTGTTTGTATACGGGTTTATCGCTTTGCACGAATATCGTCATTGATCTTTGCGAGAATATTAACTTGGTTTCGTTGTAAAAGGCACTACCACCCAATATATTTTCGTATAAACCTTCGATTCTCAAGTTGTATTCCCCCGTGGCGCTGGTAGGTGGAACCCTCATAAGAAGAGTTTCTGGTATACCTTCTTTGATATCTTTGTGATCTGAAGTCATTTCCACGCCGTTCCTTTGAATTGAAGCTCTTACAGTCAAAGGTTGTTTCTCTTTAAGCACCGTTACCGAAACTCTGTACAACTGACCTGGACGGACCATTCTGGACGCGACTATAAAATAGGTTGCCTCCTTGATCACGGTGGTATGTATGTCTGGCCGGCCGTAAGTCTGCGGATTTCTCCAGGGTATATTAGGCGATCTACCACCTCCATATGGGTCCACACCACCATCCTGCCCATACTGATCTCCTTTACCGTAAGTATCTTGCCTGTTGCCTCCATAATTATCCTGACCGTAAGGATTATTTATGTTGGGATCATTATTGCCATATGGATTCGGCTGTCCGAACTGATCCTTTTGGTCTGGCGGTATTTGAGCGTAAGGATTGTCCAGGTTGGAGCCCAATCTGGGGTCCTGCGTCGCCGTGGGGCTTCCATACGGATTGTCCAAGATTGAGGTGCTAGGGGTGCTGGGGTTATTGACGTCGTAACGGTTGTACTGGTCGTTAGGGTCTCGGTATGGGTTGTCGAGATCTTGAGATTTGACTAGGCAACAGATCATGAGGGAACCCCATAGTGCTGCTTTTAAACGCATCCCAAATGTGTTTTATCTGAAAAAAAATCATTAATCAGTAAATGACGTAAATGGACGTTGTTTTAATAAGAATTTGTAGTTCTCCTGGATTTATTAATACAAAATAAAAAAATAATTTATGATTCACATATTACGCTCTAGGGAGAAGGGGGTCGGACAATTTGTGACGAGAGGGTCATTAACATAACATAGCATGTTTTAAAAATGTTGTCAGGCCGTTTGGAGAGCAATATTTATATATGAAAGGTTGATGAAATGTTGTACGAACATTCAGGAAAAAATATTTTTATAATTGTTACGCGTAAATATTTCTGAAACATTCATAAATATCTCGTAAATATTTTTCAAAATTTATTTCGCAATTTTATCTAAATATTATTTCCTAAATATTGTTAAGTTATATTTAACAATATTTATAAACTTTTTCAAAAGTTCATTTAAAGTTTTCTGAGGCTCGGCCGCTAAAGTCATCCACAAATTTTATTGTTCTTGTAATTATTTTAGTATAACTGATATGAGAATACCATACCACATCTACTTTTTGCACTCCAAAACAAGAAAATTCAGTACACAAAAAGTATTTTATAACATTTTATAAACATTTACAACAACATTGTTCAAATAAATATACAATGAACAGTGAATATTTTGAAAATATTTTCAAGTATTTTTGTGATGTTGAGGAAACATTAATAAAATAGAAGGTAATGTATCTTAAACATTTACAATATAAGTCGCCCTCTATGAATAGTTTTTAAAGTGTGGCATAATAAAAGCCCTATTTTATTACTATTACACTAGATGGTGGTAAGGTTTAATAATCTCTCGCATCTTGTACGCATCTCTGATGTATAAGTCTAGTTAAATATTGATAAGGTTTTGGATCGTTTTGCAAAAATGAAAAAAAAAGACATTATAATTTTATTACCTATTTGAATTTTATATTTAAAAAGATTACCTAGATACTTGTAGAATATAAGTTTATGTTTACGAGATATTTAGTTTTATAATCCTTTTCCCCAATATACAAAAGCAAACAAACAAAAAGAAGTTTTGCAAAATTATTTTCCTTTTTTCTTACCCGAGGGGTAAACCATTTTAAAATCTTAGAGACCAACGTTCAATGTTAGTGGACGTTGTGTTGTGATTTTTTTCCTTATCAGTCGTTATCAATAAGAAAAACTTGCTTAATCAGTGCTTAGCGACGCGTTGCGCATGACTACCCTTTGTTATTCTTATCCTTAGCCGTTAATTCGTAAGCGATTTTTAATTTTAAAAAATCAGTGGTTTACCCCTTGATGTTACCCCTATTCAAAAGAAAATATTATCGACGCCCTGTTTACAATATGTTTTAAAAATTTTGTGAAAAATATATTAGTATATTTTTGTGTTATGTGGTCTATTGTAAATAAAATCTAGAGATATTGTTTCATATTTAACAGCAAAATATATATTTTTATATATTGTTGTAAAAGTTTTAAGTAGGTACGAATAAAATTTGAGCATTCAAAGTTAAGCATATTGATAAAAAATGTTAGAATTTGAACGCTCGATTAATTGATCATCAAACTTTCAACAAAAATATTGTTTAAAAAAACAATAATCATTAAATTTTAATGCAAACGATAAATGCACTATTGTAACAGTATTATTTGAAGTTATTATAAATAATTATATTATATGAATGATTGATGAATCATGTTGAGTAATAATATTCCAGTTAATGATATACAATATCTTCCAGACCAGAAAATGATTGTATTATAATTTAACAGGTGATAAAACGGAGACAATATTATTTGTTAAGGAAATGGAGCTTGTCCAGATAAGTAGGAATTCTTATTTATATTTTCTAAATATTAATTACGGAAACGCGCATTAACAATCAAAGTCAAAGGTTATCTCGAATTAAGGCTATAATGGAACACCTACTGTCCTACAGGCGTTTGAGTAAACACAATTGATACGGTACTGATTGAACTAATTTCGCCTAACCCATTGATTATTTACGTTAGGTGCATAAGGTTTGTACAATTGCTCTGTTACTTTTTTGATATGATAATTTGCAACGGAAATACCTACAACTATTAAATAAAGTCATTACTGGAGACCGGACTTTTAAGCATTTAATAGAGTTTTTAAACAAATCTTAATAATATTGGATTATTAATGTTGAATTATCTTCCGACCAGAGCTGGCCAAGTACTGAGTACTTTTACTCGTACTTACAAACCAAATTCAATGTACTCGTTAAAAATATATAGTATAATATAATATATTATAGCCTAGGTATAGGTTTTATAACAAGTATATAAGTAAAATTATAAACTATTTAAAAATTGTTATTTTTATTTATTATATTATGTACCTAATTTTTAAAATAAATAATTTGATATATTTGTATTTGTATTTTTATAGCTCAGGACCAAAGTATGTATAATGTAGGTATAAAGAATAATCAATTATATTAAGTAACATATTTTTTCAAAAGTACTCGTACTCTTTACTCGTGTTTTCACCATTACTACTCGTAACCGTAACCTCTCTTTACAAATGTACTTACGAGTAAATGTTTTAAGTACTCGTACTTAAAATTTTACGAATACTTTTTTTCGTGCCCAGCTCTTCACAGTGTCCCTGAACGAAGTTTAAGTCACATAAAAATGACACCAAAAACTGATTGCAGTTTCTTGTTCGGGACCCTTTGGTAAATTAAAAATGATATTTACCAAAATCCTAGCTGATCCTTTTTTCGAATTTTTTTCAAAATTTATGATTTTTTTTTTTTAAATTTTTGTTTATTTCAAAGTCTACCTTTCACAGAGTACACATTTGTACACCGATTTTTATAAAATTAGAGTATATTATTGAGGAGACTTAAAGAATACTTTTTAATAATGTTCACATCATTTGATATATACAGGATGGACCAAAAATCGCTTAATTTTAATAAAGCAAAAGCGTAAATTCATGATTTTGGCATAACAAGCAAAACAGATGTATCCCCATTTTTTTTTAGATATTTCTATGTTTATTAGGTTACAAAATGGCATTCTTATTAACCTTTTATTAAAAAATAGATTTTTAATAAAATTAAATAAAATAACGCTTAGAGAATATTTAAAATGTTGTTTAATTTAGGCTTTTTAGAAGTTTTCAATTTTGAACGAAAAACTGGTTAAAGTTTTTTCGAGAGTTTTTTGATCGGCACTCTTTGGAGATTTAAAAACGGTATTTACCAAAATTCTAACTGCTTTTCTTTAAATTTGTTAAAAAATCATTTTTTTTTAAATTATTTGTTTATCGCAAAGTCTACCTTTGCCAGAGTACAGATTTGTACACCGATTTTTATTAATTGCAGTTTCTTGTTCGGGACCCTTTGGTAACTTTAAAATGATATTTAACAAAATCCTAGCTGCTCCTCTTTTCGAATTTTTTTGAAAATTCTTAATTTTTTTTTTAAATTTTTGTTTATCTTACCTTTGACAGAGTACACATTTGTACACCAATTTTTATAATATTGGAGTCAGTGGCGTATTTAGGATTTAGCTCCGGGGGGGGTCCAAAAAAACTAACTAAATATGTACTATGCTATGCTTTAATACGTAAGTAGTTGATTTTTGATTTTAATGATTTTATATTTAAATATAATTAATAAATAATAAAGTACGTTGACAGTCTTGAGATTTTTATTTTTTTTAAACTTTTTTTTGTAATAAAAATAATAAAATTTGTGCGCCCGGGGGGGGTCCGGACCCGGCGGACCCCCCCCCTAAATACGCCACTGATTGGAGTATATTGTTAACGAGACTTGGAGAATACTGTTTTCATACTGAGCACATCATTAGATTTATGCAGGATTAGCCAAAAATCACGTTTTTATATAGTAAAAAGCATAATGCACAAAACAGATTTATCTCCGAAAAAATTTATTTTATTTAATTTTATTCAAAATCAATTTTTCTTATAAAGTCTTGATAAGATCCCATTTTGTAGCCTGATAAACATAAAAATATCTAAAAAAACATGGGTGGGTATAATATATATATATATATATATGGGCGTTTCTCTGTAAACTGGGCAACTCATTGTCTCAAGCTAATATTGTTTAGAAAAATAACAGATCATAAATATTTCGTAGATAACTTCAAAAGATAATAACCTAATCTACCTATGCTCGACGTTCAAAATCCCATAAAATAAACTTTAATGTATCAAAATCGTTTTTATAGTCCTTAAAAACCAGTCCCCTGACGTGTCACCAAAGCAAAATGGTCACTTCAGACAAAATTAATTAAAGACAGTAACTATTGGAATCAACCTAATTGTTTAATTATTCAACCAATATTGTTTGCTTGTTACTGTGACTTATTTATTTTTTATAATTATTATTTTGTAATTCTAAAAAAGTCATCTAAACTTTGTCTCCGGATTTTATAAACAGTCCCCTGTATAGATTTTTCAGAAAATGCTCAATGTTTTCCAAAGTAATAGGAATGATTTTGGTTCATCTGCCGTATACTAATAAATAGACCGATATTTATTCCTCGAATGACATTTATTAAATACAACAAAAATATAACAAAAAAACTTGCCTAGACAATTTCTTATTTCAAGTTGCCCAGTTTACAGAGAAACGCCCATATATATATATATATATATATTTGGCTAACCCTGTATATATTAAATGATGTGCACAGTATAAACAGTATTCTCCAAATCTCCTTAACAATATACTCCAATATTATTAAAGTCGGTGTACAAATATGTACTCTGTCAAAGGTAGACAAAAATTTAAAAAAAAATCATGAATTTTCAAAAAATTTCAAAAAGAGGATCAGCTAGGATTTTGGTAAATATCATTTTTAAGTCACCAAAGGGTCCCGAACAAGAAACTGCAATCAGTTTTTGGCGTCATTTTTATGTGACCTAAACTTCGTTCAGGGACACTGTGTCTTCTTCCGACATATACATTGTTAACATATGGGCTGCATGTAAAAAAAAATAAAAAGCATTG